TTTATCGTTTAAGCATATTTAACCCGTTTCCTAAAATGGTACAACCATTTTAGGAAACGGGTTAAATATGCTTGCGGGCAGCTTGGTGTAGGCAGGTACCGTTATTTTATGCGACGAAATCGTAAATTATTTTATGTATATGTCGATATAAACATCGTAGTTGCAAGTATGAAATACTTGTTTAAACATCTTATAATACCTACATATTTTAAAGGAAAGAACAGGCAATATAAGAGGTTAGGAAAAATTACACGTCAGCCTTATAACATGGCTGGTTATTTTTCTTTAATTGTTAAAAAGACAACATTTTGTATTAAATAGATCATTTCTTCAGCAATATTGGTATATATAGGCTTTTTATCGAGGAATGATTTAGGTTAACATAACAATAGGAGGGAAGATACGAAAGAAAATGTGGAAAACGCTGCGAAAACAATTCAAGAAACCAAAAGAAATTAATAAAATTACTCTTTAAATGGTCTAAAAACATCCGCAACAGTTTATGTCTAACTTTTACGATTGACTCATAAGAATCGTTCTTATGATAATCAAATTGAAATACCACTTTGTTGGCATAATTCTAGCAATGTACGGCTAATAACAACGGGTCGTGGGTTTGATCCCTACCGGGTCCAACATTTCTAATCAATTTAAAATACATACATGTTGATCTTCGGCTGCAAATCTAGATATTAAATAGTTGGTAGGAATATCAAAATTCCGTCCGGATCACGAACCACCGTCCACAGATGAAATTGCCGTGAAGTTAATCACGTTTTGATTTCAGTCTGTGGATTTCCGAATGTCCAAAGCCAAAATCGGTCGACCGCGAATCTTGTTTCGATGCTATAGGCTGAGGTATTGTGCTTGTCTGTCCTCTATCATAAAAAAAAAAGTTTTTGCCGGATCATCTAGTATTCTTTAAATGACGGAAAGTTCCGTTTATTTCTCTACAACAGTATGTCCACTCTAAGTGCTAGTAGAGAAGCTAATGTGCTATGTTTACATAACAAACGCACTATTAACATGGGAAAGTGAAAACATTGCGACCGTTGACATTAGGGTGACCATAAACTATGAAATTGCGAGGTTATGGCTTAAGACATTTATTTGCGCAACAAATACATTTTCATTTAAGCGTGAACACAATATTTTAAATACAAACATTTCTAATGAAACACTAATACACATTTGGTTTTGATCTAAGGTAAATCTGGGTATTAATAAGTAAATATTTATTTAATAGATACTTAATTATATGATGGTGCAGCATTGGGGCATATTGTAGTTTTCTTAAACCTAAAGCCTTTTCGACGTCCGGTTCATGGTTTCCACTTAAGAATCTTTTTGGACCAACGGCCGTCAGGTCTACGAGCGATGTGTCTAGCCCACTGCCACTTCAAATACTTTGAAGTGTATGTTTGTTATTTTAAATTTATTCTTTAAACCTAAACATCGAAATTGGTGTGGCATTGATTTCAAAAAAGGTTTCAACTTATCGGTGTTTCATTAGTAAATTTGAGGAAAAATTAACGACAAGCGTTAATTTGTAATTACATATCGTTGTTTATGTAGTGTACATAAGTGGTTTATATTAAATAAAGTAATTGTATCTAATGATACAATGAATAACTGATGTTAATAAAAATTAATCATCTAATTACATTTCCTTTTTTAACTTGTAAAAAGTCTTTTAGTTAATTAATTTCTTATTATAAGTGTAGTTAGCTAATTTAATTGATCATATTAGATGAGTATTAATCATTGTACAACGTGGCAAAATCTTTGTTTATTAAATACAAAAAAAAATGTCTGTAGTTTACGCGAGTAGTACACATTCAAATAAAACACAAACGGTTTTAAAGACGATATATAGGTTTTAGTTAAACTAATTATTAATAAGTTTTACTTAAATCACGTTTTAAACCATTAAAGTGTTTTATTTAAAAGTTTTATAACTAAATACTGTTAATAGTTTACGCGAGTTTACATTAAACCGTTAGTGTTTTTTTTTAAGTTTTAGCTATAACTTTCTAATTTATGGTCACCCCAGTGTTGACACAACATGAGAAGCGATTTCCTTAGATTGATGAATGGTGAGATACTTTCATTATTCAATGATATCTTATAATTTTAATTAAATACCCAATCTTAGTATCTAGCGTTAGTTAGTTATTAGCTTTTAAGTCTACGCACAATAAAGTTCAGTGTTCTCAATAAACATTACATAAACGTTAACTAGGTCACAATTTGATTGCTCGAAACAAACGTAATTCTTGTATTACTTAATATAATCATCGTGAAAACATTATGCGGAAATAATTATACATTTTCTATTCTTTTCGCACTGAACTAGTTGAAAATAGACTAAGACGCGGCTGGTGATTTTAAGCAGTTACAGGGTTGACAATAGAAGTTTCAAGTATTGTCTATAGATTACGCGAGTGGAACACATTTAATTAGACCACTTTTAACGGTATAAAACGCGAAACAGGGCTCGACGACCCGCCGTGACCGCGGCTGCTAAGTGACCCAAACGTGAATATAACGTAATAATACTGTCTGTAGTTTACGCGAGTAGCACAAATTTAAGTAAGACAATTTAACGGTTTAAAACGCGATGTATGTTAGTTAAACTTGTTTGAAATATGGCCCGACGTTTCGTCTCACTCGTTTGATCATTGTCTCCGTGAATACGCTACATCCAAAGCATTCGAAACGTCGTATTAAAAATAATTTTCAATTAACTTTAATTAATATAAAACGCGTTTTAAACCGTTAAGTGTTTCAATTAAATAACGCAATAAGTTAAATACATTTTGCGTTACCGTTAAAAGTGTTTTATTTAAATGTATTTGTATATTTTCGATGCTTTGTATTTTAACGTATAACTTTTGAATGATCCGCGGTTAGTCCAACGCTACACTCAGTATCTAGAACAATAAATATTCATTGCACACGACTAAAATTGTCTTTGTATGAGTAAATTCCTGATTTGGTCTCATATGAACGGCTCTTCTGTATCGTGAACTGAGCATAAATTATAAGCTTGACTTTAAGCTTATATAACACAATTCGTACTTAGAAGTGAAAGTAGAAATATGGTCATTAAAAATTTCTATTCGTTATTTGAATTTACGCATCATTTAGGAGACGAGCTCTTTGGCCTAATGCCATGTATAATGAATGGATCGTTGGTTCGAGCCCCACTGAGTCCAACATGTTTCTAATTTAAATAAAACACTTTAACGGTTTAAAATGCGATATATTAGTTAATTTTTTAAAAAAATGATTTTTAACTTCGGCCCGACGTTTCGGATGCTTTGCAGCAGCCGTGGTCGCGGGGAGACTTATTTAAAAATCATTTTTAAATTAATTTAACTAATATATCGCGTTTAAACCGTTAAAGTGTTTTATTTAAATGTGTACTCGCGTAAACTATAGACAGTATGTTTCTAATTTGTCAATTTATAATTTTTCCGAAACATGTTGGACTTCGTCTGGAAATCTGGATATTAAATGAGTAGAATATAGAAATTCCGTCCGGCTCTGAGGTACTCATGGTAGTTAAAAATTAAAATATCAATAAAGGAAATCTTTTGTTTTTATTTAAATTCTGCTTACATCTGTGGTAGATTAATCAATCACTATTATCTCAAGTTCATCCGTGAACTAGAAATTTCTTATTTTATCCATTTTGTTGAAGCATCTTATCAGATATCGCTCTGAAGACAGTGTCAGTAACCTGTGACGATGTCTTATGCGCTTCATTTGTTTTCCAGTACAAGAAGTTAAAATGATCGATAAAGAAAATTTAATAAAGCTTAGACCAACCAAGAATGCAGGTTTTAGGACGAACCACCGTCCACAGATGAAAAAGCTATCCAGTTTAATCGCATTTTAGTGGATATCCGAATGTCCAAAGGAAAAATATGTCAACGCATCTTGTTTGGATGCTACATGGCTGGGTTTTTTATCTTCCAACTAGTGAATCACACGTTATCTGTCTTTTTCTGTCATAAATAGACACACACAATCTGGTTTGAGTAACACTAGCTACAGAGAGCGCGGAGTTCCACACACAGCGGTGCAAGCGCATTCTAACGTTAAAAAACTTTTATCAAAATATTCCGCGCATATATTATAATGACTCTCTAAACTGTATTGTTTTTATACAGAAGTTAGAGATAACCTTCAAATGCCGAGGAATATATTTCGGCAATAAAATTTAATGCTTTTATGTAACTTAGATAATAATTAGGAATAATCTTTGTTGATTGTTTCTAATTATTGTCACTAAGACCTAAGCAATGTTGTTCAATGAGGAATTTCATTGAGAATTTTTAAAAGCCTTCGATGATTATTAAAAAAATCTAGATACGTTAGATTTTGTGTAGATTACCTATACACATACACATAGATAATTTTTTTACCGAAAACTTTAAAGATCTGAGTTATAATAGATACTTGTAATGTATATATACGGGACCTACAATTTAATAGCTATACTTATAAAGCTCCACATTAAAAAGGGTCACCGACCCACTTCATTTTGTCATTTGTTTTTAACAAGCGTTTAAAAATGATGAGATTGGAACCGCGACCATAAACACCTTTCTCATAAAATTGTGTATAAAGGTCAAGAGATCAGGTTTGTAAAATTACTCATTAAAAATACAAAATCGTCATCACGTAGTTTTATTCGTACGTAAGCAATTTTTATGGTAGAACAGGACAAGTAAGCGTCGGGCTCACTGGATGGAAGGTAGAATTCCCCAACATTTAAGGAAGATGAGCTGCCTCTATTTTGGGTTTAGATATTCGGATATCCAGACTGAAACTAAAACGCAATTAAACTTCACGGCTTTTTCATCTGTGGATGGTGGTATGTTTGCTTTGGGAACATGTTGTACGCGGTGGGGATCGAATCCACGACCCGTTCATTAGCCATACGTTTCTACTATTACACCAACGAGCTCGTCAAAGCTATGATCACTTACCTTTTCGCGACTGCAAATATTTTTTCCTCAAGTAATAAATCACTACAAGCAGCAGAATCGCTGCTAAGAACGCGCCTATCGCCGCTCCGGCGACACTGCCAGCCCCAAAACATTCTTGTTGACCGAAAACACACGGCAATAAAATCGTCACAGAGAATAAATATAATAGAACACCCATTTTTACACAAGTAACATCACTATATGGCACAAATTGTCGAATTCACACAACGTATTACAGCATACTTTTTGAAAGTTTATTTTGAAAATGGAACGTAAATATTAACGTAACGGTAGAGGCGTCCGCCGCGTTCGCCCGCGCGGTTGGCTGTGGACCACTGTGGACTGTGGTACAGGTTACAACCGCTACAGAGTATAAACGTATGAATCACAACATAGTTTGAAACAAAGTCAATTTTTCTGTTCCTATATTAACACTTAAATCTTTAAAACTTCGCAACGGACTTTGATGCGTTTTTTTAATAGATAGACTGATTCAAGAGGACGGTTTTAACATACAACGTTGGCTAGTAACAAATATAATGGCGGGCTAAATTAAGTTTTGTCGCACTTTATCGTGCCCAGCGAATTGTTTATTTGATTAAAAAACAATACATTTAGTAAACAATTGAATGAATTATTATTCAAAATCAGCTATTATTTAATATTCAACCAGCATACTTAGACGTTACATAAGAATTGGCCTTATATATAGTTTGTTAACGTAGTTTAAAATATAATTGGTTAGTTAGTAAGCCTTAAATGAAATATTTTAATAATTATTACACAGGCGAGTCTCGACCTTGCGACCGAAGCCAACCGCGTGCCGACAGGGTTCGAGTCTCGCCCGCGGCCCGGATAACATTATTTTACTATTAAAATTTAATTCAACAGTTTTATTCACACACACCGTTGTCTTCTGTGATTGAAAAACATGTGTTTCCCCGAGAAACTCAGTTTCTGTTGAAATACTGCTGTGCGTATTACAATTTAGGCATGGACGAATGGAGTTATATTCGAGGGTTTAAATGTAATGTAACTCATATAGGACATAAAAATAGAAGGAACTAATGACCTTTTTAAAGTCAAAAAGGTCGGAAAATAAAACAATATGAATGTATACAATATCCGACTGACAAAGATTACAAGTCTTTTATCCAAACAACTTTTGTTCTGCAAACCTTTTGTCTGTTTCCGCTTTTTTGACTATTGTTTGTATTTCAAACCTTTAAAAGAATCCTTCCGTATTAGAGAAGCATAAACTACTCTCGCGCCTCTAGCAGCGAATTTCAAAGCTGTGTAAGAAGGAAACTCCTTTAGAATTTAGATGTACATAACTGGAGGTTATGTTTAAATATATGCAGGTGGATCAACATAAGATATAAAACCCTGTTATAAAAGCAGAAACGCGGAAGGAGATTTAGGAATAAGTTTTCATTTGTTTCCAAAAGCGTAAATAAAGCAAGAAGATTAGAGGTATCTTTGGCTCAAAGAATTGAGAAATATTATTTTGCTATATAAAATTTTCACATTTGGGTCAAAATACATACGATTTTGTAAATGTGAAAAAGTGATTTCCATCAAAACGGTTCTAGGGTGTTACTTTCGCGGACACATTTTGGATTATTTAAAGAGGAATGATTTTTCAATACATATTTTATGGGTATCTTGAACCGTTTTCGCAGCTCACGCGACGAGAACCCATAAAGATAAAATATATTTTTCCACATTTCTTTTCTCCTCGTAACTATTCTTTCTCGACAAATGCTCTAATCAACATGAAATAGAATCTTTCAATTCGAACCATTCGTTCCCGAGACTAGTGCGTTCCAACAATAAAAGAAATTAGTATAGGTTTAAATAAGATTTTAAATTTAAATTGAAAAAAAAAACGAACGAGATATTTACCGGCATCTACAGCGTTCCGTGCAGTTACTCTACCCAATTGAACTACTGTGTGGCACAGTCGAATTTTTCAACCTGTCGATGTATCTCTCGCACAATATATGCCTTATTTTAAATAAGCAAGTAAACACTGATCGCGAAATATGAGATTATTTAACAATTATTTGTTTAATAACAACTAAGGTATATCTTCCAAAAAAAAAAAAAAAACATTAGAAGCACTGTATTTAACATTACACAGCAACAATTGTTACACTACTGACTAGTTTTGGTTATTATAATAATTTACAGCAAATATACAATAAGAATAAATAATTTAACACAATTACAATAATAATCTTTTATAATACATAAGAAATAGTATCTATGTTGACTCCAGTCGCTCTTTAAGCCTTTTTAATCTTTGGTACATGTCTAATTTATTGTTTGTGAAAGTATTCTTTGTGGCCGGTTCCTGTAAAAAAAAGATAGTTATTACAGAATATCAACAAGTGGTGGGTTCTCCTGTGGTCAGGTGGATTATGTACTTCATCAGGAAATCCGGATTTTAAATCGGTGGTAGGAATATTGGAATGCTGTCTGGGGAATAAACAACCATTCACAGATGAAAAAGTGGTGAAGCTTAATCCCATTTTAGTCTCAGTCTGTAGATTTCTGATTATACAAAACCAAAATAAGTTGACAGTGTATCTTGTTTAGATGTTATAAGGCCAGGATGTTTTACTTTCCATCAAGTAAATCCCATATTTGTCATACCTCTACTATCATAAACAAAATCATATAATTCATACTTACATTAGGGAAAAATTTTATATCTATAACATACAACTCGAGAAATGTCGCTGCTAAGATAACAGGACCAGATTTCCGTTCGCACACATCCAGTTGTACAGCAAATTTTCCATCTGGCAATTCTACCAGTGGCTCAAACATTGGTCTTTGAGATTTCTTTTGTTTAGACAATCTGTACACAAGAATACTGCCATTTTTCAATCCAATCAGTACTATGTCAATATAAAAATATAAAGCCGTTATGGGAGGAAAGTCCAGGTATAAATGACAATTATCATCCGTTTCAATTTTAAATAAGGTTCTAGAGTAGCATATAAAATTCCTATCGTCAACTGCATTTATATTCTTGATGTGCACTATCCATTCTGCTGGACAGTTAATTTTCGTTTCTTTTACCGAATTATCTTCATATATATTAAGTATTTTTCCACGATCAGTAAATAAAAATAAAGTTTTGTTATTATACTGTATTTCTTTGATATCATAGTTACAATGATGTATTAACTTAGCTGATAGATCTTTTTGCAACAGATTACATTTAAAAATGTCTCTGTTATTGAAGAAAAATAGAAGTTCTCCGTCCAATACATATTTGTCGGCTTTAAAATATACTTCGCTCATATAACTTGGGTCTGATACTGTTCTTTGTATGTAAATAGCTGACTTTATATGAACAACTGTTGCTATGTCATTGTTACTTATTTTCAGGTACTTCTTCTCTGGAAATGCAACAGGGATATATTTCAAGTCTAGCATGTCGTAAAAGGTTGTTCCTTTTGCATCTTTTATTGGAAGCACTCCGTAGTTCACTTCTAAAATATGTGAAGTGTCATGCAGGTTGAATTTGTAGAATTCTTTCACTGTCTTATCGTAAGAGAACACGTCTGCCCACAACTTGAGGTTTCTATAAACGTGATACCAAGTTATTATATTGCCACTTTTCTTCTTCGCTATTTTGGAAGATTTACTAAATTCCCGCCGACACATTTCTTGCCATAATATATCTGTGTTGTCAATAGTCTCTTTCCACTTTTTACACACTTGCCGGCATCTTATAAGAGTTTGTCCGTCTGTTTTAAGTAGAATTTCAATAAAGGTTTCAGTTGGTAAATTATTTATTGTATATTCCGTCATTTTGTAAATACACTGTGTCAAACCCAGTTTTAATATTTAATGTGGCACTATTTACATAATACAATTAATTTTACAAGCAGAGCTACAAAAAAAACAATAGGTTCCTTTGATCGATGATAAAAGTTAATACACACATTGATCAGCTGATAAGATAACTCGTGATTTTGACGTTTGTAAACTTTGTCTAAATGTTGGTGCTGTGCGTTTCGTTCGTGAATTACAACATTTTAATTTAATTTATTGTTTACACGTCTTACTGTACTATTTAAAAATAAGATTGTTTTTTTTACAGCAATTGTTCTTGAACGAACTTCTTTTAGCGGTTAAAATATTTTCTGCTTGTTATACAACTTTAAAACCAGGTACCGACTAATTAAACCTGCCAGCCAGATGGTTAAACGTTTAGCCTAGCAATGCTTTAAGAGCGAGGGTCTGGGTTCGAATTCCAGGAAAACAATAGATGTGTCGGGCCGGGCGGGGCACAGACTGAAACCAAAACGCGATTACACCTGACAGGTTTTTTCTCTGTGGCCGGTGGCATCCATGGTACCACCCACTTCGTATCCAGATGAAGTCCAACATATTTCCGAAAATGTTGTATTAGAAAAATGACCCGGTGGGGATAGAACCCAACACTATTAGTTATACATTGCTACCATTACACCAACAAGCCCTTCAATACTTGGGTCAAGAACGTAGCTGAGAGTCTGGTCTAGCTAATTGTAAAGAAAACACTATAACCAACAAATATTTATTGAAGCATGAATTAAAATTTACTATTGAATTTGTTATTTAACATTGTTTTATGACATAAAAAAGAAGGTTTTCCATGTATAGGGTAAAAAATTGACAACTTTGTAATTTAAAAGTACACGTAACAATTATTTCATTATTTTTAAAGTGATATTATATTTAATGGAACACACCTACTGAGTACACAATATAATACAATTATTATCAAAAAATAATAAAAAACAGAATTAAATTTTCCCAGGGAGTAAAAAAATACAATAGAAATAATATCACAACATATAGCACAAATGTTAATGTTAGGTGACATTTTATCGAACTTTAACGGTTTAACGCGATATGTATTAGTTAAACCTATTGAAAACCGTGACCATGGCTGCCACAAAGCATCCGAAACGTCAGGCCGTAGTTACAATAATTTCAAATAATTTTAACTAATATATATAGCGTTTAAAACCGTTAATGTGTTAAAAATAGGTCCTATAAAAACTCTATGCACCCCGCATTATTCTTTAGTAACTCTAACCCAGTATAAAAAAACAAAAATAACTAATATTTATTTTTCCTTTATTTCGTCTTATAATAAATTAATTTTCACATTAATAATTTAAAACTACGAACAACGATATAAAAAAAAACAACTACTATTAAGAAATGCCTTTCAAATGCTAAACGGGAATGCTAAAAACAACAGGTATCATACACACGTTGCAATATACATGTCTATCAAACAATATGTAAAATAACCTAAAAAAAAAGGTAATTTAAATTTAAAAATTTACAATTTGTTAAAAGACTTACGGTTAAAAATGCGCAACCGGGCTCGGGTACATTAAATATGCTTACTTGACTCATATATTACGCGTTTTAAACCGTTAAGTGTTTTATTTGAATGTGTACTTTGTAGACTACAATGATACACATTTAATTGCAATAAGTACATGATTGACTTTAAAATCTTATTATCTAAGTTAAATGTATAAAAAAGTAATATCATGGGTATAGTGTCAAAATGGTTTAATACCATTTTTATTTTAGTAGTAATAGTTCTATTAATCTTTGATAAAACATATAAACGTACTGTTGCGTTGCGTATAAAAATGATCTATAATCAATCCAATCAAAAGAAACATTAAATATGAAATCAACGGATTTCAAACGCGGATTAGGGGATGTTATTGATTATAAATAATATCATTACTATAAGTACATTATGTGCATATGGCACATGATTGAAGGATTTCCTATATTCATGATTAATCTTATAGAAAAATGGCGGTAGTTTTCATACAATTAGGCAATAATCCCTTTTAATAAGCAAACACAAAAACACCGAGGAAGATAATACTCTTACTTACTTAATTACTGTATTATCTAACCCATATTTGAATAAAATAATATAGGACTAGGTAACATTCATAGGTCAACAAAATTTATAAACTACCCGCATATTTTTACCTTCAGTCATAGGATAGGAAGCAAATATAAATTTTTATGTTTAGTCTTTAGCAAGGATACCTAAAAATAATTAATGGTCCGGCCGAGAAGGCTCAATGTCTTTTGATGTTAGACTTAAAATTAACTTATCACCTATTTTTGAGCATTGTAGATATGGCTAGCATCGCGAAACTGCCCATCAGGAACACAGTAGCAGGAATTGAAGCCAAAAGCTTATATCTTTCTTCTGAAATGGAAAAAGACAAAGTTATTAATCAATATTACCATTAAATATCGTTTACGCCAATAGAACATACTTATAAAACCATAAACGGTTTAAAACCCAAAATATGATTTAACAGATTTTTTATTTCTTTTACTGCGGCCTGACGTTTTATGCTTTGCAGCAGCCGTGGTCACGGGGAGACAAGTTAATAATCATTTTCAAATAAGTTTAACTAATATATCGCGTTTTAAACCGTTAAAGTGTTTTATTTAAATGTGTACTACTAGCGTAAACTATAGACAGTATTTAATTAACGTTGATTACAAACATGGCAAGGAGTATTTTGTTGCCATAAGACCCGACACCTTACACACAGTAAACTAAACTAGAGCAAACAAAAGTAATGATGTCTACTAAACCTAAAAATGATTTGATACTTTTAAATGTCATACAAAAAAGGTTTTTACTCTACATAAAGTTGCGGCACTAAACAAACACAAAGTTGTAAAAAATAGTGTAGTACTTATCTTTATAATCTCGTTAAAAGTCTCGTAAAAAGACTGCAATAATTATAACAGACATTTTGTCTTAAATTATTATTTTTATCCTGGAAAAACTCAATGAAAAAAACTGAAAATGTAAAAAAATACTTTTATTTAACTCGAGTTAGTACCAGTCTTAGTCGATGTTAAGTAATACTGTAGTAATAATAGGATACATTGACTAAGGATTTACGTAATAAATAACTTTTATAACAAAATAATACTAAACATGTCTTTTGTTTTCCAATCTGGCAATACTGAAGGAATTCACGTTCGAATTTTTGGGAGAAGAATAATTTATCTATAGTGTATTTTTTCTAACTTGGCAAAGGACCACAGAGGCTTAGTGATGATCTTTTATAGAGTGAAGTTGATGCCATAGATGACAATCTTCAGGGATAAATCAACATCGATTCTTTATGGACCAAACGATTCCAATATTAAAAATCACTTTTTTTATTTTTTGTGTTACTATCATTTAATTGACTTCTCTAAGACTTTTCGGCGATCGTGCACGAGTGAAGGTAGAAATCTTCTATTGTCGTTGATTGTGCCTACATCCCATCCCCATGTAAATGTCAAACATAATGTAATTTTTATCTATCCATTTATGTCAATTTTTTATCAGGATTTTTATCAATTTAGCATTTAATTGTGGTTTATACTAAGTGGTTAAATATATATAAACCAGTGTCTTAAACTCTTTTTAGTGTTAATCAGTGTAGATCTTGTTAGAAAATTACAATTTCATCAAAAGTGTGTATTTACTGAAATCGTCAAGTTAGAAAAAATACACCACAAGCTAGACGTTGAACTACGACACTGAATGTGACAATTTGCTGCAAAGGTTTTTAAAAATGGCGGGAATCCGCCGCTTGATACGGGCTATAAGAACTCCGGAGTCCATTGGCATATCGTGTTTGGGCTCAACCACGATAGGATTGTCGTCACTATCGAAAATAATCTCTGGGTCGTTCTCGATTATTTCCTCTATTGTCGCCCAGTCTGTTTGCAACTTTCTCTTATTCATGCAACACTGGCACGAAGTGTAGCCACATTTATTTTTATTCTGGCAACACTGACAGACACCGTAGTCGCACTCCTTCTTGCTCAGAAAATAGTCAGCGTCGTCTAGGATCGTGTGTTCGTCGTTAGGCGACTTTAGCGGGACGAAAATCGAGAATTTTCTCGCGGAATTTTGTATCAATTCATCGATTCCGTCGTCTGAGCCCGGTTTGACACCGTCTAGGGTCGAGTCTACGGACCCTTTGCGACTGGAGGGCGGGGAAATAGTGTCTAAGCTTTGTATCGCGCTATTCTTTCTTTTCTGACCTGTCATAGCGATGGATTTCTTCGTGGTCGCCCAGCCAAGGGAGCGTTGAACGGCCATTTTCCATTTTGTGTATCTCGCGTCGCGATCTGAATCGAGAAAACAATATTGTTAATAATGTATACACACATCAAAGAAGTATTTCATACGCAGATTTATTAGAGGTGCATATATTGATAGAATGAAAAAATCGACACGGACACGTTAGCTCAATTGGCTAGAGCATCAGTAGGAAGCGCTGTGGATGCCGGCTTAAGTAGTTTTTTTTTCAATCAAAAACTCATTTTCAATTTAGACCTATTATAATTATTTAGCTCCACCCCCAATATCAACAAAAATAAAGTAAAAATAACCCCCCCCCCCCCACTCCCTCAAAAGCTTCCATAATATTGTGGATTCTCACGATTCTATTTCTTAATCTCTTGGCATATTACAGTACAATACCTACATGTACATAATTTAAAAAGAAATAAATTGAAAGATGTTCATTCACAAATATAGATTTATGTAAATAAAAATATTGTTTACTTGTAACTAAGTGCGTTTATTTTGCATGTATCATGTACTATATTCAAGAACTTATACATTTTTTGTTGAAAGAACACTGTTAAACTCACCATCATCAGTAGTGGTTGGCAGGAAAGTGTCGGTGGGCGTGGCATGGTGTTTCCACTTTTCGCAGCTCCACACGCCGACTGAGTTGCCAGCCATGATAGCCACACCCAGAGCAGACATGTCCCACGTATGCGCACGCACTGAAGAATTTTATAATTTTTGAAATCGTAGTCAACAGGGAAAAAAGTAGTTTTAAGATATCTTAGTGTAGACTCCAGTAGTTTCTTTCAATGAATGAAGAATAAAATAAAATATACTTCCTCTTTAAAGTTAAAAAAAATTTGATTCGTGTGTATTTACATACTGTGCCCTTTATTTTTTTGTGTGTCATAGCAAACAAAACACTTTTTATTTTATTTTTATGTAGATTCAGAAATGTGTGTGAAACTGATGATCATAAAAAAAATCCATTCACTCTTTAACCTTAAAAATATAAAATTGTTAACTCACAGACAGGTATACCAATGAGATCAGCCTGAAGCTGCATCAGAAGGTCATTGGAAGTCATCTTGCCATCAACGTTGAGCTTGGACAGCGGCATACCACAATCCTTATTCATTGCTTCTAATATGTCCCTGAAAACACAAAGATTATCTCCTTACTTCAATAACATTTTTTTATGACAAGAACTCAAAATAGATAGATTACATGTAATGGGAAATTCAAGACCCCAATAGCTATACATAATATTGTTTAACAATAGGACACTGTATGTGTACAGGTGTATAACGCACCTGGTCTGAAAGCAAACAGCTTCTAAAGCGGCTCGAATGATGTGATTCTTCGTCGTGAACGCCGTTAGACCGCAAATAATACTGAAAGTAAAAATATTGAATCAAAAATAAAACACTATAACGGTTTAAAACGCGATACATATATTAGTTAAACTTATTTGAAAATTATTTTTAACTACGGCCCAACGTATCGGATGCTTTGCAGCAGCCGTGGTCACGGGAAGACATTTAAAAATATTTTTTTCAAATAAGTTTAACTAATATATCGCGTTTTAAACCGTTAAAGTGTTTTATTTGAACGTGTACTACTCACGTAAACTACAGACAGTATTAAATTCAATGTAAATAGAACTTTAAGAAAACTCATTCCAATGTAAAAAAGCTCTAGTAAAAAATTGCCGGTATTTTTTAAGTCAATTCCTAAATTAAATAAAACACTTTAACGGTTTAAAACGCGATATATTAGTAAAAACTTATTTGAAAATGATTTTTAACTTCGGCCCGACGTTTCGAATGCTTTGCAGCAGCCGTGGTCACGGCTTAAAGTTAAGTTTAACTAATATATCGCGTTTTAAACCGTTAAAGTGTTTTATTTAAATTTGTACTACTCGCGTAAACTATAGACAGTGTTTAATTTCTAATTTATCAAAGTATTTTCTTTTTACACTGTAATCAACTACGATATTTGTAAACTTTATTATTTTTCACATATCATTGCATACGTTTTAAAAATTAAAAATCTTAGATTGAATAAAATCAAAGATAAAGAGCGATACACGGTAGCTCAATCGGTTACAACTGCAGTCCCGCCCGTGTCGTCAAATTTTTTTTAGTCTACATAGATTTTCAATTACATAATTACAATATTAGCAAACATATACACGCGTTGTATTTAAAATTGACAAAATTGTAAAGTCCCAAGTAAGACCTTTTTACATATAAACATTATATTTTTGACTAATAACAATTTAAACGTTCCGTTTAAATTCCGTTAAACTTTCATGTCGTAGATTCCAAGTTATAAAAACTTACTAAGTAGGGGGGGGTCTAAGATTGATAATACACCTGTAACATGCATGTACGCAATCGTTGGGGTTGATTACACTGCGCGAGAGGTGCATGTATCAATAAGTTGAAAAAAGTCAACGATAAGGTGTAGAACTCGGTAGCTCAATTGGTAGAGCACCAGCACGGAACGCTGACGATGCCGCTTCAAGTCCTGCCCGAGTCGAAACATTTTTCATTTTATTTTCATGTCCCAAACAAAAATACCTACCCCCTAGCATCCTTCCTCCAATACGGCGCGTACAATCCATTCAGGGCTGGCACAAAATAAACGTCACCAGTGGAAAACACCTGCCCCGCTATATTTTCGGTATCTTGAGCGACATCCTTAATTAATTTGAGGTTATCTCGGAGGAATTTCATTGCTCCACCGGCAACCGCTATTGAACCTGAGGGCATAAAAATTCGGACTAATAAATACAATGGTCTCGGTGTAATTGTAGCAATGTATGGCTAATAATCAACGGGCCGTGGGTTCGATTTCCACTGGGTCAAGAATTTTACTAATCAATTTAAAATATTTCTGACAGATGTTGGAGTACGTCTGAAAATATGGATATTATTAAATATCGAATTTCGAGGTTTCCCACGTTTCGATTTCCAAATATCTAATACCGGTCGACAGCGTATTTTGTTAACATGTTATTATACCACCCGGGACCACGTAGTATAAATAAAAAAAAACTAGTACATTTCGCACTTTAAACCGTTAAACCGTGTTTTATTTAAATGTGTGCTACTCGCGTGAACTATAAACAAAATATTCCTTACCTTCCAAGGCATAAACTGCTGGTGCATTCGGTCCTAACTTATAGGCAACGGTTGTTAACAAACCGTGCGTTGATTGTACTCTCCTTGTACCAGTGTTGTACAGTAAGAAACAACCGCTGCGATAAGTGTTCTTCGCTTGACCAGCTTGAAGGCAGTTCTGACCGACTAAAGCTGATTGCTGATTGCCTAGAATCTGGATAAAAGGACATTAAACAGCTTGCCATAATGATTAATCATATAAAAATAATGAAACTGTTTACAGTGACAGTAATAGCACACAAGTGTTTCCACGTTTGTAAAACTGCCCTCTTAAAAAATAATTCGTATCCAGTAAATTTACTTACTCCAGATATTCTTATTCCATCTAATACTGATCCATCCTTCACTATACCATATACTTCTGAGCTGCTTCTTATTTGAGGTAGTGACTCCCGATGGATGCCGAATAGTCTAAAAGAGAAGATTTTTTAAATTTATTTCATGTTCATTTTAGCTCAATTTGAGATCTGAACAGTATAAATATTTTGTTCATGCTACTGCAAGTGATTGTATTATTTAGGTCAAAAGAGTTTTTAGGTTGAGAGAAGTCGACACAGGCAGAACTTGAACCGGCATGCAGTGTTCTAGGCTGCTAACCAATTGAGCTACCGTGTCTCTGAGCTTGTGAAAAGAGAAAATGTCTCTCGGTGCACCACCTAAGAGTAGCGGTGATGCACCAGTATTCAGTGCCCCTTGAGGGGTGAGAAGTTAGTAGCTATTTATGCAAACTATATTACACTTTTAAATAAAACACTTTAACGGTTTAAAACGCGATATATTAGTTGTGTAGTAGCAGCCGTGGACAGCTGCTGCAAACCGTTAAAGTGTTTTATTTAAATGTGTACTACTCATGTAAACTATATACAGTATTTATATTAAACCTAACTTTAACTTTCTAATCAATATCTAATTTCATAAAATATAGAATTAATATATAATCAGTCTTACTAATCAGCTTTTTTTATGACCTAATTTGTTTTTGATTTCATATATAAAATGCTCTCAATATAAATGTTCTTACCTACACAACATAGGATCCCAATTTAGTGTTTCTAGATTCATTAAGAGAGTTCTTGAAGCGTTGGTCACATCTGTGATATGAAGACCACCGTGAGGACCGCCGGTTAAGTTCTGGAAAATAACAAGTTAAAGTCAAAAGAAAAGACAAAAAGAACTAATAAAATAAATAGTTTACGTAGGTAGAAATTTTCATATAAAACAAGTTACGGTTTTCAAATGTAAAGTATATAACATGTTTGTAACCACGTTTCAAAAGGCGTTGGCCACAGCGGGGCTAAAGAAGATGGTGAACGTCCCTAATGCTAGGCTAGCGTCCGCTAAACGTAGCAGATTCAGCTGTCATATTTTGACCTATTATATGACGCGATTTGAACCGTTTAAAAAGTGCATTTAATGCAGTATTATTGATAAATATAAACTAATTAATAAAATAGGCTAGCTTCCGAAAAGTAATATTTATAATTAATTTCCCAATTGTAAATTAACCGTTTAATATGCAAATTAATATAGATTTCCACCTTACCCATACGATCCACGAGTCGACAGTCCCAAACAGTAACCTTTTGTCTCTACTAGCTCTTCTGACAGCTTTCACATTATCCTTCAACCAACGCATCTTCAACGCGCTAAAATAAGGGCTGATGGGCAAACCGCTTATATTCTTGAGATAATTCTTATTCCTGTCTGGAACTTTAGCTAGGATCGCGTCTACTGTGCTGTCTGTGCGTATATCGTTCCATGCTGCGGAAATAAAAAAAAATGATTAAATAAATGTAACTGTTAACCGACATCTACAGTGTTCGTGTTGCCGCTCTAACCAATTGAGCTACCGTGTCCTACACATCGCCATTAAATAGATTTTTAATTTATATAATACCAACTGCAACATGTGAAAAATTAGTTTTAAGGTATATGGTTATTATTGGAACTATTTGCCGGTAAGTGTTAGTTGTGTTATTATCGAAATTACATTCCGCGTGACACAGTAGCTCAGTTTTGTTAGAGCAACGTTATAATACGTTGGAAGTAGGTTCTATTTTTAATATACTTTTTAAAATGTTATTATTCTCAATAGTTTTGAATGCGTAAAATGTAAATTGTTATTATGTGTCAATCTATACTAATATATAAAGCTGAAGAGTTTGTTTGTTTGAACGCGCTAATCTCAGGAACTACGGGTTTGAATTGACAAATTATTTTTGTGTTGATTAGAGCATTCATCGAGGAAGGCTATAGGCAATAAAACATCACCCCGTCACTAACACAAGCGAAGATACAGCGGGAAATGTAAAAAAATTGGGCAAATTAATCATCATAATGGGTTTCCGAGGCGTACGCTGCAAAAGCGGTTCAAGATACCCAAAAAATATGTAAGAAAGAATATTTCCTCTTTAAATGATCTAAAAAAAGTCCGGGACGCGACTGACGTCGTGGGTAACAGCTTACGAATTTGGACGCCCAAAATAAATATCTTAGCGGACGAAGTCGTTGGCACAGCTAGTAAAAAAATAAATATTATACAAAAGAAACCACTACAAAAAATCCTGTCAAAGTTAATTGCGCATTTCAAACGGTGACATAACATTAACAGCTGTTTAAACATTTCCCATGTGAACAATAAATAATTTTTCCTGAAATGTATGTAAAAAAATGTTTGTATTTACCGATTGCAGGATGTAGAGGCTCGCCAGTGTATTTGTCCCATGCTATTGTTGTCTCTCTCTGATTCGTTATGCCTAGTGTCACTATGTCGTCCTTTGAATAGCCTGCAAAGAAAATAAAACTTGTATAGCTAGGATGATAACATGATAACTAAATCCCATATATTTAAATAAAACACTGTAAACGGTCTAAAACGCGAAATGTTAGTTAAACGTCGAACACCTGGAATGCCATACTAAAGTCTAGATTCTAAAAAACGCATACCGGTAAACGTGAGGATACCATAGTCAAATCTGCAAGGACTCGGCCAGTTTCGCCAAATACCAATTACAGATGGCGCTAGCGTAGCAGTTTTACTTTGACATTAGAGACACCCTCCATCTTTAGTCTCCCCGTGACCACGACTGCTGCAACGCATCCGAAACGAAGGACCGTACTTTGAATAATTTGTAAAGGTTAACTAGTACATTTCGCGTTTTTAACAGTCAAACGTGTTTTTTTTATGTGTACTACTCACGTGTACTACAGTATTTAAATATCACGTCCACAAAACACTTAGTTATTGCCGCCGGAAAGTCGAAGCTATCAAAATCTCAATTTGATATATTCTTTTCAAAGACGCGCACTTAATTTTAAGAAGCTTTTCAGGTTTCGCTGAAGCGTTACAAGTTCAAAAGATAACAAGGAAAGCTTGCGCTGTCTTCGATGTCGTAACTTGTAATTTACGTTGTGTATTTATAAGTTAACTAAATAATTTTGTCAGCAAATATTATTTTTTCGTAAGTATACATGATTACTAATATTATAAAGTGGCGTTTGTTTATTCGAACACTTATTACTATCTTTCACTTTTTATACTAGAAGCTTAAAAATATCCAGCGTTTTCAGACGAAATATTGGCGAGGCTATACAATTGTATAACGCGTATATAGTTTACGATAGTATAGTACTGCGATAGTTTTTAAAGCTTCAGCACTGTGAATTTTATAGCCTAATATATATATATATGGCCACGAAGACGATAACAGAAGTATTAAATTTATTTGTTTTTCCTTCAAAAAAGTGTAAAACCCTGTTTCAAGCAAGTAATTGATCAGACTTCTTTGCATAGCCCGAAACAATCTATTGTCTCAACGCTATATGCTAGGAAACACATTTAACCATTTAGCTATAGAAGGCCTGTTATCCTCTACGAAGTGTTTTTTTTAATATAGAGGAAGACATCTAACCCAGCCATATACCATCTAAACAAGATACGCCGTCGACCTATTTTTTTGGCTTTAGATATTCGGAAATCCACAGACTGAAACCGAAACGCGATTAAACTCTATGGCTTTTTTATTCGTGGACGGTGGTTCGAGACCGCGCAGAATTTTGGTAATCCTACTGCTCATCAATATCGAGATTACAACCCGATGTCCAACATTTTTTTACAAAATTAGAAACACGTTGAACTCACCATCCTTTGATTATTTATTTATTAGCCATACATTGCTACCATTAGAGCAACTAGCCCGTCAGTTTATTACCTAGTTCAGTAAGCTGGTCTATAGCACTCTCCGCACAGACTTTGATGTGATGAAGTATTTCCAACGGGTCCTGTTCATACCATCCTTCCTGAGGCTGCACTTCTGTTTTATCCAGCTGATGCGCAGCTAACTCTGCAGAGCGTTCGGCCTCATAAATCTAAAAAGTTTAAAAATCTAGTATTATAATTTCATTCTCATAAAGATATTTAATCTATACTATTAACTATATTAAGAGTTTGTTTTCTGCTTGATTGTGCTTTGTTCGTTTCAATGCGCTAATCTCAGAAACGACAAATGGAAATTAAAAAAAAAATAGAACATCTTTAGGCTAGAAACATCGCGCTGCGTCCGATAGAAGCGAATAAACAGGGGGAACGTGGAGAGCTGTTCAGGATACCGAAAAATGATTTATCGAACAATGATTCCTTTTAAAATGATCTAAAAAAATGTTCACGATACTATCACTCTTATTACAAAAGAAGGACTAACTCTTAAACCTGGTTTAAACCCTGGTTTATTTGAAATTATTACAAATAGAAGTGTAACGTTTGTACTGGACTAACTATGGTTCTAACATTTAGACCATGGTTTAAGAGTTAAACCAAGACTCCGCAGTTAATAAGGCCGTATTAGTGTTGCCCAAATTCAGTCTTGGTCTTGTTCTTGCGTTTTTGCAAGACCAAGACCAAGAACAAGACCGCGTATTTTTAGCAAGACCAAGACCAAGACTGACCGTGCAAGACTTGAGCAAGAAGAAGACATAGCCTGCAAGACTCTTGCGTCTTGCAGCTAGGACTTAGCGCTATTTCACTGAGTAGTTAGGTGTAACAGTTCGGTGTATAGGTAGGTACGCTTAGGAATTCTATGAGACGCAAAAAACTGTATCAAAGAATATAAAAAACTGGACCTATGCGCATTACGACTAATACCATAAACATAGCGAATAAAAAAATTATTAAAATCAAACTGAGTGCATGCATAGTTATGTTTTAACCATACCGGCACTTTGATAATGCGGCATCAAAGGTTTTGTACTTACTTCTCAAAGAAATTTGCCGCTTTTCGGAAGTACATGGTTATGATACACGCGCCGGCGGCTTCTTTTGAAATCTAAAACAATCGTTGCCGCCACGCCGAAATCATAACATTTGACACTATTTGATTGCCGCCATAGGGCGTAGGTATACTCATGCAAAATAATTTCGAATTTTTTTACACGCTTTATATTATTGTTTGATTTGCGGCGGCATCCTTATCATAGAGCCGGCACGTGGCGGGGCGGCGCGGTAGAAAGCAAGGAAACGTACTATAAACAAAGGATTTATTTTAATTCCAGTAATTTCCAATTGAGCTGTGCTTCGAGTCTAACTTAATAATTGTTTTTACTAATTCTCGTTGTTTTCTAAAAACGTATCACGTGTACAATTTAATATGAGTGACGAAGATTCAAATTATTCTAGTCTGAGTAACGAGAGTTTGAGTTTTAGCAAATGTAAGCTTATAAATCATAAATGTTTATTAAGAAACAGTTACTTCCATGGAAAACGACATATAGGTCAGTTGATTTTTCGAATTTCTTATCAAATCTTCAGTTATTTATTAATCTGCTTGATCTTTACTATGGCTATATTCATTCAAGCTCACAATGTTCCAATTCTAATACATTTTTCTAAGATTTAAAGTAAACTTTAATAAATAGTAATAGACTAATAGGTAATTGCAAGACTTGCAAGACTCTTGCTGCAAGACCAAGACTGGGAGCGCAAGACCAAGACCAAGACCAAGACCAGGTGTATTGGCGCAAGACCAAGACTGGCTAAGTCTCGTCTTGTTCTTGCGTTTGGGCAACACTAGGCCGTATATGTCTATCTTTTACGATTAACTTGCAAAAACGACGGAAGGGTTCGACGTTGTGGGTAATGGCTTTAATTTATGAAGAGGAAAAGGTTTGCAAAAACAAATTTGGATCCCCAAATATACTAGTCAACTAAAAATTAATAAATAATAACTTATTATTTAATAAATTAAAAAGTTTGCACTATCTACTTAATAATATTAAGCAGATAGTGCAAACAGCTACGCAACTCTTACAGATTATATTTTTTACAGAAAAAGGTATTTCGATAGATCTAATCAGTTTTAACGTCCAGTAGCAATCTAATCTTCTAAATTAATTAAAGATAAATTTTATAATTAATAATTATACCAACTGGGAGTATATGGTTGGTTAAATCATAGTAATGTGTTTTGTACAGAACAAGAAAAGACCAATTGCGAAAATGCGTAGGTTATAATTTTTTGGGAGTCCCAGACCAAGACAAGGATAATTGGGCGATAAAGAGGTACTAAATAATGTTATCGTTACTTCAAACATGTTTAAGTGGGTTAATTACACGTAGATAATTTAATTATTGTTTTATATGTATTTTAATAAAGAATTTTCGACGAATTATTCAAATGGTTTAATTGTTGATATGTATAATATAATATCGACTAACTAAAGTTAACACAGAATTTTCTACTCTCTATTTGAAAAATTATGTCGTGTACATACATGCTAAATGAATGCTTTTTAGTTAAGTTTTCTCTTGACAAGTCTTGATTTCGATATCCGGGTAAGAACACATTTCGATTGGGCAGAGCATAAGTCTAAGAAAGCGGTCAAAAGTAGAATGTTTCTACTATTTGTTTAACACGTATTGATCTAGGGATTAAATATTATATCAATATAAAATTAAAATATTCCATCACAGAAGCTGTTTCGCGTAAAAGTGTGAACAATATATAAAAATATCGCTTGTGGCTGCTAATACTTGTAAAAATGCCGCTTATCAGTCAAGGACGTGAAATTGCTTACAATCTTGTATTATCGAGTAAATTATGTGATCATGTATTTTACAGTAAATCACGAACTCGCGAGTTAAGCTTTGAGGCAATGATTACGTCTGAAGCAGTCTCAAGTAAACAATGTTGTTAAAAGTAAAAAAAAAAAGTTTAACTTAGCGACAGATATCTATTACCACAAAAAATATGTTAATTATATTCACTACTTAATATAAAACTGATTATATTTCAATATAATTATTATTCATAATATTAATTTCTATAAAACAAGTTTAACGGTTTCAAACTCGAATTGTATTTGTAACTTCAGAAGAAAGAAGCACTTGAGAAATTATTATTTAAAACTGTTTGTAGTTTGCGCTAGTAGGACACATTTTAATACAACACTTTTAACGGTTTTTAACGCGAATTGTATTTGATAACTTATTCACAATTTACTTTAGCTGCGACTCGACGCTTTGCAGTCGCCGTGGTCACGGAGTCCCGCCAAGATACGGAAGGAATGGCGCTGGAGTAGCAGATATTACTTTGAGATTAGGTACACTCTCCATCTTTACCCGCCCGTGACCACAACTGCTGCAAAGCATCCGAAACGTCAGGCCGTAATTAAAATAAATTGTAAATAAGTTAACGAATGCACCTCGCGTTCGAAACCGGTAAAGTGTTTTATTTAAATGTGCACTACTCGCGAAAACGCTACAGTCAGTAAGAATACATATTTTTCAAAATTATTATATATAATTAAATTTTATTGGCAGTACTTATTTTTTGAACAGGTTAATCTTTTTTAGGTTGACCCCCAAATACACAAATCACAGCTCAATGGCTCAATTATTAACCAAATTGTTATAAATGCGATAGGATCTGGGTTGGATTTCCGAGACAATATGATAAAATAGAATTCTAGAAAGGATACCCGTTTACTTATCGACATCTAAAAAATAATAACAATAATCTTTATTGCTATATATTTATATTGGTCATTATATTATATGATTTTTAGTATCTATAAAAATATAAATTTATTTTATTTCATGTTTTAAACCGATGTTTTTTCTAGTCAAGTCTAGCATAGCTTAGTTGGCATCTATTGACTTACTTTGACACGAAACACTGGCTTAGTTTGGGCTAGAACGAAAAGTAGCTTAGTTAATATACTTATCTAAAATGTTTTTTGTTTAGCGAAGATGTATTCATTAAGTTTTTTTTAATTATAAACACCACAGCAATGGCTGACATACATTAAAACTTATGAACCAGCTAGACAAATAATAATAACAATCAATGAAACATCAATCAAACGCGGAATCCAAAGAATGTTCAAATTTGTTAAAAAATGCATAAAAGTTACAGCTACCTACAAATTTACACTAAATAGGAAATAACTAAGCTACCGACACAACACTACACTAGATTAATAACAGGTGGACTTAACGTTAAACGACGATCTCTTCCAGGCAACCAAATGTAAAGGAAAACAAAAATAAAGGATTATTATTGTAGGTGGTGCTAGACAGGATTATAAAATAAGGCAATAAAAGACTAAACGATACAATTGGAAAAGTGTAGTCTTGCAAGAACGGAGAGATTGATTTTCTGTTATCTAAGGAAAAAGAGTTCCAGAGATAATTGGTGAAGGAGTATAGCGAAAGAGTTGTCGAAGGAGGAAGTGTCTAGAGCGAAGATTCAAATTATGTGAATTTAAAGAATAAGTTTTCAAGTTATATTTGAATTATAAAAATAAAATAACCACTGGTAATAGAGTCACTAAAAAATATTACTTACCACAAATCTAACTGTTTTGGTACCATCATCTATTGCGCCGACAAGCGATCGCCCCAATCCTTCACGGACGGGCATTTCGTCACCTGTAAAAAACAACGAATTTTACGAAATAAAGGAAAGTAAATCCTCTTTAGCAGCAGTACGGAACGCTTTGGATAACGGTTCAAGCACTGCCTAATATCGCATAAGACATTGCAAGAAAATCGACGATGATGACTAACCAATTGAGCTACCGAGTTCTACTACACGGTAAATCATGGTGTATGTTTAATTACATATGTATACTATGTAAGACATTCGCTATTATCTACACTTTCCAAAAACTTATTGAAGACCCCATTCTATGATGAATTAATCATGCACTCGATGTTAAGAGTACTTTTCCACGCATGATATCAGGTCAATTATGTGATAGAAAATGTTAGTTATCGTTTATCAATAGCCGTAGTTATGAGTACGCGCCAATCTTAATCTTACGGATATAAATTGTCTATTAAGAAATAAACATAAAACGTAATTCTCATAAACTGTGGAACGATATCTTATTTGCTGTTGTAATGACTGCAATATTCTTCGTAAATAGCTTTAGAATTATATGAAAAAGGTCTTGGAAACATATTACTTATGTGTTGTTTACTGTGATCCTTGTAAAGGCTCAAATCAAGGGGAGTGTTTCATAATTTTACTTATATCTAGTATAGATATTGTGTCTGTAGTTTACGTGATTAGCGAAATATACATGGCTGCTTCAAAGCATTTGAAACGTCGGGTCGTCGTTAAAATAATTTGTATTAATACATTTAAATAATATATTCTTTTTTCATAGGTTTAGTATTACTTTTATTTTAAATTGTCTTTTCTGCTTATTTTTTAACTTTACATTTTTATTTCTAGCTGTCACCCACGGGGAATCACTGAAAATCGGCGCCGCAGTAACAGCTGACTCACCACTTTCAACTTTGTTGACGAAGGACATCTTCCACAACAAAGTTAGTGTATATGTTCATTGTAAATCATTAATGTATTTTCTTGTACTATGGTATAATTTATGTGTATGTGTGTATATCAAATTATTTCAATTTAAAATGTTTTTTAATGATAGATAGGTGAAAATGCCTCATCCATATCTTATTCACATACGCCGTCTAGATATGTTGTCTTTCCATCACCGAATTTAATGTTAATTATCTACACAATTTCCGAACGTGTTGGGCCAGGCGGTAATCAAACTAATAGCCCATTGGTTAAGCCATAGTCTTAGATAAATTCTAGCGAATAGAACCTCTATTCCTATTACATATGTACTTTACAAATACACAAACAAAGCTTAGAAAAGTACATTTTTCAAAACAAAACCCTTTGTCTTTGATACTGACTAAGTTCTGGGTGTGAGCCAAGACTCGGTGTTCTTAAGTCAGTAATTAACAATTCAGTAAAAGTTACGTTTCTTTTAAAGGTATTTATGCTTATTTAGAATAAGAGAGGCTTCATATATTTGTCTGTTGCTTGATTAATTTACTTACACGATCTCAGTTTGACTTGATTTTTTGTGTTTCAATTCGATAAAAGTAAAATCTATTATAGCGAATGGAGACAGAAAAAAGTGTGAAAGTGTGTGTATATATTGACTGAACAATTTTAACTACAGATAAGTAGTTTATCTGATTTCCTGAAACTGAAACAGTTACGTTTCACCGGAAATTTCTTACTTAGACTTAACGCAAGCCTTAGACGAGTTTGTACAACGCACAAATCGTCTGCGCCGGCGACTATCGTTCACGAGGTCATTTGTCAGCTTTTGTCCAGCTGCTCAAGCTCCCACCCTCGTTGGGGTGGCTCGAGCCGGGATAGAAGCCCCCCTCGGGGCGACCTTGGTCTAGTCGCAATCACAGCACAAAAAAGTCCGAAAAATAGTGACAATCGTTCAAAAAAGTTGTTGGAAGCGTGTACGTAATTTGTTGCAATTCAGTACATTTTGCACCAGCTGGTTGGAATCATAAAAACCCAGTTCTGACCAAACATTATTTGTAACACTTTTCCTGTTGGGGAATAAGACTCGATGACTTGACAAGTAATTGCTTTTTGCGACGACCTTGTGTGAGAAAACAACACGAGGAAAATATAAGATTTGCGACCGCATAATGTATCGTAAGTATACTAAAAAAGGAAATAAATTTGGGAAAACATAATTAAGATTTGATATTGCTTTCTTTTTTGTTATACGTTGTGATAGATCCAACGTTAAAAATGCAAACACTAGAGCCGGAGTTACAGTTTGTTTTTTTTTTTATATTATGTGTGATTAGGTTGTATTCTACATACATAACACTTGGAAGCTCTAAAGAAATACTAAGGTGTAGCTGTGTCAGTGGCTTATGCTGTTTACTACGACGTCAGGTGCCCTCCCGTTGTTCTTGCAGGTTAATTTTAAAAGATAGACGTATAGTGTCGCAGCCATTTTTGATCATTAAATAGAAATAATACTTAAACTCATATTTTTCGGTATCTAAAACCGTTTTCGACGCGTACCTACATATCGTAATCCCACAAAATTTTTCGTCGTTATTTTCACAATTCCCGTTGTTACTTTGCTCCTATTAGTCACAGCGAGATGTTTTACAGCCTTATACCCTTTCTCGGTAAATAATTTACTGAGATTGGCGTGTTCAAACAAAGAAATAAACAAACTCTTGAGCTTTATTTATTAGTGTAGATATATTTTTAAATCTATAATCGATTTTTAATTTACATAGTAAGTAATTAATAATTAGTACCAAGTAACAAACGATATATCTATATATAAAAAAAATACAAGTCACCTTATAGTCAAGACTCAAGATATAATATTGTTGTCAAGTAAAATTGTACTGTATATTATTGTCTTTCATAATAATAATCATTAAAAACGTGATTGTAAATTACTATTTGTTCCACTGTAATTTTCATGCACGTTTTATTAAGTATTTTCTACGAGGGACTTAAATGCGTCATAAAATACAACAAAGCAAGTATAACGCTTTATTCTTCACGTGATTGGTCGGGCAAAGATACTTAAATAATTTTTAAATAGAGGAAAGACAAGCATGGCGTATGTAAGGCAAAATCCAATAAGGGTTCTTCAAACATAAGAACTACGTAACATAATATAACGTCCAGTTTTTCAAAGCAACGATGAATCGTTTTTAGAAAACTCAGAAAATTATTGGACTTGACTTGCTGGAAATCAAACCAACGACCCGTTGGTTGTTAGTAACTATAAATTGTTACTAGAGGGTACATTATTTCCAATTTGACAGCTTTTATTTATCTATACTAATATATGTATAAAGCAGAAAAATTTGTTTGTTTGGACGCGCTAATCTCAGGAATTACTGAAAATTTCATTTTGAGATGGTGAGAGCATCTGTTGAGGAAGGTTTTAAAATATCGCACTGCAACTAATAGGATCGGAGAAACAGCGGAAAATGTGAAGAAAACGGGGAACATTATAAATCTATGTGGGTTTCTGTTGCGTACGCTGCGGTAACGGTTCAACATTGGGTATGTTATAATATGTATGAAAGAATGATTCCTCTTTGAATGAGCCAAAGAAAATGTCTACGTCGTTCTTGCTATCTTTTACGATTAACTTGCAAGAACGACGGGACGCAGACGACGTCGTGGTTAAAAGCGATCATTTATAAAGATGTGGAAGTTTGCAAAAACAAATGTTGATGCCCATAATAACTATTCTACACGGACGATGCCTTTTTCACGTCACTTTGGGTTTTGAGAAATCATTTTTGGCACAAATCAGGGAAACAGTGTAAGCAAGCAGATAAGTGACTTTATCTTTTTACCCCAGAGCTAGTATTGTTGTCTGAGACTGTAATAACGGTGGATTAAGGAATTATGTTCGCGAAGTATTTGAGCAATAAGTTTTAATTAATCTGATTACTTTTATGGTTGTACTTTAGTATGACAGATAAAAATTAAAGGTTATAGATAACGGTAATTTATAAAAAAATATTATCTCTCGCTTATCCGGGAACATTGTTACGCTGATAAATTAAGTATTCAACATGACATTAATTAATAGGTGATATTTTTAAATTGACTAGATTGTGGCTTCTTTAGACCAAAGAATAATTGAGGGAATACATTGCAAATATTTTTACAAAATTTCATTAATGGAACCATGGCAATAACTAAGATAAAATTAGTCCTCATTTTTTTTTTTTTTTTTTTTTGAATTGATTATTACGTATTGTGTTCCTATGGAGCCACGAATACTAACCGGACGTTTTGGGCGAGCGCGTTAGCGCTCGCCGTGTTTGCGACTAGACCAAGGGTGCCCCGAGGGGGGCATCGGCCTCGGCTTGGACCGCCGCAATGAGGGTGGGAGCTTGAAGAGCTGGACGGAAATTAGTCCTCAGATTTCTAAACGTCCGAAGCAAACATAGGTCGACAGTGCGTCTTGTTTAGTGAGTGTTTTTTTGAGTGCTGATTATTTTACCTTCCATGAAGTGAACCCTTTGCTAGATAAGATGGCGAAACGTCGTGATCCTTTCTCGCTTACGTCGGCCGTACAGCCCGAAAAATAAAAATTACAAAATTTCTTTTAGATGGTAGATTAGTTAGGTTTATAACCATAACTAATTACAATAAAGTTGTTCTAATATGTCTTTCAATTTAACGATACTGCTATGGATGATTTTTGGTAAAAACTGTACTGTGGTACTGGATGGTATCCCACTGAGTTTCTGAGTCACTTGAGTAGGATAGAACCATTAGCAAGTTGGTTATAATGAAATGTGAGACAAAACGAATTTAAAGCACAGAGTAATTAAGTGTTGAACCGCGTCTCTCGTTTTCAGAAACAATTAGTTTATCACTAATTGGACTCTATATGAATGCATGCAAGTTTTAAGTGATATTGGATTTTACACAAGTGTAGAAGAAGGATTATGTTTACTAATAATTGGTAAAACTATTGAGTTTTCTACGATTATTAAATTCATTATAACATAATAATTATAATAACTTTTAGGTTTTGTTTCTATGTATTGCATGCATGCATAGGTAAATTATAAATTCGTATTAAAATGTTTTTGTTTTTCATATCAAAATTTAATTGTAATGTGATTTAAATAAGGCAAGTATAAAAACCTTATTTAAAAATCTACATATATTCATTTTTATATTAAATCAAGTAAAGAATATATATAACCATTTTTTATAGAAACGACTTTGCGTTTTTCGCGTAAACATTTTTTATAGTTATAAGGGTTTTTTCAACTGCAGAACTCTTGCTTAAAATCCTATACATATAAATATAACGCTACATACCGTCATCCATATTCACGTATGGCGATCACAAGAAAATCAATCACCGATTCGCAATTTTCAAATTAGGAAAACACGCGCTTTTCCGCTCATTTCCCCCGCCACACTGACTCGTCTACTCGAGACGCGAGGAGGCGCGGCCGTCACACCCGTGGCATATATCATTCAACCTTGCGTGACGTCACTGTGACGTCACATCGTACAAACGGCAGCTGCGTAAGCAACTTCGCCGTTTTTGCCACGAAATTTTTAAATAGACTTAAACGACACATTGTCTTGAAAAACTGGTAACAATTAAAAATATTATAACACCACTAAAGCCAATATAAGTCGACAACACATCCCATAGATGTTATACACCTGTATAACAGTTAACCTTCCATAATGTAAACACTAAGATTATTCGTATTTCGTCCAATAATAAAAATTCTTAGATACTGTATTAAAACTTACAGTATACTGCTCACCAAATTTGGCACGTTCAAAAACAATAAAACCTGTTCTTGCACCTGTCATTAACGAGCCACGAAACATTTCAACACATACAAATACAAGACAATATTTTGTACCGTATATTCTCTGTTGTCGCTTTAAGACCTTCTTCATTTTTGCATAAATGATTTGTGACTTTATTCACTAATCACTGTAGTAAAACTAGTTAATCTCATAGTGTGCGCCGGAGTGCAATTTGGCGTCACAATGGCAGGTAAAAATAGTAGCGAGACGTATCTATCTAATGAATGGTGATATGCTATGCTAAGTTTAATAAATAGATAACAGCTCATCGAAAATTTAACAAATTACTGTTTTCCTTTTTTAAAAAAAATTTGACTGTCCTGTACACTATCGCAGTTTTGGGCAGTTTTCCTTCATCAGTAATCTATAACCTAAATGCTAAGTGTAATTTAAAAATAAGAGCAAAAACTGATTTTTGGAAAAGATCCAAAATTTCTCGAGTTCAGACCACTAAATCAGTATCGCGTATCGATTTTGAAGGTTTGGAATTCGAGGAAGCTTCGGACAATGACGACGAAAGTTATATCAGAGACAAACATTTATGTCTTATTAAAAATTATAAACAAAACTATTTTTTAGTTATCATCGACCTTTAAACATATTTCAGCTGGGCCACAAAGAGAACTGTTAAAGGTATCTCCGAATCTACCACGGCAGACATACGTGGTTCACGAATCATCAAATATATGAAGCCGTTTACGAGCGAGGATCGAACTCCCGACTTTATCAACCAATAGAACTTGATTACTAGTAATCTAAACAGAAGTCTAGACTTTTATTTAATAGAAATATTCAATTATGGGCAATCTATTTAATTATACTGTTGTATAAGATTAGGAAAGAATGGGCACCACGAATAAGGATCACAAAAATATTACTCTATTAAATATTATTTAGTTAAGTTACTTAATATAATGAACAAGCTGTGTGCGACTAAAGTCAACACGAAAATCAATTTTCGGCATCGAACGCGACACGCATTCATTTCCAATCACGAAAATTGATGTTTTTGCATGATTGACGATGCGACGACGTACATATCGACTGTTTTGTTTCTACTAAGTTCCACCGCTGGGCACAGGGCTCCTATAGGAGACATGAAATAGCTTGAAAGGGAATAGGTACATGTCTTTCGCATAATTGCGAGTTAAGTTCACTAGTTAATTTTAAAGTTTAAATTAATGAATTGGTCCGTGAAGAACTGTACATTTTTCACATAAACATAGTTAAGGCCGTCAGAGGCACAGTAGCTTAACTGCAATTTTTATTGACTATTAATAACAATAATTTCTATTACTTGAGTTATTTATATTTCTATAGTCTAAAATATTAATCTACAAGAGTACAGTGACCGAAAATGTTAGTCGAGACTTTTGCCGAATAACGAGTACCGAGTTTATTCAAGTACTTCAAGTTTTTTTCAACACAGTAATCGCTCCCTAGGTTCGCGCTTACGCGCGACGTCGGCTTGCTCTCATCTTCTCGTAGTTTTGTCTCTTTACTACTTGATTGAATAGCAAAGTTTTGATTTTTTTTATTTAAATTTTTAAAGGTTTCCTAAATTACTAATAAATACTTAGATTAACACTGTTGTTTTAATGATATCTACCTAAATATATTTCTTTTGTTAAACAAAGTTTACTCGTTATCGAATAACAAAGTATAACCGAAGTATTCCGACGTACGTGTATCAAAAATCCCGCCGAGTACGCCGAGTACCGAGTATCAATTGAGTACTCGGACCATCTCTAATTATTTGCGTATTTTTTTACCAAATAATAGAAAACTTAATTTTCGCCCGAGTGATTGCGCATTTTATTTATCTCCTTATCGTATATCATGTTTTTTGTTATTAGGCCCCTCTGCCTCTAACAGCCTCAATTGATACATATAGAAGTAGTCCTATGGAATAATCTCAGCACTTTTTAAGGGACAAACGGATTGATTATGCAAAATAATATCGCTCATCGGAAAAGCCGTTCCAATATCCTGTCTCCGTGGACCCTACTCGCTATAAAATTAGATTTTACACAGTCCATTAGCTATTACTCTCGAGGAGGATAAAGTTGAAATCAATACTTTTGAGCTTTATTAGAAAATTTCCCATTTTATTAGCAAATTTGACTAATGGACTTTAAATAAAACACTTCAACGGGTTAAAACGCGATATATATTATTTTAACGGCCGACGTTTCAGATGCTTTACAGCAGCCGTGGTCACGGGTGACGTCGCGTTTTATTTAAATGTATACTACACGCGTAAACTAAAGACAATATTCAATTAATGGACTTTCAAATAAGAGTGGTTGTTGCATATAATATTTTTTACATACCAATGAACTATTTTAAAAGGTAAGTAAATTGTATTCATAATTTTAATTTGATAATCTATCTAAAATATGGAACAGAATGTATAAAATAACAGTTAACCTTATCAAAATATTACTCAACGGAATTCAATGTGAATGACCCAAAGCGTTTAATCAACAGTACAGAGGTTAAGCTATGATCAAAGTCTAACAGATAATGATGTCACAATATAAAAGTTAGACATAACAAAAATATAAGAGACTGTATTATCCAAGATATAATTTTTGCCATTATTACATTAAGTTAGATAATCGTTATATGTGTAGGTATATGGAAATTGTTAAATATCCTATAATTCTAACAAGTTTTAAAAATTTGATGTTGTAAAACATTCTGTATGTATTGTTTACTAATGTAATATAAATAATTTATACATTATTTTCCTTTTTTACATTTTGTGAAACATATATATAATATTCGGTTGTTTTTTAAGGGGATGATTATATAAAGACTGTTTTTAGCAGTCCTTATGTCAGCCTATTAAGCAAAGAATGTATTGATTCATCAAACAGCAAAATCATAATATTTGATTTGCAGAGCAAATGTTTTGTGAAATTAATGTTATATTCACAGGAATTTTAATTCTAGATCTAGAGAAAACAGGAATATAGGTTTTTTCCGTATCAAAACGTAATGTCATTGTAAGACAACTATATCTTATAACCTAGTCTAGACTATTGTGTAATACGTATTCAGTTAAACAACCGGTGAAATCTTGTCCATAAGTAAAAAATAATCTATTTTTTTTTAATAAAGAAAAACAAATTCAGACAATTTAAAATCCAGAAATGGATAAATAATTTTCCGGTATAGTATAAATCTGAATAGTTATAGAAACTCACGTATTCTTCAATGTTGTGCTGTAGTTAAAATTTCCCTTTAATTTTTGTTTTATAACTGCATTTTACGTTATTAACTTAATTCATTATTTCTATTAAATGTTAAGCACAATAATATAAAAAACAATAAATTATAATACATTCCGATCTACATACACGTACTTCACACTGAATCATACCACAGATGTAGTAAAGTAGATTAAACGTTGCCAATATCTGTAATAGCATTCTGTGGAAATGTCACTTGACGTGTGTCATTAATAATGAAAACTTTAAAATAACTTTACAGCCAAAATAAACAAGATACAAGCTCCATCACTGTATCATATATATTTGTATCCTAAAAGTGTAATTAACTTACACAGTTCTAATTCTAATCAATTCGTTTTCTAGAGTATTTCACAAAGCTTATACAGCATAATATAAATAATAAACGATTTAAATAACCTTCACAATATGTTTAACTTGGGCAATATACTCAATATAATACTTAAGGGTAATGAAGATTATTGTGCATTGTGTTTCAATAAAATAAAAGAGAAAAAAGTACGAATACAGGATGAAGTAATAGTTAATAACGAAAATATGCTCACTGTAAAACTATCGGAGATTTTAGTTACAGTTTTAGGTAACGAGGTATGTTTGGTTTTTTATTATAAAACTAAATATTTACGATTCAAAACTATTAATTAGTGTTTTGGCTCAATAATTGTTGTAAAAAAATGTTTTTCTGTAATTTTAGACTTGTCAAAGATTGTCATCAAGTGAAGCTATATGTAAGACTTGCATGAAATCAACTATTGAGAGTTACAAGTTCATTAGAATGGCAAAGCGAAATACATTGTCTTTTATTAATATTATAGATAATCTTACTCACAATTTAAAGTATATACAGCAACATGAATATCATAAGACATTATTTCTACAATTAGATACAAATTACTGCATAGAAGCGTTTTATGATGAAAAAAAAGTAAAAAATGTCTCTATTGCCCTTGAAAGATTGAAATCAATAGTTAGAAGCCCCTATATAAAATCAGAATTTCCTAAAACAGAAATCATAGGAGAAAGAAGAAACCACCATTCATTTAAAATGAAAACTAAAGACATGCTTTATAACAAGCATGATAGAACAAATATAAAATGCAAAGATTGTATGAAAGTATACCCCACATTGTCTAACTTAAGAAATCATTTTATTCGTGTTCATGCACCAAAGAATTTTGAATGTCCATCATGTAAGCGGTGTTTTGGATCCCCAGCGTTATTAGAAACTCACCAAAATGACAGTCATGTCTCACTAATTTGCTCAGACTGTGGTAAAACATTTAACAATCGTCACACTTTAAAAATGCACGAAATTAGTCATTACTTGAAAATAATTTGTAAAGACTGTGGGAGAGTTTACAGAAGCCAATCAACTTATAAAAAACATCTAGATTTAAATATATGCGGACAGATGACCCGAGCGTCTCCAGCGAATGCAAAGTATACTTGCGATCACTGCGGTAAGAAATATACCCAGAAAGTTTCACTGAGAGTTCATATTCAACATGAACATGGAAATTATAAATCACATGAATGTAAATGGTGTAATAAAAGATTTTGGGCCAAGAGCAGATTAAAAGCCCATATAGTGAAGCACACTCAAGAAAAGAAGTTTCCATGTACAATCTGTGGTAGTAAATTTGTAACGAGAGAGACATTATTATATCATACTAGGTCACATACTGGAGAGAAACCATATAAATGTACCTATTGTGACCAAACATTTGTCTCAGCTGCACGAAAAGCAGATCATTTGAAAAGACATCATACTAATCTGATTTTTCAATGCAGCATGTGCAAAATAAAGTACACCACAAAAGTATGTTTAGAGAACCATATAAAAACACATCGTAATAATGAAAATAAGCTTGTGGAAGGTACCCCTGATACTCAGTCCAAGGTATCTGTTGGGAATAGTCTGTACTTTATGCCTGATGAGCCATACTTATTAGAAGCTGCTTTAGATCTTCAAAGATAAAATAATTGTATTAAAGCATGAAACATATAGTTATTGGGAAATAAATTATTAAAAAAAATCCAATTGATTTTTAATATTTTTGTTCATTTAAAAAAGTAAGTACAAAGTAGATATCTAGAACGTTAAAAGAAAATAGATTTTTATTTATTTGGATTGTGTTAATTTATCGCTTACTTTTTAAGAAATTAAGTTTTACATATTATTTATAAGTGATAATTATTTGAAAATATAGAATATTCTTCTAGTAAAATTAATCTTATTCCGAAACAGCGTTTAGCTCTATAAAATATGTTTAATATCGCTAAAAAATATTCAAATACTGTATTTTTGACAAAAAGTGGCAGTCTATGGGCTTTGAAATTTTAATCATATATCTATACAAAAGGAAGACGTCAAGCAAGTGTCAGATGTTAAAATTAAGTCAACAATATGGGAATTGAAAAACAAAACACAGAAATAAGAACTTAAGAAGTACCTAATAAGAGTGTTTAGTATAATCCAATTCTAAAGTAATTTTAAGAGAAACTTCGTAATATACAATAATAAGAAATGACGTTCTTAGAAGATTCATTAATTGTTTTTATATCACAAGTAAGTTTTTGGTTAACATGATAATTTTTCGTGTACCGGGTAGTCAACTATTATATAAAAATAAATTATAGAATATCGTTTAAGGTAATGGAACAGTTCATTTAATTGAGGTAAAATATCTGAGTGAGTCGCTCCTATCTAAATAAAGCTAAATTAAAAGACACAAATTTTCTATCTTTTTTCCAGGCTATTTTCTTTATAGGTGGCTGGATATTCTTCGTAAAGCAATTGTTCCGTGACTATGAAGTACACCACAGCCTTGTGCAACTTATATTCTCAGTAACATTCGCTTTAAGTTGCACTATGTTTGAGCTAATTATTTTTGAGATTATTGGATACTTAGATTCAAGGCAAGTTATTTAAGATAATACAGTCTAGTCTAAGTTAGAGGGGTTTCAACAGAGATCTTAAGAGAATACCCTTCTTTTATATTGTGTCTACTGCATACCCCTATCATACTGACATCATCATACTATTACATTTTGTGAGGTGGTTAGCAGCTAGTGTAGATTGACCAAGCCTTCTATCGGTGTCCCCAATAGATTATTATAATATCCTTATAAAAATACATACATACCAAAAATACTTGTTTCTATCTAATAGGCCAAAAAATCTATTTCAGCTCAAGGTATTTCCATTGGAATTTAGGACTATACTCATTGCTGTTTATGGTTATTGCTTTGATACCATTCTATATTGCTTACTACTGTATCAGCAATATTCAGTTTTGTGAGTATTCAGCTTATTAGATAATATATAGTCGCTTCACAACAGTGAGTGACACAAGAAGTAATGACTTCTGCAAAGAAATCTGCGTAGGTTTGCAAACAACATCATCGGTAGATTGAATTAATTTACGCTATAGGCTATGAAACATATCCTGTGACTAATAGGAGCGAAGATACAGCGGGAAATGTAGAAAAATTAGGGATCATTTTTCATCCTTGTGGGTTTTCCTTGCATACTCTGTGAAAACGGTTAAAGATACCTGAAAAAAATGTATGAAAGAATGATTTCATACATTACATAACATGGAAAAGTAATGAGTAATATAGACTAAGTGCAAGGCATTCTAAAGAAATATTAAACTTCATTTTTCAGTGTCTAGAACACACATAAGACCGTTAACAATATTTGTGTGGCTTATATATTTGTATTTCTTTTGGAAGATTGGCGATCCCTTTCCTATACTTAGCCCCAAGCAGGTAAGGTTTACTTTTTTGTCCTTGTCATACTAATATTATTCATAATGTAGAAGAATAAGATAGAAATTTTTTCTGTATGTATTTTCAGGGTATATTTTCAATTGAGCAAGGGGTGTCCCGTATTGGTGTTATTGGTGTGACGGTTATGGCACTTCTATCTGGATTTGGTGCAGTCAATTATCCATATACTTCTATGGCTATCTTTATAAGGTGAGCTCTGTAACATCACATCATCTCTGTATTTATATATTTCATCTGTATTTAGATGGGCTTGTTGGTCTAATCACTACTAGTAGTAATCTCCACTGCATATGTTTCTGAAACATGCTGGACTTTCCCTGAAGTTCTGGATTTTAAGTGTGTGTTGTTGGTGACAAACCGCCATCCACAGAAAAAGCCGTGAAGTTAAATAGTGTTTCGGTTTTAGTTTGCCATACAAAGCACATATATAAATGGTCGACTCAACTTTAAATGCTATACGGCTGGAGTATTTTAATTTTCACACCAAGTGAAAAGCTAAATCCGATGCCATTTACCTAATTTAAATTTGTGGTATATTATTGTTCTAATTGTGTTTTTTATTTGTATGTTTTAAATTATATCTTCACTTTATTTATTTCTTAGTTACGAATTCAATGTTTGTTGATTATAGACCAGTGACACAAGCAGATGTGCTATCCATAGAAAAGAAGTTATTACAAACAATGGATATGATTCTAGTGAAAAAGAAAAGGATAGCATTAGCTGAGGCCAATAGTGTTGGAGCGAGACAGAACTACAGTATGATGGACCAATCGAATGTTAAAAGTAGGGGTTTCTGGACAAACATACTGTCCAGTGTTGGAAGTATTGCGAATCCCTTGAGTCAGGGTACTGAAAGTGAGTTTATACCCATATCAACCATATAATACACATGATATGCTGTAAGACAGTAAAAAATTACTTGAATCATTGAATATTTGAATCTAAAGAATTCTGCCTGGATCTTTAAGTGTAATATTTATTTAAATCATAAGACTAAAAGATTTTCTCTATCATGAACAAAATATTAACTTTTTGCATTAAATAAGATGTGTTGGAGACCATCATGAATATTGACGCTTAACGTGTCCGAGGCGGAAATCATGAACCGGGTGAACCAACAGCCCTACACGAGCACGTGTGAGATACTATGAGGGCCGTATTTCAGTGCTGCCATCTATTGCATTTACCAAATCGACGATAGTTTGTTTAACACTAAGTAGTAACCACATATCCCATGCGAAAACTTCAACTAAGAGATGACAGACGGCTAATGACAACTTGTTGTTTTTAAATACCGCGGGAGTAGGGATTCCGGTGGTGAGACAGTCTCGTCATTTTGTTCATAGTCAATAATACTCGGGAACCGTCGCATTATAAGGTACTTCCGCTCTAAATGCATATAGACCATAATATAATCGACATTCGCCAGTATAGGTACGTGACGTCACCAACCCTGCAGCGGTATTTTACAGAATACTAGCTGCGCCCGCGAATTCGTTCGCGTGGAATAGTGACTTGGGGTAGCATTTTGAATTATTTAGGCTGTTTATTAATTTATGTAATTGCGTATTTATCGCAGCCAATCTATGTTGTTAGTGCTACTTTGCCGCAACACTCTCACCTCATATCACTCCTACTCTAACTCCCACTCCCACTCCCATTCCCACTCCCACTCCTATTCTCAAAAAGCCAAAGAAGAAAGTGTCAATGTTCTAGCTTCCAGAACCACGAATTTCCATACAAATTTTCCCTCTCCCTTTTAACCCCTTACAACCCTCTTTTCGCAATAAAAAGTAGTAATGTGTACCAAATTTCATTCAAATCCGTTCAGTAGTTTTTGCGTGAAAGAGTAACAGACAGAGAGACAGACAGACAGAGTTACTTTCGCATTTATATTAGTAAGGATAGGCGCGCAATTTCCTAAACCCATAGCTTTTAACGCGATGCAAAATAATATCTTTGAGCAAATGTAAGGTATGAAATATAAATCAGTAAATTTTAATTTTCGAATTAATAAATTCTTGCATCACTGTTTATTTGTGATCACATTTTTCTTCTAAACTCTTCTCTTTATTTCTAACTAGCAAAGTAATAATAATATTGAAATATTTACCATATTTTAGATATATCTCAGCTTCGACAAGAAATAGCAGCTCTGGAGGAGTTAAGCAGACAATTATTCCTAGAAGCTCATGATGCAAGAACTATGAGAGAAAAAATAGAATGGTCTAATACATTTCAAGGAAAATACTTCAACTTTCTCGGCTACTTCTTCTCTTTGTATTGTGTGTGGAAGATTTTTATTGTAAGTATATTGTAGTACGAAATATCTTATTTCTTGCTCTAATTACGAGTACAAAGCATCCGGAATAACGGGTCGTAGTAAATAATAAGTTAACTAATATATTTCACGTTTTAAACCGTTAAAAATGTTTTATTTCATTTCAGACGTTTATAAATGACTTACAATGCATTTTTCTATTTCAGTCAACAATAAACATAGTATTTGATAGAGTTGGTAAAAAAAGATCCAGTTACCAGAGGCTTAGAGCTCGTAGTCCACTGGCTGGGCTGGAACATCGACCTTGCTTTTTGGTCACAGCATGTTTCCTTCATATTGGTGGGCTGTATAGTACTAACGAGTATACGTGGTTTATTGCTCACGTTAACGAAGGTAAGTGTAATAATTATTATTTTAGACATATTTCTGTGCTTGTTTAACTGATCGAATTGCTAAAAGAACATCCGTAACTATTTAATCTATTTACCATGGGTACCTCACGCGCTTAACGCAACGCCTTTAATTGTGGATCAGATGACGTCATAGATCGTATAAAGCGTGGTTTTACTGACATAAATGTGACATATTTAGTAGTTCAGTACTTGCCAGCCCAAACGGCTTATCCAATTTCGATAAAATCTTTTTTATAATATAGCATAGAAATGAGAAAACAACTTTTATACTAAAAAATACTAGCTTTTTAAAGTTTTTTGTTGTCGTTTGTCAAAGCGTTGTGTGTCAATACTATTTTATTTGCCCATTTCCTTTTAATTTCTGCTCTTTAAATACAATTTAATGTATTGATAGTAATAATAACCTATTTTAGTGATTTGAATAAAACGTTTAAACGGTTTGAAACGTAGAACATATTTTGTACAAATACTGTCTATAGTTTACGCGAGTGGTACACATTTAAATAAAACACTAACGGTTTAAAACGCGATATGTTATATACTTCGGCCCGACGTTTCTTTGAATCTCCCCGTGACCACGGCTGCTGCAAAGCATCCGAAACGTCGGGGCAAAGTTAAAAAACATTTTCAAATAAGTTTAACTAATATATCACGTTTTAAACCGTTAAAGTGTTTTATTTAAACATAGATTATTTTGATGTTAAAAATTAAAACGTTTTTTCCAGTTCTTCTACAAGATTTCATCCTCGAAGTCCTCGAACATTATAGTGCTAATCCTCGCCCAGATAATGGGTATGTATTTTTGTTCTTCCGTCCTTCTCATGCGCATGAACATGCCCCCCGAGTACAGAATTATCATTACTCAAGTGCTGGGCGATTTGCAGTTCAACTTTTACCATAGATGGTTCGATGTTATTTTCTTAGTTAGCGCCTTGACAAGTATTTTCACGTTGTACCTAGCTCACAAACAACCTTCAGTTAATTAAAAAAAACTCAACTGTAAAAATTTAAAATTGTGATAATAGAAAGACCAAAATAATGATAAGTATTGTCTGTAGTTTAAACTAGTACACATTTAAACAAAAAAATTAACGGCTTAAAACGCGAAATAAGTATATTACTTAAATGACGTATCGGATGCTTTGCAGTAGCCGTGGGTGGTCATGGGAGGTCACGCGCCGTATATAAATAATCAAGGTTTTTTCTTTACTGGCTTTAATCAAACATCGGTTTATAGATTTTACAAAATCATTTGACGCTTATACGGGTTTTAAACCAGTAAAGTGTTGTATTAAAATGTTGACAACTCGCGTAAACATTTATATAAAACACTTTAACGGTTTAAAACGCGATATATGTTGGTTGAATTTATTTGAAAAATATTTTAACTACGGCCCGACGTTTCGGATGCTTTGCAGCAGCCGTGCTGACGGGGAGGCGCCCCTGTACTACTCGCATAAACTACAGACAATACTTAGATTGTTTCTTTGCCCAGTTATAGTCACTAAATAGTAATAAATGCGTTTATTATGAGATTTAAAGCAGTTCTTTGAAGATTCTTCTAACATTTAATTGCTAGATTCGTCTCGAGAGTTCGAATTAAATTCGAGTCCTTTATTGATGTATTCTGGAATGTATATATTTTTCTTGTTTCTTTCACAACGCTCCGTTCAGATATTTTAGTAGTATGACTAGATTACTTGCACTGTACATACATGAAAAGACTGATGAAATCGGTGTATTATTAACTTAAGTGTAATAAATAACAAATATTATAACTCGTTTTTTTATTCTTATCTTGGGATTTTATAAAGAAAAAAATCATGCATTATTTAAAGATTTTATTTAACGAACATTATATTCTTACATAGACTATATCGAAAAAGTTTAAATAGAAAACTTTATTTGGAAAGGCCACCTTATTTAAAACATTGTTTAAAACTTCGGAAGCTTAAAATTTAAACTTACCACAACATAGCCTGAGAACGACTTTAGTTAAATTTGTGCAAATTTCATTTATGTTAGGAGAAAAATTATAAATAAAAATAAGACATCTTCATTTTTGTACAAACATTTTGCTCATATGAATTTAAGAACTTCGAACATTTTCATAGAACTTACATTATACATAGTTTTTACAACTTTCCCTACAAATACTATTTATTTTGTCATACAGTAAAAATTGGTGTTAAAATTTGAGCAAGAACGATTATTTAAGTCCTATATCCGTCCCGCTTACTCTAGATAAGAATGGCAGATAGTTGTGATGTACGTGCGAGAGAGATGACACTACTCTCCCATGGCGTCTTCATATTGTTTCCTGAAACAATCTCCCACAGGGAAGAAGTCCCAGCATCTCTGCGTGTACATGTTCCAAACAAAAGTTTCTTGACCTAGAAACAAGTATGATTAAATATCAAATTAAAAATAAGACCACAAACCACCATTTACAGATGGAAAAGTCGTGAAGTTTAATCTGATTTCAGTATCTGACGATTTCCAAATATCCAAAAGCGAAATAGGGCGATAACGCATCTTGTTTAGTATGTTATATGGCGTATTTCACCTTTCATTAAGTGAAACTCACGCTTGTCTGCCCTCCTCTAATATTTATGTATAAAATACAATATATAACTGAAAGTAACGCGTTATTAAATCGTAACGCACCTGTATATTCAGTATCTGGTTTGTTAATAAGATGCATCAAGAAGAACATGTAATTTGCTAAATTATGCTCTCTTTGCACGTGCGTATCAAAACCATGCGGAACCTGCAAGAAAAGTCCATGTCATTGTGCTGGCATAATATAATATCACGGAACAACGCAGACTTCAGGTAGAAATCTAACTAATATTTTGTTTCAGCTGATATACGACATTATTATGTAACATTTTACTGCAAATATATATCAATTAAAAATCTATTTTACATTGAAAATTGTCGATGACACAAAGTAGCTCAATTAGTAGAATGGTGGTGTGGATCAGTAGGTTTGTAGATTCGAGTTCTGCCAGTGACATTTTATAATTTAAAATACTCTTCGAATATACATGTAAAAACGCGACAGCATTCTTGATAGTTACTCTTGCTTAATATAAAAAAATATCAATGGATTTTTCATAGTGTGTTTGTAAATATTTAAATAAGGATTTCGTCTGTAAAGTTTTAAATTGTTGTGAAAAGTTTGTGGAAGACCTCTACCAAGTAAGCTAGATAAAGCTAAAGCTAGTTGCTATTCGTATAAGGAATTTCAAACTACCGTCATTTAATAGTATAATTGGTTATCATGGAAATAGGAGGATAGAGTTACTTTATCAAAGTAGTCCTTATTGATGCCACAAATGAAGCAATTGGACTCCATGTCTTCCTTCACGGACTCCAGTTGGTCACGGAGTTCTCCGAAGGCGTCGATGATCAAACCTGGTGGGTTTAAAATAAATAAATAATCTGTTTACGAAGTACACAACTTACAACAAAAATGAGTAATATAAGGACACAAAGATTGAAAAAAGTACAATTTTAAGGTTGCTCAGCAAGGCTTGCTAAGCGCTGATTTTTAGTCTGTCCCTTATCAGATAACGATATTTGATTATCTAAAATCTTCTCAAAATGTTGTCCGATCAAAATTTCGAATTTTAGTTCACTATGCTTTCGCTTTATTCGAAAGATTATCTCCAGAATCACACACAGGTCCACATCGCATCAATCAATTCGATGTTTCATCTGTTATCAAGTAAATTGTCAGCTTGTCTGTCCTCTTTTGTCGTTTAAATATTTGCTTTAAGTATACTTACCCTTAAATAAAATACTTTAACTAATATATATCGCGTCTAAAACAGTTAAAGTGTTTTATTTAAATGTGTACTCGCGTAAACTACAGACAGTAGACTACTTACCCTGCAAGATAGCGAGCAAGATAATGATCACGAAGAAGAAGAAAGATATATCGAAAATGATGCGGTACACTTCAGAATCGTCTCCATCTGGTGGCTCCAGTTCGTCGCCAATACCACCTCCTGCGCGTACGCCTTTGTACAGGTTAAACACGAAGCACTGTAAAACAAATTCATTGATATCATATTTAAGGTCAACTTTTAACAACTAGATTATTAATGACCATAAGAGGTAGATGTAGTCTGTGACAATAGTATCAATAATGTTTAAATTAACAAAATTAAGATCCTTTGTATGAAACCTTAAAACTGCTAATATTGCTAAACTGATAATATGCTTAAAAAGTTGTATGAAAATTCAAGGTTTTTGAAGATGGAACAATGAAACTGTCTTTTTTGGCTTTTTGGGAATAGGAGTGGGAGAAGGCGTGGGTGTGGGAGTGATAGTGGGAGTTAGAGTAGGAGTTGTGTAAGGTGAGAGTGTTGCGGCAAAGTAGCACTTACCATAGATTGGCTGCCTTAAATGCGCCCTTACATAAATTAATAAACAGACACAATAATTAAAAATTCCACCGTAAGTCACTATTCCACGCGGATGAAATCGCGGGCACAGCTAGTATTCTATATTGTCGTTGACCCCAAACTACGTTAAAAATTGCGTTGTCGGCTTATAAAACTTACCGACAGCATATCATGACAGTTCTTGTTGACCTCGTCATCTTCCTCTTGCACGTAGAACTTGCGGAAGAAGTTGAACGCAATAACCGTGTATATGTACACTATTATTGTTAACAGCATCACTGTTAACACCAGCTGCAAGTAAAAAAAAAGCATGAATTAATGTGGGATGAAACGCAATTTTCCTCTATGGGGATAGAAGTGAAGGAACAAGTCACAGTCAATTTAAAAATCGATTCAAGATAAAAAAAAATAAGGCAAACAAAAATTAAAAAAAAAAAACTTTTTTGTTTTTAGCATTTAATTAAATATATATATACCTGTTTTCCGTTATGCGTGACAGACTGCAAGATAGTTCTCAGCGTCTTGAAACCAACAGCGACATCTAGCAAATGCGCGGCGAAGAAAAAGTTGTTAAAGTTCCCCATCACGGAGAAACTGAAGTACCATAGAGAGTAGAGGAACGAGTTGTCAGTTATCGTTACACCAGCTTTCCACACTTGGTAACGCCAGTCTATGTTTACAATGCTAAAAGAAGATTATGATTAATAAGATTTTTATAGAATAGAGATAGGGCATTGGTTCATATAACATCTCAACAAGATACGCGGTCAACCTATTTTAACTTTGGACATACGAAAATTGAGACTGATTGCGATTAAGCTTCACGACTTAATCTGTGGACGGTAATTTGTACCCAGACGGAATTTGGATATGTCTACCTCCCTTTTAACTTTCAGATTTTCAGACGAAGTTCAACATGTTTCAGAATTATTATAAATTAGTTATACTTTTGAAAAACAATATTATTCCCGTTGTTGCACATTTCATTACATGAACATCTATTCAGATTGGAAAAAATACGACACGAGTTTCACAGCGATCCATGCTGCAGGTCTAACCAATAGAGCTACCGTGTTTTTTTTTAAATTGATTCAACAAGCTGGAACCGGTGAAAATCTGTCCTACCAGTTCATTATAAGGCATTCTTTGTTAGACTAACGAACCAGTCAAAAAAGATAAGATCTTATAAATCCAACTTATACTCGTGTACTTACTAATTCCACAGACCCCGGTTGCCTTCCTCTTCTTGAGCAGTAAAAGATGTCTTCTCCATTCCCAGCATGTTTGATATCGAGTCGAAATCATAGGTCTCGGAATATTTTGCACGCACTTTCTTTTTGATAAACTTATCCCAGTAGTTCACTGGGAAAGATCTAAAAAAAAGAAGAAGACGTAAACAGGAAATTCTAAACATTGAAAACTTTACCTTCGACTAAACCTAATATGATTTGAATAAAGTACTTTAAGGGTTTAATACAAGATATATATAACGATACGAAATATTTATTATGTATATTTATACCGGCCCGACGTTTGTTGTGGTTACGGGGAGACTGTCTCCCCGAGACCACGGTGCGCGATATACATATTAGTTGAAATAATTTCATATGATGCGTATAATGCTATCATCATTAACTTGGTGTTAGAAGTCGTAAAAATCCACCAACCCATACCGAAGCCGCTTAATGGGACTCATTATTTATACAATCATGAAATAAATAAATTAACATGTAAAAACTAACTTGGCAGATATAACGAGTTTATCCCAGTGACTCTTGAGGTCGTCGTCTTCAGGCTGTTCTGCTATGTACAAACCATCGAATTCCAGGCGGCGAGCTATGTCTTTCTCTCGTTTAAATATGGCTAGCGGTACCTAAAGTAGTAGGTAATATATAAATACTTAGATGGTCATCTATATTAATATAATAAAGTTGTAGAGTTTGTTTGTTTGTACGGGATAACCTCAGGAACTACGGGTTCGAATTAATAATTCTTCTTGTGTTGGTTAGAGCATTTATTGATGAAGACTTTAGTCTATAATATCAGGATGCGACCACTAAGAGCGAAGATCGGGGGAAAATGTGGAGAAAATAGGGACAAGTATCTTTGAGTTATTTCGTTGTGTGCGTTGCGAAGACGGTTCAAGATACCAAAAAAATATCTATGAAAGAATGATTCCTCTTTACATGATCCAAAAAAAAAAACCGACACAATATATGTCTATCTTGTAAGATTAACTCGCAAGAACGACGGCACGCGGACGACATCGTGGGAAAGAACTCATAACTTATAAAGCTCAGGAGGTGGTTTGCAAAAACAAAGTGTGCTATTCTACGCGGACGAAGTCTTTCAGTTAGTAATATATAAATAGATGGTCATCATCCTGAATTCTCAATAGTCTATGGACCGCATAGCAGCGTTCTGAAAGGAAATATTCTAAGCGCAAGTACTTTTTAATATTGGTTATATTTCCCGACCTTGAGATGATAATATCCAATAAGGATCGCAAGCGAAACGATCGAATGTAGGGCTGCAGCCATGTTTATAACGTGTTCCATGTAGAAAAAGTCCTCATCTATCTGGACAACCTCTAAGCTATCATCGTCGTCTCCTCCTTCACCGCTGCCTACAAAGCAATGTAAGATTAAAGTATTACGAACAAGCACAATGCAAAAATAAGATCACAATTTCTATTATACTGTACAGAAATCGCTAAACAAGTATATTTGCTCTTACCATCACCACTGCCGGATCCTTGACCTGATCCGGAACCACTGATTATGTCGCCAATGCCGGAACCTTCACCCTTATCACCATCCAGAGTAGATACCTTAAAAACGAGGGGAAATACATCGCTATAATAAACGAACTGATTCTGCCATGTTCATAAAAGTTTTATAAATTTATAATGGCAAAAAATACGTATATGGATGGGTGCCAATCAGTATCTAAGGCGGCCCATAGACAATCAATATTATTGTGCAATATCCCGGGTTGTAGAACCCGGGTGGCCGTTAAAGTATTTTGCAATCCAAATTGCACAACAATATTGATTGTATATAATAATTATATTGTTATCAATTGTTATTTATATAAATTAAATCTCTACAAGACCTTATAGTGACTATTTTAAAAAACATTTGATATGTAATTTATTAATGTTTTAAATGTAAAATTCTTCATAATATACATTTAGAATAATAAAATATATTTTAATATTTAATATAGTAATGTAAAAGTTTTAAATATGTGATTGCTTATTGGTTATTAGTTTTAATGCCCTGTCGATTTTAAATGAGGCTTATCATTATTTTCGGATAATACAACTGAAAATTGTCGCGACAAAGAAGCAATAGAGTTTTTATACATATATAGTTAAGTGAATTTTTAAAGTATTTCTTCTATGTAACGTTGACACACGCCTGTGTTATTTTCACCGATAACTTTTACTTTTAGAAAACAAGTAGATCAAACTTTCGTTCCTCTGTCTCCCTGAACGTAGAGTCACTTACATTAAAAGCAAAACATTACTGCACTAAAGAGGTGATCATAAGATTAAAAACACTCACCTTATAGAAGAGCAACACGAAGTTGATACAGAACGCAAGAACTAACGCCACGTACTTCAGGTTGTAGAAGTTTCTCGCGAGGAAGGAAACTGCCCGTTTCGTGTATTTCGACAAGTCCACTTGAGAGAGCGCAGATGGGGCGGGAACTTGTACTGCCTAGAAATTATACCGAAAATAATATTATGACAAAAAAATGAACGGTTTAAAACGCGAAATTATTAGTGAAATATTTGTATATTTATTTTACGTACGTTTCGGTTGCTTTGTAGAAGCCGTGGTCACGGCCACGTTTTAAAACAAAATAGATAAAATAGGCATCTAATTCACGACAAGAGGAAAAGCCGTGAAAAATCGCATTTCGGTTTCAGTTAAGATTTTCGAATACTGTCTATAGTTTACGTGAGTAGTACACATTTAAATAAAACACTTTAAAGATTTAAACCGTTTTACGGTCTCCCCGTGACCACGGCTGCTGCAAAGCATCCGAAGCGTCGTGCTGAAGTTAAAAATCATTTTTAAATAAGTTTAACTAATATATCGCGTTTTCAACCGTTAAAGTGTGTTATTTAAAAGATTTTCAAACGTCTAAAGCTAAAGTTGACAGCACGTCTTGTTAAATGTTATGGTTATTTCACCTTGCATAGAGTAATTCCATGATTGTCTGTCCTTTTATATCATAAAACAATGTATCCATTAAAAATTAAAAGTGACATTCCTACCTTTTTAAATTGATAAGTTTCTAATCCACGCTGCATAAACGAATTCAAATACATATGAAAGTAATGTAATGAAAGAAACATTTTGCATGCAAGCAGTTCAAGGGGGGGGGGGAGAGAGATCTTTCCAAATTTTTACCACAAAGGGGTGAATGAGGAAACAGGTAATATAGTTAGCAGATAACGTGGACTGATCACCCGGCCATTTATCAGTGTAATTCTAAAGTTTGCTCGCTTACTAATAAAGATGAAATAAACTATATCCTACCTTCTTGCTCTCTGCCTCGATGGCGGACATTGCTGCTTGCTGTGCTGCCTGCGCCTCCATTCGTTCCTGGGCTTGTTTCTTCGCTTGTTCCCCGCTAAAATATTACTCTTTTATATATTTGTTGCAGACTTATTATAGAAAAAAAAAACCTAGTAAATACAATTTTCAACGGTGTAAAATTCGAAATATATTTATGGAGAAGTAAGACATTACATGGGTAATGCTAGAAATTCCACCCAAGTCAGGGCTATCCATGGTTGAAAAGCTATAAAATATTAATTGGAGTTACATATAAATATTACACGTAGTTCTGGGGTATTCCACCTGTCATCAAGTCAAACTTCATACTAATACATGAGGAACTTTTCTATATATTAAATAAATATCATGACATACCCAAGTAGATCGATAAGTGAGGGAGGTTGCTGTTCTTCTGAATGCTCTACGCTTTCGTCTAACGAAACTTCCGCTTCCTCACCGGAAGATGGCGTCGATGCAGTAGGAGACTCATGAGGTTTAACTTGTAGCCTTGAAAAGAGATTCTAAAGTAATCAAATCCACTACTATAAAGTATAACACAAAGGTTTTATTTAACTTACTGGCCATTGTCTTCTTTAGTAATATCCAAACCGAATGCGGAGACTTGCATTTGTCCTGTATCATCAGCAGCTGGTAACGCGGGTAAGTGACGCGATGGACCTGAAACAATCCGATAAATATTATATTATTCAATAATAAATAACAATAAAACTTAATTCCACTATTACTACCCTCTAATCCTATTTTTATATTTTGTAATTCAAACATTATTTGTTCTTAAGGATATATATATTTTCATACTTAACCAAACAATCTTCAAACTTACCATACTAAATCAGGCAAGGTACAAATATAGGTTTAATTTTTGAAAACATTAATATTTTTCACGTGTTATTGCACATGAAGGCACTATATAATTTAAAAATCGAAAATAAATTGAAAAAAATTTCGACTCGGGCAGGACTTGAACCGGCATCGTCAGCTTTCCGTGCTGTTGTTGCTCTACCAACTGTGACTCGGTAGCTCAATTGGTAGAGCAACAGCACGGAAAGCTGACGATGCCGGTTCAAGACCTGCCGAGTCGAAATTTTTTTCAATTTATTTTCGATTTTTTAATTATATAGGTTTAATCTTGTAAAATACTTTATTTAAATCAGACGCTTATACCACTATCCTGTCTCCCATTTTGGCACACAAATACAAATTTTATCCCAAGCAAAACTTATAACGCCAAACTTTAGTTTATTAACCAAATTCATAATGAATGCATTTTAGTTTTTAGAATCGTCTGTATTAGCGTAAAACGAAAGCAAACGACGTAAATTTAGAAAACAGATTAGTCAAAATTTTGAAAACATTAGCATCGGCCTTGGCGTTAAGTATGATTTGACAAGCGTTCGGTCACCATTTGAAGAAATAATCCCATTTTTTAATAGAAAAATAAAATAATGAACAGTAAATCTTGTATATACAATGTCTCACCATTAAAACATCTATGAGATGCTAGAATTCATATAAAACAAAATATATATTTTTTTAAACTACCCTCACTCTCCACGAACTACCATCACCGGTGACCGAACATAGCGAAGCTCGCACGCTAATACCTGTGTCCCCTCTTACTTTGTGTTAGCAATCTGTGTTTGAACTGACCGATTTTCTCCTCCTCTGTTGGTTCTGGAGGAGGTGGCTCCTCCACATGAGGCCCTCGCATCAAACCGAGTAATACACCAAAAATGTACCTAGAGAACAAAAATTACAAATACATAGAACAGCTTATTATTTATCATACTCTTAATACCAAGTAAAAAAGAGTGATGTAACATTTTGTGATGCAAATTGGAGAGGTGATTACAGTGGTAAGAATCGTTCATCATTGAAAAAGAAGAAAAGTGTTGATTAAAAAGTAGATATATAAAAATTGTAAGACAAATTTCTTTAATTAAACATGTAAATCAATACAAGCAAGTAGTTACCAAATTACAAATAAGTGTCAAAGTAACAAATATAATAAAAGACTAATAAATTGTGTAAGGCTTTCACGGCCACCGTTCAGGATATCATTGTTTTTCGGGCTGTTAGGCCGATGTGAGCGAGGAAAGGTTCACGACGTTTCGCCATTACGAGCGGATGGCATCATCAGGAGATGTTAGCTTCTCGATTGCTCGCAGAACCTCTTCGCTCACGTCGGCTGAATAGCCCGAATAAGAATGATATGCTGACAATAAAAGACTATCAAAATCCATTCATAAATCAATCCTAGGTTTCCAAAATAAGAAAAGTAACTAACTACACATTTACACATTACATATTATGTGATCATTTACCAATGACTGTGCATCGGGTGAAGCATGAAATGAAACGTTAAATTAAGTGTAAATATTTGACATCCATAGTTTCAGCGTACAAAGTCGATTGATGTTTTAATTATTGCCTATTACATATGTGTTTCGCATTATTTATCTACGTGTTATGCATGATGTATGCGGTTAAGCATAAGAGGGCCTGGGATTGATTCCTGGAAACAAAACGCGTTGTTGTCACACAGAAGTCTGATATTTAGGTTAATTTTTTTGGTGGTGGAGGGTAGTTACCTTAAAACGATGACAAATCCATAGCCAATATAGTAGAATAAGTAGAAGAACAATTTGAAGAAGCCCAGCAAGAGTTGCCCGGGTGGCATCTGTTGCATGTCTGCAATTTTAGTCTTAATGTTCGACGGAGATAGGGACGAGAACGCTGTTGATATTCCATCCTTCACTGATTGGAAGCCGCGGCGGAATGGATCTTTTCCCGCTCTGTGGAGGCAATATTTAATTTAAATGGTATAAAGTTTATATTTATTAAAGCCATTAAAAAAACCGTTATTGTAGAAAATACATAAATATAAAACAATGGAAAAACACCAAAAACGGCTTTAATGGCTGGCTTTTCGCTAAAAGGCGATCTCTTTAAGTAACGTCTAAGCAAAATGAAATAAAAATAAGTTAAAACATACAACACAAAACATCATGTGGTATAGATTTTATAGTAACAGACATCAATATAAAGATGTTAAAACCTTTGTTCAATTATATTGTTTAAAAACTACGCTATGCAAATATTTGCTTTTCTACATTTTGAAATGTTTGTGGTAGAGACGTATATGGAAATTTGGTTCTTACCTCTCTTCATCATCATCACCCAAATAGGTATATGCAGCCTCCCTATTCTTTGGTCCACTCGCAGATTCTTCGGAAGCCGCCATTAATCCAGACGCATGCGTCATTTCAAAGATGGCGTCCTCACAGAAATTAACGAACGCTTCTAATTTTTCCTTATCACCTCCTTCAGTTACTATGCTGTAGAAGAACGCGCGTTTTGATTCCTGTAATGATTCAATATTTAAATTATAGTATAACAGAAAAGGTTCCTTATCTACACTAATATTGTAAATCTGAAGAAGTTGTTTGTTTGTTTCTCAGTCTGTTTCAAATTAAAAAAAAATTTTTGGTTGGACCGTTTAACGAAGAAAGCTATTCACAAGTCTAATATACGAATGAATCGCTAAGCATATCTCGAAAACGAAATTAAAATTACACCTCTGCTGCTTACGACGAAACAGATAAATAAAATTATACCTTAATCTGCGGTTTCTCCCATTGCTCGATATTAGACTCTTTGATCTCAAAGTAGACTCGCTCTATACGTTTGGATCCGCCCATAATTTCGATCCTGCCCAAGAATGGTTCGAAGTAATTGAGAACCGAACCAGCTGTCTCCAGGAATCGAGCTAATCTAAAATTCATAATATGTTCGTCTGTAGTTTACGCCAGTAGTATTTTAATAAACCACTTTTAACGGTTTAAAACGCAAATATATTAGGTAATTGTACTTAAAAGACGTCAAGAATTTAACAGCAGCTGTGGTCACGACTAGTTTGTCTTAAGTATGGCAATATTTGACTTTCAAGGATGATGCCTACAATGTTGACCTTCCCTTGACCACGGCTGCTGAAAAACACCAAAGACATAAGTCATATCATACTTATGAATCACGTTTGAAGCCGTTAAAAGTATTATAATCACTGAGAATAGTGCATTATTATTATTAATAACACAAATAAAAACACCAACATCCTATCTATAAACAATCTTATGACATTTTTAACACAAAAATACCTGGGTTCATTTGGCATATGTTCGGATAGGTTGGTCAGCAGTACAGCTAAGTTAAAACCGATTTCCTTCGCCGGTTCATGGAACCGGTCACAGAAGCCAACATAGTCCAGCTTGCCGTCATGGTTCGTTTCACAGCAGGCCAGAAGGAACTCAATCTCTTCTCTGGAAAGAGAATTGAAAGTGACATAGAGAGGGGATACTTTCAGAAATGGTTGTTAAGAGTCTATCCGAAATTATCTTTAATCTAAGTTAGACTCCTCTTCTATATAAAAAAAAATAAGTGAAACCTATTACCCCTTTTCGTGACGATGGAAATCTAAAGGCCTTTCTATATTATTAATATTTTTTAGATTCTGAAATATGTATATTTTTTGTTCTACGTACGTACGTTTAGTTACGCAAAGATATTTCATAAAACAGATACATACGGCGTATAACTCTTCTGTTGTTCCATCTTCTCCTTAAAGTCCTTCGGCGTCACCCAACCGTCATTATTCGCGTCGATTTCCTTGAAACTAGCGCTCGAGGTGAGATCCTTCAATTTCAGGAACATGTCGAAGTATTTCAGAATCAGTTCTACATTTGATGCCGACTCTACGAGTGTGTCCACCATTTGCTTTCCAATTGTTCCTGAATTTCAAAATAGTAATTTAGTACTGTCTGTAGTTTACGCGAGTAGTACAGATTTAAATAAATCACTTTAACGGTTTTAAACGCGATATATATTAGTTAAATTTATTTGAAATATATTCTAATTACGACCCAAAGTTCAGTCTCCCATCCGAAACGTAGATCGTAAAATAATTGTGAAATAAGTTTTACTAACGCGTTTTAAACGGTTAAAATGTTTTATTTCAACAGTTACGTTGAAATAAAATCCAACATATTGCTTTCATTTCTTTTTGGAAAATGTTTTATATCTCACCATTGACAACGTTTCCTTCAAGCATGGAAAGCATCATTGTGATCATGTCCTTCTGTAAATTGAGGAGCTCCTTTAGAAGATCGACTTGTGAGGAGTGCTTTGACAACTTGTCTTGCATATGCGAGAATAGGAAAAGGAAACCGCCAACAGCATCCCATAATCTGAAATTAACGTTCATTATGATGTCGGCCAAAATGTTACGGAATTTTAGTAATTTAAAGAGGAACGCAAATTTCCTAATTTCCCTTATTAAAAATGACATCGCATTAACCGTTAAACCAAACCGTTATAATTTGTAAAACTTAACTACTTAACTGTTAAGACCAATCGTTTGCAAAAAACTGATGATTATGGAAGAGGCATAGCTCAATTTACTAGAACAGCAGCATGCTGGCTCAATTCACTAGAGGCATGGATCAACAGCATGGACCGTTTGGGATCGTTTTTAGACTTTCTCAAATTTTATTTTGACATCTCTTCGAACTGCTTAATATTCTCGTTGATAAATCTTATTAATTTAGCTATTTTATATTTAACCAAGAGAATAAGATACATTTTTAAAGGGAATCTTTAATCTCACACCTGGAATGCGCTAAAGCCTGTTGATTCTGAGTACAAGGACCTTGTATGACTTCAGTGAGAGTGTTGAACACCTGGGATGCTACTCCAATCGCTTTGAAGAAGTTTGCTTTACCCGCGGGATCTATTAATTCCTGTAATTTATCAATATTATAGTATTATGTAATCGTGATTCCGACAAGGCTCCCTATCATTTTAATCAAAGGACTGTATTAATTTCAAACAGTTATTCCGACAAGAACGACTATATTGTAGGTAAAAATTCATTTCTTTTCCTATGAAAACGTATACAGATCTATTTTTGAGCGTTCCGAGTCACGCGATGTTATGTTTGCAATAGAATTTTTATCTAAATAAGTTGCACTGTCGAAATAATTTGTTTCTTTATATATATATATATATATAAATATATTATATAAAGAATATATAGATATATATATATATATATTCGGATCCGGATTATTTTCCTAATGAAACACACTTTTTTGTACCTTGCTTGAATAATGCCAATAGAAGTCCATGATCGATTCTTGCAACCGTAGCAAATAATCTACTGTGCAAATGACCACGTTAACGGTTGTAGTGTTACCAGCTTGCGTACGAAGGTAGTTTTGCCATTCTGCGTACAAATATAAAAGTATTAAGCATCGTATACTACAAAGACATCATACAATTCTTATTAAACCTAATTGTCTCAAAGTTGATAAGGGGTTGTCCATTAATCACGTGATCTTTTTTAGCATTTTTTAACCCCCCCTTCCCCATTGGCGATACTTAGTGAGATTTAAGACCACCCCCTGTCCCCCTTCTTAACATCGCGTGTATTTTTAGTACCTACAGAGAAGCTTAAAATTTTCTGAATATTATCTTAATTTAAGTACAGGTATAAACTATAATCTTATATTATTCTGAAATTAAGAACCATAAAAAAAATGTCTACAATCGCGCGATTGACGAAAAAATAAATACACGAGATATCTTACTACACCCCCCCTCCACCTTGTGTTATTTTCGTGATTTTTATCACCCTCCCCCCCACCCCTTCAAGCCTCACGTGATTAATGGCAACCCCTAAGGCAATATAAAAAAAAAACTTATTGTAATAAGCTGAAATTCAAGCTATAGCTATGGTTAACCTTGAAATTAAAAGTAATGATTTCATGCATCTATTATAGGACTTTAAGGAATAACACATACCAAGATTGTGTCCTTCGCAAGTAAGCTGTATGAATCTAAATAGCGCGCAGGTAAATTCTGCGTCATGCATGTTTTTCTCACCAGCAGCGCCCTCTAGTCCAACACCGAGACCTATAAATAGTTTTTAAAATATTTATATCTACTCATACCATTGCCATAAAAACTCTTATTATATCAACTAATTAGGTAGTATTATAATTCATGCTTTCTGGTTCACAAATTGAAATGTGTAAATAAGAATCTATTGAATAATTTAATTTGCTTTTATGCTATTGCGCCATCTATAATAATAGTATATAAAACGCGGCATTAGAAAACAAAATATATAAATAAAAGAAACAATTCTACGTGAGAGAGCCACTAAAATAAAGGTTCCATAAAATGTTACCTTCGGCCTTCGTGTTTCGTTCAAATGCATCCAGGTCGAGAACAGAACAGGAGTTCATTAATCCAGCTATTGATGTAAAGAAGCCCACGTCTTTTTTATCTTTGAGATGGTTGAGCATACCCTAAAATTGTAATGATCAAATTATCTAGATCATTGAAAATAGAAGTTATATGGGTAAAGGCAAGGTATGCACATAAAAAAAAGTTTCGAAATATCCTACCATTTGGATATCGATGTTGCCACCTCTCAAAATAGAGATCCCCAACTGCAAAGTTTTCATGACCATGTCGCTGGGAACGCCCTTCGAAGCGGAAATATGTAGCAACACCATTTCAGCTACACCGCGGTTAGCAAGGCGTGCTTGGTGAAATAATAGCTTCTGCTTTTCCATTTCTTGCTCCTAAAGCCCAATACAAAATGATATCATTAATATAATTTAAGACTAGTTTTTTGGATTGTACAATTTCACATGTTTATTTAGTTTATCATCTTTATACATTAATTTAAAGTGATCCCCGTTCACATCGATATATTTCTCAGTCCAAGAGGCTCGCTCGCGATTTAATCTTATATTTTGATTATATTATATTTTATGTCTTTACAAAATACATGAAAATGACGGGAATGTAAGAGATGGGAAGACGGGCGGCAGCACTTCGGGAAAAAGAGGGGAGAGAAAAGAACAGGAGTTAGGAAAGATTTTTACCATATAAGACAAGAGTCACGAGGCAGGAGATAAGGTCACTATACTATGAATCACTGAACAACTAAGGTTAAAAGGCTATAAATAACATACCATATAAGTATCCATAGTTTTCTGCATGTAAACGAATAACGTAATTTAATATTTGACATCTAATATACTTATCCTTTTTTTATTCGCTTACTTACGGACTACTACTTGAGTAATCTTGTAAATCGTTATACTAAAATAATAGTTTTCTTCTCTTTAGAAACACTTTATCATTTATCTGTAACTATGTATTTATTATTATGACTTATTAAAGTTACTTACGTGTATGCTAGATTTTCCTTCATCTTCACCTTCTGGTTCACCACCTCCCTCCTCCTCTTCACCACCTTCTTCCTCTTCCTCTCCACATGATTTTGCGATAATATGTGCATACGACATGTACAATGGATCTTCCTACAAATAAAATTTGGATCAGTTTGAGTTAAAGTAATGTATTAACATATAAATAAACAAATCTTGTCGCATTACCTGTAACGCGCCAGATCGTTCCGTCATAGCACCTCGACAGAATGTGGTGACCAGCTGCGTCAAAGGATCTGGTTTTCCTTCTTCTTCTACCACGTCACTCTTTTTCAACTCTGCGTCTTCAAATGATTGCTATAGGAGATAACAGAGATAATTAGAGCATAGTACTGTGTTGCGAAATATGTAAAACACTAATGTAACATAATGTTAATTTTTATCGTAATATTTTTATTAAGACCTTACCGTTAAGTCCTCTATCATTACTTCTTGTCCAATATTCTCTTCTTCTAGCCATAGTTCATAATATGTTCTGGCGAAGATGTTACATGCTCTATGCCTGTATAAAAAAACAACTCTATATACTCTGATAAATTGGGATCAAATCCTGGATCTTGCAAAACGTTAGTTTGGACATGAAAATTAAATCAAATACTGCCCCAGAGTTTGGAAGTAGGACGTGTCACCGACCTCGTATCCTGGACTACGTTAAGCGGCCTGGTCCCGGTTTTGCTAATCGGTGGTGGTTAAAGTCTGTTAACCCACACTGAACCAGTATAGATGCGACTCGCCCTCTCTACTATGAGAGAGGCGTAGCACTTGGACACTGATAGATTTTAATCGACAGAAAACATAAGAGTACCGGCCAAGTTTGTAGAGATGCGTAGATCTCAAACAAGCTACAGCAGCTCTTTTTCTTGCAGCACAAAGAACTCTTTTCCAGTTGTTTGTAGTCTGTTTTGGCTTCGTTGCCTGTCCACGCAGCGTGCAATACACTCATGCGGGTTAGTGCTATGGAATTAATTGTATCATCCAAGTAAAACGTTATTACTTATGCTAAAATTAAATTGCTTTGAAGACGTGTTTAGTGTTAGTAGTAAACAATATACAAGTAATAAGAGTAATAAATTTGATCAATATTGGAATTTGTATTTTGACTGGAATACGACAAAAGCCATTTCTTAAGGCATGGGAGTAAATAGTCCTGAAATGAACTGACAGACCTTGAACCTACGATCGTAACGATGTTGCCACAACAATTGAAAAGTAGTTCAATTGTATGAGCCCCGAGTTTTTTCAAAAATAAAAAAGGTGTTTGTTAGTTACACAATATTTATAAATGAAAATGTTTGTTATGCTTAAAAAAATTGATAGAAATGGACACTATAACACACATTCAACAAACTAAGAACCTTGGTAGAGAATGCAAAGAAGTCTGACGGAAACAGGCGATGACAGCGCGCTTTCGTTGTATGGACACAACAGAACGGTATACGTTCTTGCTCATTTGTTGGGGGTGGTCGATCTATTTCCGGGACAAACATGGATACGAACCATATATCAGTATAAGTTACATATCAAGAAATAAAAAAGGAGTAACTGTCATATTAAAGCAGATATTATTATTATTCCATAAAAAAACAAAAGTTCTTGGAGTTCAGACTGAGCTAGACTTAGTCAAATAAAAAAATCAATTATTCGCTCTGGTCCAAAAAATTGTAGAATTTTAATTAAATGTTGTTAAATAAAACATATTAAAGCAGACACAGACGCGATTTAAATGTTGGTAAATTATCGTAATATTTTGCGTTTCGTATCGTACAGATTTGCATTTAAACCTGTTAATAAGTGTTTTATTCGTTTTATAAGACGTAAGTTACAGATAAAACATAAAGCCACTTCTTAAGATCTTTATAGGATACCCGACCCGAGCTCCAGAAACTTTTAGAAATTCTAACTATCTCCAGATACTGTCTGTAGTTTACGCGTGTAGTACTCATTTAAATAAAAAATACCGTTCAAAACGCTATATATACTAGTTATTTGAACTTATTTGAAAATTATTTTAATTACGGCCCGACCACGGTTGCTGCAAAGCATTCGAAAAGTCGGGCCGTAGTTTAACTATTATAGTAAGTTAAAGTATTTTATTTAAATCTTATTATCTTCGTCTATTAGGTTTTGTTTATCTGTTGGGCTGAAATCCAAATTCAACTCACCATATGCAATCCGAATAAAACTTTGCTCATAGCGACAATCCTCTCCACTGTGTCGTCGATGATCTTGGCTTTGTTTTCAGCAGTGTCCACAGTGACCGTGGTCTTACTTTTCGAACCTAGTTTGCTGTAAAGATAGTGCTGCCACGACATCTCGTCTGCTGGATCGATTTTATCTGGCAGTGTAAGTTGAGTTTTGGCGAACTCTGCTACATCTTGTTCTGAAATTTTCTGCAAAAAATCGTTAATATAATTAAAACAACCAGTAACGGTAACGTGAAGCTAAAACTCTTTTACAATATTTATTGCAGCTTTTTTTATTTCAGTATGTAACTTATAAATATCATCGTAAATAGTAAGTAATAGTAATCATCAATTTCTGGAATTAACATAGTTTGTGTAACACCATCAAAGCAAATCTTTCTTACCTTCAAAAAACGATCCTTACAATGCTGAACCAGTTCTTGTTCTCTACCAGCGAAGAGATTCAAACCAACTGGCAGAAGCCTCTTCAGACAAGCAACCATTAACGAAGCCTGTACTTCTTTGTCCTTATCTCTTTTCTTGTCACGGTGCTTCTTCTTTTTCTGTTTAAGAAGGAGTTATTGAATTTCACTAGATACTTAGCAAATTTTATGTTTAATTAATTTTGCTATTTTATTCCTTGAAGACTTACAAAATTGTAATTAATTATAGGTAGAAAAACTAATTTACATATGCAAGGGGCATTAATGAAATCTATTTATAAAAGCAGAAGAAAACTAATACTCTACTGAAGGTAGTTTAACAATCTACAAAAAAGGGTATTCCAATGATTAGTATATCTACAAGACATTAATACTAAACTACAAAACTAGATTCGTCTACATAGTTATTGATTCGTTATGTATCTTTATTTAAAAAGCCAAATCTGCCATATTTAAATCGTACAACTGTATTCATATACAGTTTTTATCGATGGCTAATAAAAAAAAATTTAAGGGTTACTTATATTTATTGTTTAAACAAAACTTTATTGGACATCGATAAAATGTTCTATATACTGTATGTAGTTTATGCGATTAGAACACATTTAAATAAAACACCAACGATTTAAAACGCGAAATATATTAGTTGAACTTTTTTTAATTTTATTTCAACTACGGCCCGACGTTTGGATGCTTTGCAGCAGCCGTGGTCACGGGGAGACTCGTCAAAGACACACGCAACGTCGGGCCGTAGTTAAAATAAATATATATCGCGTTTTAAACTGTTAAAGTGTTTCCTTTTATAGTTTTAAATGTATCATAAGCAGAATACCATACCTTGCTTATCTGTAGTTGAGAGAAGTGAAAAAGGAAAAGAGGAAAGGACAAAAAACAAAAAGAAACACCAAAATCTATACCTTTCCACCACCTTGCGGGGCTCCGTCCGCAACGGTGGTCACTCTTCTAGTCGCTGTAGGCATTATCAATACCTATGTAGTAGAAAGTGCTTAAAATTACATAAAGTAAGGCTACGTTTAAGCTATTTGCGCCTTCAAAGAAAAGAAAATAGAGAACATAATTGTATGAATGTGATCGCAAGTGGAAATGATACTTGTGCCTTATTTAGAGATACTATATCTTACCATGTTGTCGATTTCATTGGCGGAAATGAAGTTTTGCTCCTCCTTCAAGAAGTACTGACTCTTCGACCATATATTGAATATTTCAGCAACGTGATTGTAGAGTTCTTCCGCCTCTGTAACATTCCTTATACTTAAAAGGTTTTATTTAGCTTGACCCGTACGAAATTTATGTATTTGGGTCAAAATGTAAGACCGTTGTCAGATTGGCCTGAAATTCGGTACACACATTCAATTTAGATGACAATATAATATAATAAAATCAATAACACTATATATCCAAGATGGCCGCCGATACAAAATGGCGGATTACATGTTACATATCAAATAAAAGGGCTACACTATTAAAACGATACACGATTATGTCAATTTTAAGTTAAAACCGTTTAACTTAAAAGTTTTTTTAAGTTGATACTTGTTATTTTAAAAATCGAAAATAAATTGAAAAAATTTTCGACTCGGGCAGGACTTGAACCAGCATCGTCAGCGTTCCGTGCTCTTGCTCTACCAGTTGAGCTATTTATTTTCGATTTTTAAATTATATAGTGCCTTCATGTGCAATAACATGTAAAAAAAATAAAGTTTTTGATACTTGTTCTTATAGTCTCAACTGATCGTTTAAATGAAATAGTTTTAAATGTTTATAAAGCGAGATGTATTGACTTGACATAATACTAGACTATACTAATATTGAGAAAAAATTTAAACAGAACCAAACCAGTTCTTTTAACGTCTTGAAAACTAAGAAATAAACATGAAAGTTTGGTTTAATTTTTTTTTTTTTTCTTAAAATTGAATTGTATAGAGGTTGCTAGTTAAATAACAGTAACAATACAATTACATTGGGCATTGTTAATATCATTATTTGGGGTAAATGTAAAGTTATCGTTATCTTTGCCGCAGGCGCAGCGAAAGACACAGTTGCCATGGTAACGGAGAGGTGCCATTTGCTGAGGTAAATATTATAAGAAGTAAATTATTGTGCAATAAGACTTACCTGACACATTATTTCTCAGCCAATGGTTCCTCTGCAAATCGACGTATTTGATAAGAAGTGGGTAGAACGAGTAAATGTCACGAACCAACAGCTGCCAGTCTTCCTGTATCTGTGACTCTACTTGCGATGTATCGTCTGTTGACGACTGAAAGTTAAATATGTAAGTGATTAAATACATAGTTACAAAAAATAGATACTTGGATTTGGACTTCTTGATAAATAGTATTTAAAAAATACATATAATCTTTTAAGATCTTGTTGTCTGGTTTAAATAATTTTATTTCTCATTTAAATACGTGAAGAACACCTGTCGCAAGTTAAGATAATAATTTTCTTTTAATATGGAAATAAAAAATATATTTATCGCAAGTATCACATCTGACTTCTGACAGTATCATGCCGGTTGTTCTTATAAAGAAGCAATTGAGTCCTGTTTAGAGTCAATAGTATTTACAACCGGTTGGTTATAGGTTATTACCTCTATATCTAAGTTACTGCGTATCCAAAACTAATTAATTTGGATTGATTTTATCGTTTTGGACTATTTTGAGTATATCGGATAATCCAACTATGCGCCGTCTTATATCTAACTATTATATATATTAATAGCATGGAATATGTAGATCTCCTTGACTCACTTTTATAAATCCTCTCAAGCTCTCTTCCTTATGGAACATATTGTCAGTCCTCTTCCTAACCCGCTCCGCTAAAGGAAGGAACGATTCCCGTAACAGCTCCTCCGATGAATTAATTATAATCTGTTGTGTGTACGTCGCGATACGGGTCATCCAGGGAGCGCTTTCGTTTCCTATGTTCTTCTTAATGAGTTTAAGCACATTCTTGAGGAGCTGGTTCATGTGTTCCGCTGTCACCATGGTTACGTGGTTTCTGTAACAAGTTCATATACAAGTTACATCCTGGTCTTTATTGGCATCAAACAAATTTTGTAATTTTTACATTTGGTATGAGTAATCATATAAAATGCAACTAGCATGGGTACACTTGGTGGAAGATAACATGCCTACCCTATCTCAAGCAAAATGCGCTGACGAGCTTTTTTGGCTTTGGATATGACCCGGACGGTTTTCGATATTCCCCATTTAATATATTTCCAGAAGACGTCCAATATGTTTCAGAAAAATTATAAATTGATTAGACACATGTTGGACCCGGTGGGGATCGAACCTACGACCTGTCAACTTTTAGTCATATATTTCTACTATTAAAACCAAGGAGCCCGAGAAAACTACTTGCCTTCTGTTTATCTTGTATCTATGTCCTGGTATTTGATTAATTTAGTTCATCACTATTATTTTCTTATGTTACTTAAACCTTAACTTACCCGCCAGTAGGTGTAACATTATCAGGTCCTTGAGCCCACCAAAATGGTAAGTAGGAACATAACAATGGCAAAACTACATCAATGATATGTGGAGCTTCGCTGTACGTCTTATCTGACTCCACAAAGTGGTCTACCTCGTTCAATATTGTTTCCAGGGTTGGCATCGATTGCTCCATCTTCGCCATTATATCTAAAGTAGAAAAGTAATTCAATAGACAAATAAATATTTAAAATCCTAATTAAAATATGTAAAACCTTTCCTAAAACAAAATTAGTCTCTTAGTTAATCTATTTAGTCAATAAATACCTTGCGCCTCCAACGAATGATCTGCTATACGGTTCAGCAGCGAAAACTGATTGTGTTTGTTGAGATGTGGCTCCAAAAATGCCACAGGGAATGTTGAACTAAATGCGCCAAGACATGAACCCTAGAATTAAGGTAAAAGCTGATTACTCATATATTACTACCAAAAGTTGTAAAGTAGTGTTTGAACTCTTACCAAAGCGGGCTTGTGCCTTTCAATTTCAGTTTTAAGATACTTTCTGTCGTGTGTAAGAGATACATCTGTTCCCAAAGTGTAAAGAGACCCCAGCATCTTATATGAAGCTACTTGAATTTCATCGACTGTAAAAAAGATAACATTTTATTACAATAAAAGCAAATTTGATTGTATCTCAAAGAAAGCAATTATTTTCCAGTAAACATAAAAAACAAGGTTTTATGATGAAATGAAACCAAATCAAAGCCATTAAATTCAATGGGGCATTACGCAATTTAATTTACGATTTTAATGTATTTGGAAACTCAAATGTGCCTTTACGATACAAGAGTATTGTTGTTACTACTTTTAAATGTAGCTCTGGTAAATTATTATAACGAATTATTTCCATATGTTTCATAGGCATATATTTTAAATTAATTAAATTACCCATTCAGATACAAAATAAAGAAACAATAATCATACGAACAAGCGAAGAAGTAAAGGAGAATGCCTTTGTAGATGTGTTGAAGAATATAACGTCCGCTAATCAGATATTACAAGATCTCATAAAAAATTATGAACAATTGCAAAATATTTACAAATCCGACGAAGAAAAATCTAACAGCGATGCAAGTGACAGTGAAAAGAACAATCAATTTAAAGCATTATCCTCTTCTGAGTACACCACTATAACTTCAAAGAATAAGGTATATGGTGTCACTCAAATTATATATACTGGCGAAACGGAAGAATCTATCGAGGAACAATCAATCGAAGACCAGAAAAATAACTCAAAAATAATAGTAGTAGAAAGTTCTGAATTCAAAGAAATAGATCCTACTGTGAGTGGAAATAGAACAGAGCACTTTAGTGATAACTACGAAGAGATAGTGACACAACAATCTAATGAAAAACACGACACAAAGAAAAATGTCAAAACTCGCTTTAGTATACAAAAAGAAACTGCGAAAAGAAATTTCAACAAAGTACGACCAAGTTTGAGACAAGCAAAGGATAAAGTAATAAAGCGAGTCGTTTATGCCGAAGTATTTTCTCCAGACAAAATATGGCATGAAGTAATACATAAGCCAATAAAGCTAAAATTGCACGATGATCGTCCAACGTTTAGAATCCCTAATAGAAAACCCTCAAGTAACGTAAATGATGAAAATTTGAGTGTGTTAGCGGATTCTGGACCCGACGATGAGGTAATTGAGAAAGAGAAGTATAAAAGTTTGATACTACGGAATGCATACGGTGATGCCTGCTTACAAGTTGCCGTTAGAAAGTGTTTTAAAGTAAGTTTATAATATTATTTATTTTAAGTATTATCTATACCTTACGCAAGTAACATTAAATAAAAAAACAGACGCCAACCAACTCTCGTTCCTGCAGTGACCACTGCCGCTGTAGCATATATATGCTATAGCAGCAGTGGTCAAATATAAATATTTATGTTTCGTAGATTAAAAAATAAATTACCTTAAACCGCAATATACTATTTCAGGCTTTAAAAGCTGTTATTAAAGCAGTTTGTAGATTAAGATATAAGTGTAAAAGTGCACTAAAAGGCAGTTTCATAGAAAATGCTAAAAAGGGATGTATTCGTGAATTCGTTAATGGAAAAGATAGTAAGAAAGACAAAAAGGCGGAGGAAATAATATTTGAAAGGACAATTGGTAATAACGAGGAAGTCGAAGATCGTTTGTATTTCATATTAAATATTATTGTACACAAACAAAACATGTTACAACAAACGTATAAATATAATATTGTACAAATGATATTGTTATAGGCACAGAAGTATCAAAATATATCGACCTATGTTTACCCCATCTCAGATCCGATGAAGAGGTAAGTAGGGGGATGGACTTTAACCCAATTTTAAGTGTCAACGAAGATTATACAATTCTAATCTAAAAGAATGAAATCCCATTTCCCTTATACGGGGCAAAGGTCCTGTATGTGTACGTAGTTATATAAAACTTTAGTTCCGGATTCCTACCCTAAAACTCTCGAACTTAATGCAATGATTGGCTAAATTTAACCATTACGAGAACAGCGCCATAGAAACGACCTGATTCACACAAACGGAGCCAATCAAATAAAAGACTAGAATGGTTTAGACATACTTAAGTAATTTGACGATACCTCTAAAAATATACATTTCACAAAGAAAGCCCATTGCACAATTAAAGAGATATCGTATGTTCACACAATCGAAAATATATTTCAGATTAAGAAAGGCTTGCAAAATAAAACGAAAAAATTAAATACCTTAAATATACTGAGGGATAGATTCGAAAAGGCTTGTAAGAAACTATCAGCGCAGAAGTGTCGCAAAGCTTGCAAATTTGCTACCGATAATGCATGCGCAACACACACTTGTCAGAATTCTAAAAAGAGAGCATTTAAGAAGAGTTGCAAATCTGAATGCAGGGTAGCTTATAACCTTTATAAGGCTACGAGTGACAGCGATGAAGATGATGATGAAGAATCTGAGAGCGGCAGTGATCAGTAGAGATACAGATTAAGATTAAAACTGAACACTTTAAAGTTATTTATTTGGCAACATACTGGCCGTAAAATAACACCGGTAGACACTAGGGGGGGATAACTTACCAAGTAAAATTGATCAGTTATCGATCGGGATAAAATGATTAAATTACTAAAGCAGTTGCATGTATTTTCAATGCCACATTAAAAAGCGTACAAAAATTTAAAAAAAAATGTTTGGGCTGGTTAACCTTTATTAGTATTGAAAAAAAGATAGTGACTTATACTACTGAATATGCATTTAAAATTTCATATAAATGGGTAGAGCCGTTTTCGTGGAGTATGGTAACCAATACTGCGACACGAGAATTTTGTATAATAGCTATACTCGAATATAGATAGTAGATATAAAAATTGTAATAACAAATAAAAAGCTAGTTAGGGGGGTAAATGGCGGGTGGGAAGAGATGCTGAATCAAAGAATAACTTACGCAGTAAATCAGCTCCATATTCGCAGTTTGCAAGATGGTCGAACATTGCCGTTAACACTGGTAGCATCACTCCGTTTATGTAGCCCAATGAGGTAGATGTTTTCAAATGGGTTCCACGCAGGTGTGCATATTTGCCCTGAATTAATTATATTGTGATATGTTTATGTATTTAATTACTTAGCTAATAAACAAAAACTCTAATATACAGTATACCATACTATTTCATTTTACTCGATATATAAATACTTCTTTTAACAATCCGACGTTTCGAATTTAACTTTACTTATATCATGGATTTGTGTTAGTTGCAAAAGTGAGTAATATTATTTTGATTGTAAACAATTAAAATGTACTTTATTCGAAGGTAGACTCGCGTAATCTATAGACAATCTGTTATGCTACTCTTCCATTATAAATAAATTAAAAATAAGGAAATTGAAATGTTAGTCTTTGATAACTTTATTATTTTTGACATGTTATTGCACATGAAGGCATTATTTTATTCAAAAATCGAAAGTAAATGGAAAAAATTTCCGACTCCACTATGCCGGTACTCGCGTTTAATTATCGACAATCGAAATGTTAATCTTATTTAAAAAATCTAGTTTTACCTCTTGTAAATTCGAGATCGTATGTCCCAGATCATCAGCCAAGTTATTGAAGAATGTCAACATGGAAGTTCTAATGAACTCTGGGCAGTTCTTCACTAGCGACTTGGCATCGATACCTTTCACCAGCACTTGAAGGCAGCGAACTGTTATTCGTACATCAGGGCCAAAAGCTGCTAACCTGATGGTTTTGGTTTTATACGATAACAAATAATTTTTACTATACCTATATTAATTAGAAAAAGATGTAAAAAAAGCATGAGTCAACTTCATTCTCTTCTTACCTCGATCTCAATAGACTAGCCAATTTGCAGAATAAAGCTGCAACCATTTCTTTCTCTTTTAAACTAGCAGCACCGACGTTGTTTGTAGCTGTAGCCACTGCTATGAAGTAGTTGCGGTGTGTGGAGAAATACTTCTCCATCAGCGGGAGAACCACCTAAACAAAAGAATTAAAAGCTTCTTCTTTATCAGGAAGTTTAAGTAAAAGTAATCTAACATCATGTTCTTTCTTAAACTTCTTGGGTTTTCGAATTGTTCGAGCGTCTTAAGTGAGAATATTTCTCGATGTTTCGTTCATCCCAACAGCTTGAAAATCCAAGTTACACAATATACAATTTAGCTCCTTTATTATTCATGTATTTTAAGCAAGCAGACTTTATAAACTGTTTGTGCACCTGATAGTTCAACAACTTAATATAGACATTTGCAACATTATGTTGATGTGATAAGATGAAGGCATTATTATGTTTACGATTACTTCTACATTTTTGATTGCCAAAATCTAGACAATTAAAGCGGCAAGTCCTATGTTTTACATGACGATGCTTCCCAAATTGTATGAAGTGACGTTATGAATGGTTTATGATAGCCATGTTTAAAGCATTGCACGCGATATTGTCTACATGTTTTGTACCTTCTTGTAGTACTTAAGTTCCTTTTTGTCTTGCTTGTAAGTTAAATACAATTTGTAATATATTGTAAAATTTACTTAAACTTCAATGTGTAGAAATACAGGTACTTACGTATTAACGCCACCACGGCAAAAACGGCAATCGATAACCAAATGCGTCGGTTAGGTTATGTTAGAACAGTTATGTGGACAAAGGGGCTAAGGTAGGGCGAAGCCCCCCACTTAAATTGCCGTCGTCGTCAATAAATTAGGTTTAAGTTGTCCACACTTGTTCAGCATTAAATTTTTGCCGCGGTGGTGTCAATACGTAAGTACCGAAATACAATACCTTGGAGAAAAATTTAATATCCCTCGTGCTAGTCTTAAAACTGGATCTTCTGCTGAAGGTAGTCGATGGTTTCAAGAGCTTCATGTTGATAGTAGCTCTATCTATATATTGGATTAACTTTTCCAGCAACGAGTACGCGAATCTAAGCTCTATTGAAACACCAGTAGCGGCTTGTTCCGTGTCACTTTGTGTTGCTTTACTGGGTCTGTGTAATTTGTACCCTTGGTACTGGAGGTATTTTAGAAACTCCTGAGACCGTTCGCGATCCTTCTTCTTTTCTTTGTCGGTTAGTAGGTCGTATGGGACAAGCTGAGGGTGTATTCCTCCTACAACATAATATAGTAGTAATAGTAACTATATTCATTACAAGGGGCTACATTTCAGAAATATGCCGCGATTATAGAAAACGGGACTAAATGACAATGGATATAAGATTACAAATACACTTTTTATATTATATTTTAGGGATACGTTCAGGTGATAAAAAAAGCACATAATTCAAAAATCAAAAATTTAATTGATGACTTTGATTTATCTTCAGGCTTAGGTACTGGTTAATCAAGTTAAGTGAATTTTATATTGCTTGGCAGTTTTAAAAAGCTTCTTATGGCAGTGTCATAAGAAATATGCCTCTTGAAAAAACACTTCGTTTCATAGACTGATCAATAAACTTTGAGTTATAGCGATATACTTATTACTATTTTAGTATGCAGAAAAGACAATGACTTAGCTAAAATACCCGGTGATATTGAGAAATAGAGAGAGTCTTACCACCATTAGTTACCAGTTCCTCCTTCTTCTTCTTAGCCCAGATGTCGTGGGCATTCTCAGCTAATCTTTCAGCCATATTCTGCATCTCCCTCGATAGAGTAAGATTAGTCATGTCCACTGGGTGAGGATTGTAATTGAATGGAGTTGCTGAATCCTATTAAAATATTGGTAGTAAGTACGTGTACTTTCAATTGGCTATTAAATTGAAAAATGATAATTTGCTTTCTGGGCTGTTCGGCCGACGTAAGCGAGAAGACGTTTCGCCTTTGCGAGCGGACGGCTTCAGGACATGTTAGCACCTCGGATTGCTCGAAGAATCCCCAAAAAACAATGATAAGCTGAACGATGGCCGTGAAAGCCTGACACAATTTGATAATTATGTGATTGATTTATGACACATATTAAAATACAACAATTAAACTTGAACACTAGTTATTAATTTCTACTTTTATAATTTCAAAATCAGGAACGAAATTCGAAACACGATGATCAAAATAGATTATTAAGCTTAAGTATACAAAATTTGTACCCCCACATTTTCTATACCTAAGCTACAGCGTTAACTAAAGTAATATCATTTTAAACCCTACAAGACCTAGGTTATCAGACGTTCAACTTACTATAGAATCCGGAGTGCGCTGATAGCATAAAATCATAAAAATAGTTTAATATGATTGCGATTAGATTAAAAACAAAATTGTATTAAAAATATTTACCAATTCATCATCCTTGACGCATGGAAAATGATATCGTTAATGCCACATTGTTTTACTTATATAAACGCCAAAAATACATACCGTATATTGTCAGTAACGTATGTCTAATAATCAATAAGCCGTGAGTTCGATCCCCACCAGGTCTAACATGTTCCTAATCAATTTCTAATTTGTTTAAAACATGTTGGACTTCATCTGGATGGGTGGTAGGAATATCGAAATTCCGTCCGGGTCACAAGCCACCGTCCACAGATGTAAAATCCGTGAAGTGGAATGGCGATTCAAAATAAAATACTATTTTATTCTCTTTTAAATTATAAAAATTATTTAGATTCGTCAATTTTTTTTTTGTTTGTCTGTCTGTTTGTCGTGATTCCACAGTGTTCAAAAGAGCAACATAACTGAGAAGAACACCCAAGAAACTCAGTCCGGCTTTTTTTTAACTTGTCTTATAAACTAATACATTGTGAATTTATTAACTTAGGGAGCAATACATATTACTGCCAGGCGGTCTTGTCATTGAAGAATTCGTTTAGACAATAATACGCCTTTTGAGACAATCTAAATTTTATAACTTTTTTTTAATTTAATTTAATTCGGTTTTAGTCTGCCGGTTTCCACAGTCAAAAAAGTCAACAGTGCATCATGTTAGATGCCTGGGATATGTCACCTACCATCATGTGAACTCAATGCTGGTCTGTCCACCGCTATCATAAAAAAGTGTACGTATGTAGGTAAAAATACACACAGTTAAATTAATAAGAATAAAAGTACTTACGATTCCAGTCTTAGACTGTCTTCTCATGGAACTTCTATTATTGGTAGGGATGTCCACTTCGGAGTGTTCTACTGACCAGCCGATAGCCAAGAGCGCTTTCAAAGACTCACGCACTGGTTCCTTATAACGTTCTTTCTCCTATAAAATACCATGTAGTAAAGAGAAGTAAGTACCATCTTCCCTTCTTATTCGTATAGATGAGAGAGACAACAACGGCTTTGAAGTATTATGTAGTGTCACCGGTTTCTTATATTATTACATCCTTCTATAAAATAACCATAAAACAAAAGTGCCGTCTCCCCTTTTTATTCGTATACACGAGAGAGACAACAATAGCACTATTGTTGTCTCTCTCAAGAAATGAACTTGAACCATAATACTGTTATGGTTCAAATTAATTTCTTCTTTTTAAATGAACAATTACTTATTATTTTCCTGTTTGAAATTACATAAAAATCTTTAGTTCAGTGTTGTAACCACTATGTAAAAACGTTATTAAAAATAGGTAAATACTTACATAATCATTCAGCATATTGTAGGGTTTCAGACGTGGATGTGTTTTCTGACTATCCGACCAGGAATCACCGTAGACCCAGCCGTTCTCAATTTTTCTGAAAAAGAAAAAAATGGTTGATATAAAAATTGTCAAAGTATTTTTGTTGTTAATTCGAGTAGAACAAATTCACTTAAAAATAATGGCGATTAGTTAAAATAAGTTAAATAAACATTTCGCGTATTAACCGTTAAAAGTGTCTAAGATTTACTTACCTGGACGCCCAAGCGTCGTGGTAATGTTCAGAAAACTTCTGTACAATAGTGTTCAGGTCGTTGTTCAGAGCTACCGAAGAAGTGTTTATCGGTTGTGGATCGTATTGTGGGTTATCTGCAGGTAGTAATTGTTAAGTGATTAACATAATCAATATATTAGGGGGACCGGAAAGTAATGTCGTTTTCTTACGCTTAATTAAAAACACATACATTTTTAACGAGTCTTTATTTTTAATCAATGATGTATTCCCCATCATTGTCAATAACCTTTTGCCATCTAGTGAGTAAATTTTCAATCCCTGATCGATAAAAATTAATTGGTTTTTCGGCAAAATATCTAGAGATGGCATTTTGGATATCATCCAAATTTGCAAATGTTTTGCCACTTAAAAAGTGTTGCAGCGCTCGGAATAAGTGGAAATCCGATGGTGCAACATCGGGCGAATATGGTGGATGAGGCAGCACCTCCCACCCCAATTCCTTAATTTTTTCTAGAGTTCGCCTTGCGCAGTGCGGTCTTGCATTGTCATGTTGGAGAATGACGCCTTTTCGGTTGACAATCGCTGGCCACTTTTCAATTAAAGATTGATTGACTCGCTGCAATTGTTCGCTGTAGAGGTCTGCAGTAACAGTTTGTCCAGGTTTCAGTAATTCAAAATGAACAATGCCGCGAATACTCCACCAAACACACAAAAGCGCTCTTTTGGGGTGTAAACCTGGCTTAGCAGTACTCCGAGGGATTTCATTTGGAGAGAGCCACTGCCTTTTGCGTTTTGGGTTATCATACAGGACCCATTTCTCATCTCCTGTGATCAAGCGATCAAAAAACGCTTCTGTGTTGTGTCGTTGAAGCAATAAGTTGCATGTGATTGATCGGTTAGCCTTATTCTGTTCGGACAGATTATGCGGAACCCAAACACCTGCTCTGCTTACTTTCCCAATCTGCTTCAAATGTTCTTGGATGGTCGACCAAGGTTTGTTGAGACTGTTTGACCATTCCTCGATCGTCTGACACGGATTTGCTTCAAATGACAATCAAGTATTGGCATGCGCAGAAACGACATTACTTTCCGGTCCCCCTATTATTTGGATATTACCTTCTTTATTTAGAAAGTAAATAAAAAATAAATATACCACAGCTAATAAGTGCCCAATTGTGAGCGTAAATAGGTAGCCATATTCATTACTAAGGTTATTATAATCACTTAGAAAGACGAGTATTGTGGGGGGAGATTTAAAGATGAAGTATCCACTCGATAACTACTTAATTTCAATAACTTTGATATATAATATTGGTTGATAATAAATAAATAAATCAGGTTCTAAAAGTACGCTCATTTTTTTTTAAATTGCCTGAGGGTTTAAATCTTCCCCTGTTCCCTTATATATCTTTAAATTCCACATGACCTAGGAAATAATTAAACTGTATGCCGGTTTATTTTGTGTTTTGATTTTATGATTAAAAGAAATACATACATTTGACTTGGCAATTAATCCAATGAAAAATACATTACCTGTAGCTTGAGTTTCTTTTCCATAAAACTCGTCATCATAGTTTTTAGAGAGTGAATAGTCTGGCGGGAGAGCACACCCTGTAAACAAAAAGGAACATCTATACTTCATATATAGTTATAAAAGGATTTGAGACGTCATAAAAACACTCCGTTTCAAATAAACTAATTTACTTAATTATGTTCTTTGGACACATACTACATTTTAAAGTTTTCAATTAAAAAAGAAAACATAACACAGGCTCATTGCTGATCAATTGGTCCCGTCTGTCTACAACAGATGGCGCTAGCGTAGCAGTTTTAACTTTGACATTAAAGACACCCCCCATTTTTAATGGCCCCGTGACCACAGATGCTGCAAAGCATCGAAAACATCGAGCTGTAGTTGAAATAATTTTCAAATCTTATTAATATATATCGCGTTTTAAACGTAGTATTATTTAAAAGTAGTATGTTTTATCCCAATTACCGATAGCGATCAAACAAGGCAGAGCTTTGCCGAACAATTCTGGCTCGTAGTCCATTTTGCTGAGCGAGTCGAATATATTGGAGAACAGCATCATGGTAAGTCTCTTTTCTTCATCCGAAGACGAGCCATAGGATCCTTGGCCGCTTGTGCTGCCGTAGTACTTAGCACAACGCTCGTAGTGGAGTGTCAATAGCTGCGCAAGAAAAATAACATGAGTTTTCCAATAAGTATTTTCTCTCTGTCATACACACTAGAACATATTAGATAGAAAGAGACAGGTAGCATTTTACATAACGCCGTGGAATGACATCGTCATCATGTGAATTTTTCTTTAAAAATTATATTCTTGTGAAGAGTGAGAGTGATCTTAGCAGACAAGAAAAACCGAGGGGACCTTATAAAATGTAGGGGGCGACTAATGCGTTTGTAAGCATGCAGTTCATTTCATTATGTATAAAGTATTGGGATATATCTGGCGATCGAATCCAATTGTAAGAAAAAAATAACAAAAAATTACAACTTCCACAATTTCTGAAAACAAAAACGTCTCAGATATTATGTTGTAATAGACAAACCCTCAAAGCAACTGTAGTATATTCCGAGAGCCGTGACACGTCAACTGTCAATTTTCGTAGCAACTTCAGCAACATGGAAGGCTGCATGGCCGATGTGAGGGCGACTAGGAAATCTGACACCGCTTCTCTCTGTCCCTTTGTTAACATACGGTTCTTGGATAACCTAAAAATTTAGTATTGTCTGTGAGTTTACGCTAGTAGTACATTTAAATAAAACACTTAACGTATGGAAACGCGAAATTTGACGCAGTTCTATAAAGACTCCAAATTTCAACTAAGACGAAACGGGTGGCGCTAGCGTAGTAGATTTGACTTTGACAGACGCCCGCCATCTTAAGACCTTTCTTGATCAACGAGATTCGCGTTTTAAAACCGTTAAAAGTTATTTACACAATGAAGTCAAATGTATTGGCCAATAGAAAATTACGCCTGTACAATAAATTATACACACACAATTATATGTATGAAAACTATAATGTTTTACGTGCTATTGCACATGATAACTATATATTAATTAAAATCTATTTAGAAAAAAATATATCAATGGGATGGACAAGTTCGACAGTGACGTCGATGGTAGCTCAATTGGTTAGAGCAGCAACAACGCTGTGAAACCCGGTTCCAGTCCCGCCCATGTCGTTCAGTTTTTCATACTTAGTGGATGTTTAAAATATGTAAATAATTGTACTTGTGTATGTCTTACCGATAAACGGTATGAAGAGTAGCATCCAACAAACTAGCGTAGTTTTCAGCTTCATTGTAGAAGTTCGCGTGTTTAATAAGAAGCGGCAAAATTGAGTTTCCAATATATCTGTTCATTGATAGGGCCATGTCAGACTCGCAACCATCGTTCTGAAAGGACGAACATACATAAATAAGGCACAAAGGTTGAATCATTATAATTTTGGAACACTAGCACGTGCGAAGTTCGAATCCAGGGCTGAATTACCGTGTCTATATAACATAGACAGCATAACATTGTGATGGAATGTTCTTAGTTTAAATAAAACACTTCTAACGGTTTAAAACGCGACATGTGTTAGTTAAACTTAGTTATAAATTATTTTAACTACGCCCCGGTGTTCCCAACGTCAAAATAAAAAAAATGGGCATAGTAAAAATAATTTGTAAATAAGTTTAATTAATCCATTTGCGTTTTAAACCGTTAAAAGTGTTTAAACCTTTTTTAAAAGTGCAATATATGTGAAACTTATACAAATACAATGCAAAAAAGAGTAATTTCAAAGTCTGAAAAGAAAAAACTCTTACTCTGTCCAGCATTGTCGCCGCTCGAAGATCAGGCAAGAAAGCTTCTTCTAGAAGACGATAGAAGAGTTCTTGTGTCTCAATGCCGTACACTCGTTCTAAGAAGAGCCCTACGCTTTGCTTGTGTCCTGGTATTAATCCAGATGGCATATCTGCAAAGTAAAGCAGTTTATATTATTTTTTCTCATTCTATATTACATTATATAAAAAAATAACCTATGAGGTTATACGTAATAAAGAATTATTTTTTAAATAAAAAACTTCAACGGTTTAAAACGCGAAATATATTTAACTTGTTTACAAACTGCTGCAAGGCATCCGAAACGTCGGGCTGTAGTTAAAATATTTTTCGCGTTTTAAACTGTTAAAGTATTTTACTTAAATGTAATGTTAAACTATTCGCGCCAACTTACTAATTAAAGATTAGCTTACCCGACTTTGGTCTTTCCTCTCCGGCGGCTGGATTGTTCAGAGTAAACCTCAAACTTAGAACTCCTTGCAGGTCTTCCAGCGGTACCAATGAACGTAGGATAGCACGAGCTCTAAGCGACTCGTTTTTGCCCTGAAATATTTAGAAAAAAACATCATTACTCAAGAAAAAAGGCCTTTTATATAGTAAACCTACGTGGCTCTTTCTTAATCGACAAAACTACTAAGAGAGGTCATTCCCCCGTCTTTTAAGTAGAAACTTTGGCGCATATACATAATAAGTCAAGAAAGTATTTTTGACGTTTATTTTTAATATGGGACACTACGAAGGCTGGACATTTTCCCCTTTTACGAGTAGAAAGTGCGTATATTTGACAGGTAAATTCGTTTAAGAGGAATTCGATCGTCTTGCTGTTATTGTGTTTGTGTTCAATTTTTAATCCTTTTTAAAACATACATACACCTTGTATGTTTGTTTTGACTCATTTTTATACATACATTATTATCTATAAAACGGTTTTTAACATGCACCTTTTTGGCATATACTTCCATGTCTTACTTAATAATAAACTTGTATTATTTTGATGTTTCTGTTTTGTTTTGACAAAAAAAATGACCCGACGAAGTGACCCAACACCAAGACCCAACACCAGTACCCGACCCGACAAAGATACAATCAACCTTTAAATAAAACACTTTGAATAAGTTTAACTAATATATCGCGTTGTAAACCGTTATAGTGTTTTATTTAAATGTGTACTACTCGCGTAAAGTATACACAGTATACAATCAACCTTACTATCTGTGAAGAAGAGTATATCGGTCTACTTACAAGAGCGATAACAGATGCATCTGGCGCGCAACGACCCAGCAAGTCCACAAGAGTACAGTAGAAATTTAGTATGGCGGCACCTGTGTCTATATAGTCCTCATCTTCATCAGATTCCGGTAATGGGTGACTGAACTGTATAACAATAGAATAAAGAATAATATATACTGATTTTTAATATTAAATAAGGACTAACTAGCTAACTATTCGAAAATCCACAAATTAAAGCCAAAACGCGATTAAACGTCATAGCTTTTTTTTTGTGGATGGATAGTGATTCCTACCATTCTTTTGATAACCAAATTTTCAGACCTTTGCTATAATTAGACCAAATAGCCCGACAAATTGAATCAAATTAAGATCGAATTGATGGTTTAGTATAAAAAGACTTACCGTAATATCTCCTTCCTGTTCTAAGTCCCTTAGCTTTCTTCTATCTGCGATTCTTTCACTCATTTTATTTGCGTCTACTATAGCCTTAAGCAGACCTTCGCCTTCACCTCTTAACGCCGGTCCTAAACACTCTGGTCTTCTTATTAGAAGACGGATGACTAAATTGGCATTTTCTTCTACGCTTTCACCGTTAACCTGGCAAATATTCAAAACGCATTCAATTCTATGCGAAAGAATTAAGTTTACCATTATATTTTGTTAACTTAAAAGATCATGGTGGCTTCCGAGTTGCGTGCTGCTACTCTAACTAATTGAGCTGCCGTATGACACGGTAGCTGAAAGCATTGTGATGGAGTAGTTAATATATTGGGAATATATCATTATTTGAATAAAAAAATGTATTATTTTGTGTGTAATCAAACTAATAAAAATACAAATTTTCATATACTAATCTACATTACTCTTCAAATAAAGGATATTTTAAATGCGTTTACATACACAGTGTTCTCATTTATTTCTTGGTTGGGGAACCGTTTCATTATAGTTTATAGTTATGATAGTTTGAGTAGTACCTTGTATTTTATGAGTCTTACCCAAACGCAGAATCTTAAGAAGTCCAGATATCGTTCGCCTTCAACTGGATCCCAACCCAGGTCAGGATACCCTTTCTCTATCAGCTCGGAGTTACTTTGCAGTCCACAGCGTGACAAATATACAGCAATCTTTTCTAGATAGTGCTCCCTGAAATTAATTTAAAACCATATTTAAAAATTACTGACTACAGACTATTGATTATTATTTTAATTCCTAATTTTCTTAGAACTTTAGCAAAATATTAGAGTTATTTAAAATTTTCATTGCGTATTAGCAGTAGGCTTCATAGTTATTTTTATTATTTTGAAGATTTCAAAAAAGATTAATTATTATTATCAGTTATTTCTAATTTAATATTATTGTTTTTATTTTAATATAGCCTAGAATATAACAAGTACTTTTCCATTTTAATTTGATGCTACAAAAAAGTTTACTTAGTTTTTTTTTAATATTTCGGGATCCAAAAGCAAAATTTTTTAATTGCTGTTTTATATTTATTTTTTTATCTATCCTATCATACCAGCTGTAAGTTTTCTATATGTGAATAAATAATACCTCAACGCCAAAGCCAATTCCGTGTTCTCCATTAAACTAGAGTAGGCGACATCAAGCGGCGTCGAACCTCTCAACGAAGGCCTGGATAACAGGATATTGGAGTTCTCGAGGAGAAAGTCAAAATGGTCAAACATAGCCTTCTGGTTCTGCCTGCCCGTTCTACAGAAGTAGCAGAGGAAACGACAGCAGGCTACAACCATTTCGTGTGATGTATCCTGGAAGAAGTATTGGCTTATGTGATTTGTGTGATCTTCATTTGGGACCTCATGGATGCTAGTTGGCAAGGTTTTGGTTAGAGATGGAGGAACACTTTTGAGGGCCTTGTTGGTGTAACTAATGGTCGCCGGTTCGATCCCCAACGAGTCCATTATGTTACTAATTCAATTATATTTTTTCTGAAACACGTAGGATTTTGTCTAGACATTCAGATATTATATAGGAATAGGGTGGTAGGAATATCGAAATTCCTTACAGGTCATGAACGACTGTTCACAGAACAGAAAATTGTGAAGTTTGTGATTTCAGAATATCGACAACGCATTTTGTTTAGATGCTATATGGCTGGGGTATTCTGCCCACCACCAACTGAACCTTGCTTATCTGTCTTTTTTTATCAATTATTTTTTTTAATACCCGACTCAAATGTTCACTCAGAGATTTGGGCCCACACACTTTGTTGTGAATTATTATATGATTTATAATGGACAAATAAAAACTATAAAGTTATGTCTATATCGCCGGCTTCAATTCAGTAATGCGCAGCGTAGTTTAGGAATAATTGCTAAAATAATATTACAGATATGAGCTAAAATATAAGTAATTTAACCTTTTCTTTGTCTTCGGGTGTTGGGGGGGAGGTAGCTGGTGCATCTGACTGCGCCTGCGCACGTCGACCCAACGTGTTCATCATCACCGCCATGACGTTTTCGTGAACGCGTAACACTCTGTACATTATCATTGAGTGAGTATTATTTTAGCTTTGTATTTTAAACACTCTTCTACACTTTATCCCGGTGAGGGAAAAGTGTAATATACAAATATAGTAATATACTAAGTGAAAATAAAAATATATTTTTTGTAAATTTGGAAACCATACCTAATTAAATCAGGATGCTGGAAGAACGTGTGGTTGTTGACAAGTTTCCTGAAAATAAAACATATTCATTTATCAACTAATTTACTCTACTCCACCCTGTCTGTTCAGAATCTTCCAATATAACCAATTTAATTTAAAAATCGAAAATAAATTGAAAAAATAAAGTGTTAAGGTTGAAATTACATTGCGCGAGAGGTGCATGTATCAATAAGTTGAAAGAAATCGACGATGAGATGTAGGACTTGGTAGAGCCAGAGCACGGAACGCTGCCAATGCCGGTTCAAGTCCTGCCCGAGTCGAAAATTTTTTCAATTTATTTTCGACTTTTAAATTATATAGTGCCTTCATGTGCATGTAGAAATACTAAAGTTTTCATAACCAATTTAACTTGAGATACACAAACAAAACGGAATCTCTGTCTGCGATCATCATACCCAAGTTCCTATAGGGCTACTTCAAAATATCTAGTTTCCAACGTAAAATAATATTTAAAATGGATTCATAAACGATATATATGAATCGACTTAAGAAACTATTTATTTGTGAATTGACTTAAAAGTCATATTCTTGTATTGATAAGCATATTTAATATTTATTTTTACTATAACGAAATTGCTTATATATGAAGATCAGAGTCATTACAATACTTTACATTTAAAACATACATTTACATTTCAATACATTGTTTACTAACCATAATCGCTTCCTCATCAGCTCCTCCTCTTCTTGACTCATTTGGACTGGTAAGAGAGCTCTTATTTGACTCAACCCAACCCACATCTCGGCAACGTCCTGCTTCGTTTTAGCGTTAATGACGTAAGTCTTTTCTAGTGCTCGAATCAGTTCACCAACAGCATCGTATTGTCTTACTAAAAGGCTGAAATAGAAAAATCCAGCCCAATTATTATAGGGACCACGAGTTGAAGACAAATGAACAATGGCAGTAAGTAATAAGCGGTTCCTATTCTAGTCTGTATTAAAATACCTAAATACCCTACGAATTAACATATAACACACTATTGAATTATTTGAAAGAAAGACAGATTGACTATTCAATCGGGCATAGTCAGTTAGGCAAGTTGTCGGTACAAAGAAACTGTCGAAATGAGGCGCGCACGCGCTTGCCATCACTACTTTTTATTTCTTGAGGACGTCATCTCAGTAATCCTCTCGCAATCTACACTATATATAACACTTTGAAATAAGAGTTTGTTTCTGCTAATCTCGGGGACTACGGGTTCGAATCGAACAAATATTTTTGTGTTGGTTAGGGTATTTATCGAGGAAGGCTATAGGTTGTAAAATATCGCCCTGTGACTAATACAAGCGAGTTATCTATCTTCGCTTGTATTAGTCGCTGACACAGCTAGTAACAAATATTTGTACATAAATTCATATTTATATCGCTCACGTGAAGATTTTAATAAATCAAAAGAAATTGTGTTTAGTAAAAGTTAAGTGAGAGAAAGTACCTGAACATCTCTCTGACAAGTTTTGGCGTCTCTATCTGCGACTCTTCAGCCCAGTTCACTATTGTTTGAATCAGTACTTTGCGGAACTTCTCCTCTGGCGTCTTCCTCGGTTCCTCTTCAATAGCCTGTAATTAGAATAAGCCACCAATTGTGTCTATAAATACTTTAGTAACATGTTAGTAACTAAACATTGTTTATACGTCTTTGGTATATTTTAGCGGTTATGTATTATATGAGACTGCTTAAGGTAGAGTAACTTAACTGCAATTTTATGTGTTGAGTTATTTATGTTCATAGTCTCAAAATGTTAATCTTCAAGAGCCCAATGATCGAAAAGTAATTTTTACACAAATAATACGACAAATAAATTTTCGCCTCAGTTAATTGCGCATTTTTATTTTCCTCCTTGTTGAAAATTATGTTTTTTGTTATTAGGCCACTCGGGCCCTAGCAGCCTCATATGTTTGTGCTACGTGTACCTAAGAAAACGTAGCTCAAAGTAGCTTTACTAAAGTTGTCGGAAAAGAACTTCATGTGGTGGACTTTTAAACTTTACTATGTTAATCTCTTTTAACACTTCAAAAGTTGGATATGCTAGTCTAGTTATATAAACACTTTGTTCTTTGTTTGTTATGTTGAGTATAGAAAAACATGCGCGATATATTTCCGGAAACTACGATCAAAGTATGTGTAAATTTGTGCGTGAGACAGTCTAGAATACATTTGCGTAAATCTAGGATTCTAAATTATGTTCTACGTTTTCGCTACATGTCGTGTTACCTCCTCAACAAGTGTTTCTGTTTCTTCCTGTAAATTAAGTGTTATTTAATCAGCTGAACTAAAAATCTATTTTTTTTTCACAATGAATAATTATTTTAAACTCGACTAAGAAACATCGTCTGTTTTATATAGATATAATTATAGGGCCTTTCAATTCTTTTCACGCGCCGTTGCTTCCAGACCTCTAGTATTTTTTTCAGTATCAATTACATGTTTATATTTAGATTTAGAAGACTGTTTAGAATCGAATGATTGAATATGTTATTTCATTTCATACCTTTGGTTCATCTTCTAGTTCCTTAACGGTGTTGATGATGTTGTAAATTTTGCCAAATGCCCCTGGTTTTACTTCTGGTTCATTAGATTGCTGAAAAAATATATTACTTGTTAAAATCGTATCTATCTAGATCTAGAAATGGTCTACTAAAAAATTAATCTCGTTTCCTAAGTAGGGCATGGTGCTAATATTTTATTTATAGAGAATTCTTAGGACAGTTTGTTTGTCCGATTTAAAAATGGGGTTCCAAATTTCTATTGCTTAATATAATTCAACGTGGAGCAACAATTGTAGTTTAAATAAATATATACTTTATATAATATACATATATTTTAATTTATTTATTGTTAAACTATTTCTTTTAGTTTATTTTTTCTTACTTAGCAAAAGACCACAACAAATATGGCCGATTACAAACGATAGAGAAGGTGATTTTTAAATTTGAGAGTTTTCATTAGTTTATTGTATTATCTAGTGGTCTCTAAGCGGTTTTAGTGTAAATCAATGTAAACCGTGTTAGTTTATCAAAAATGCCAAGTAAGAAAAAATACACTAAACATAAAATTACCAAAAATGTGGGTTCCAACTTACGTCACCGTCTGGTTCCTGCAACGCGCTTAATGACACGTGGGACATTAAAACCTCGTGGAATTCATTCATACGAGCGATCAGGTCTTCCCCGCATGGACAATTTTCTGGGTCCTCATCTTCCATATGTTTGAAGCCTATAAATAGAGATTTATGGTTGCATGTCATTGCAAGAAAACAATACCCTGCAAATGCTTCTATCTACTGATACTCGTTAGTAGTACGTACTACGTTTTTCTGACAGAAAAGAACAGGCAAGAATACCCCAGCCGCATAATATCTTAGCAAGATGAACTGTCGAACCCGGACTGAATTTCGATATTCCTGCTAGATTATTGATTGAGTAACATGTTTGACCTGTTGAGTATCAAACCCACTGTTATATTATTCGCCAAACTTACGTAAAACGCGAACAAATTGGTAAGATTATTTTTCATTACGACCCGACGCGACATTAAGGATTCTTTGCGGTCACGTGGTAAACTACAGTCAATAGTAGTAAGGTTTGTTATCTATATATAGTTATATATATATATATATATATTGTTCTTATGTACATATAACTCACTTAATATAGCATTCATCTGTTCTCGCGGTGGACAACGGAATTCCCTTGTCTTCTTAGCAGCGACAGCGCTCGGCAAATCCGACTGTTTGATTTCGGTGTAACGCCTGGAACCAAAAAATAATATGAATAAATGCACATTTTATGCCAGGACGACAGACCCACGGACTAAACGAAACGAACTTACCTTAACTGATCAGTCTGTAGATCTCCGACGAAATCGTGCGCGAACGCAATTATTGATTCTACTCTGTGCCTCAGTTGAATATCGTTGAGATGCTGTAGTAAGTAGCACATTTGCAGCTTAGCTCCTTCGGCCATTTTCATGTGAAGTAGACCTTTTCTGTGCTCGTCTTTGCCCTCTGAAGAAAAATGAGTGATTAATAGCTATTTTTATTATCAAGTATCAAGTATATCTCAATATTTCTATATAGAATAAAGCTTTATAAACAAATATTATAAAGCCGAAGAGATTGTTTGAACGCGGTAATTTCAGGAATTACTGGTTCGATTTACAGACAGAAATTGTTATTATAAAACAGTACAATAAAGATACGAATATATATAAATTAAAAAAGTAACTTGCCTTTATCAAACGTAGGATCCCAAGTCTCAGGATTAATCATGATGAGAAGTTTTTCAACATCTTCATCGCGCATCATTCCAACTAAGAGGAGACGGTCTACTAGCTTAATAAGAGGTCTGTAAAAGTTATAGGACTAATCAGCACTAGTATTATTAAATTGATTTTTTCTTGTATGTATGTTTGTAATGAATAAACTAAAAAACTACAAGAACTATAACGAAAATTATTTCACCATTAGAAAGCTACTTTAATAAACTAACGAAAGATGTAAAATAAAATGTTAATAACTTCTTTCGTCGCTGGCCTACGGACCCTGTTGATGATATCAAAATTTGTCCTCAGCAACAACATGTATTTGTGTTACGATTATATTAATATAATACTAACAGAAAGAGGTTCTCATTACTGCCCCCAGTTGGATCCCTGTTGTGAACCTGATTGGTTTCCACTGCTTCAGCCAACGCCTGCATCACGAACTCGCGAACCACTTCCAACGGGAAGTAAGGGGAATAGAGATTGCTTATGTCCGATATGTTCTCACTGAAACATAATTGAATTATTAAAAAAAAAAGGATTTTTTTTTAAAATTTCAACTTAATAAAAAGTTTTTATTAGCAGAGTTCTACTCCTAGTCGCATGTACGAACATGTCATTTTTTTTAATTTTTTGTAAAGTTTACACACATTCCACTATACATTATACATTATTCTTAGTTTAATTTACTTTTAAAGTCTAGTTTAGTTCACGAAAGTAGTTATTAGTCACTTCTTCCTGGGGGGAGGGAAGAGGCAATGAAAACCGGCGCTTATCCTCTACTCTGGGTGATGAAGAAAATGTGTTGCACGCTCATTTCACGAGCAGTCTTCCAAGTTCTTTTTTAATGTACTTATTTAGCTAATATTAAGTCATTATATCTCTCTTGTAAATGGTTTGACTTTGACTTTGAAATATCTATATACTAGCATAGAAGGTTCGAGGTCCAATAGTGGAAATTATAAATATACATTAAGATAAAAGGAGTGACGGCGAGTTTATTGCCAGTTCTTCTCGTTCGTTCTACGCCCTTGATTTCAGAACTGTAAATGTAAATTTAGTCTTTTGTTTTTAACTTGTGTGACGTTCACAAGTGTATCTAGTTACCTATGTTAATAAATGATTTTTCACTATGAATAATACTCACGCAATATTAGTCATGTTCATCTGTGGACGAACACTTTCAGTCTGCAGTGACCTTAAGCTGTGACACATTTCCAGATCTTCGTAGAGCGATTTGAGTTCTGGTCCGAGGGGTATGACGAACTCATTTTTACAGGCCTCCCTATATAAAACAAAGATTATCAGATTACCATGTTACGCAGTGAGGAGGGCATTGGCGAACCGTGTCCGATTCACTTATTGGTTCTTTTAGCGATAGTTGATCAGACATCTGTGCCCTATCCGACCGAAACGATCTATTGTTTCCCTGGGATTCGAACCTCTCGCGCTTAACGCACTGCTTGGCAGTACGTTTAACCATTTAGCTATAGAGACGGTCAACGCGTAGGTGACGATGTAGTAAGCAATAAAATAATATAAGGAATACCCTAAGTACATTGAAATAAAATAACGGATTAAAATTAGGTATGTGTTGTTTATAGCAACTGCGACTTTACATATTTGATTATTTTTATTGCTTTATTAAAATCATGGTCACGGAGAGATTATTATTTTTATTATATTTCGCGTTTTAAACCGTTAAATGTTGTATTTAAACGTACGAGTAAACTACATACGGTATATTTGAATAAAAACATTTGAAATTAGTTATTACGCGATGAAAACTTACATAGTGGTAGCGTGTGACTCCAAGTGGAGAGCGATGAGTAGATCATAGAATCCCTGACGAAGAGGTCCTGACATGTATTGAGACTGGATGGCATATAGCAGTTGCTTTTGATCAACATGTTGGCACAGCGCGTGGGCGGCTCTATAAAAGAATCCAATTAATTTATTTATTACCACAACACCACAAATTTAGTGATTAAGTATAATACCCAGCCTATAGCATCTACACAAGATGCACTGTCGATCTACTTTGGCTTTGGATATTCGGAAATCCACAGACTGAAACCGAAACGAGATAGGTAGTAGGAGTGTCCCGGACCGGACACTCCTACTACCTATTTAGTATCCATATTTCCAGCCGAAATTCAACCATATTGCACCTGCTGGGGATCAACACACTACTCGCTGATTGTTAGCCTTACATTGCCATTAGACCAGCTCGTCAAAATGCTTATAAATGAGACATTCTAGATTATAAATAAGATTAAAAATACCTGTAATTACTCTGATAGCAGAGAGCCGCATATAGTGTCAATGTGTGAGCGTGGAAGCTCAAAAGTTTGTCCATCTCGATCAACTCCAAGATATCTATACAACGATCTTCCTCTGTGAATAAATATAAATCATTTAGTATTGCCCCTAGTTACCGCGAGTAGAAACATATACAACTAAATAAAACAATTTATCGGTTTAAATGTACACCACTCGCGAAAACTATAGACAATATTTAACATATACAACACTAGCGTTTAAAATGCGAATAATATTGGTTACATTACCTTTGGTAATCGTTTCGCAGTAAAAGTAAATTAAACATTATTTCAATAATATATTTCGCGTTTTAAACCGTTAAAAGTGTTCTAATTAACTTGACGAGAAAGTAACACAAATAAAAATAATAGAGATTGCGTGGGGGTTTTAACAGTAAAACGTATTGCGTTAAGCACTTGTGGTTGTTATAGTTATAATTCCCAGTAAAAAAACCCAAGTGTAGAGAAAGTACATCACTATTAGTACTATATAAAATGATATTTCATACCGGGTATATGTAAAGCCAGCATAGAAACCGCATCTTCACATAGCATAGACCAACCGCGGATATCGGAAAGCTTCAAGGCGTGCACTTGAAGGCTTTGGTTTGGAACCTGAAAAGGACGAAATCATTTGTGATCTAAATGTTTCGCATACAAGACCTGTGTTCGTGAGGTCGGAAGGTCGAACCTCTATCGTGCCCAGAATAGATATTTGGGCACGTTATGGTACCAAAGATAAAATAATGATAAACTTTGTGAAAAAAAAATGATGAAAAAGAATCCAAAAATATACTTTATGTATTAAAGACCAGTATAAAGTACATAATAATCAATAAATAAGTTTATGACGTTAATCAATATTTGAAAGACAAAAATGCTTGGGGGTTAGAGGAACCCGCTCTCAAAAGAAAAAATATGTAGAACACTAAAGTAAGTGCGAGATATCATAAAATTAAGGCAATTCAATTATTTATTTAATGTAAATAATAAAATCATAAATAATATTTTACTTTATAAACCACAATAATGATATTTTACAGTTGCTCACCCTTGCCCACTGATGCGGTTTCAAGCACTGAACTTTCAATCTAGGTGGGAACTGCGGATTCACGTGTTTGTCGCTAGTTGGCAGCACTGCGGCACTCAGCGGCAAGCTAGTGGAGGATCTTCCAAGCTCAATTTGAAGGATCTCCTTTGACGTGGCTTCTACAAAGATCGCTGGGAATAATTTTGTCTCTGGTTCCATCTGTGAGACAATAGTTAATTATATTAAAGCTGTTATGTGCTAAAATTTAGTTTTTTAACAAATTTATAATACATATTTAATTAACTAGGCGATGCTTCGGATACTTTGCAGCTGCGCCAGCGCCATTTGGCTTATACATTATGGGCACCTCTCACCTTCAGTCCCCCGTGACCACAGGTTAAGAAAGCATTCAAAACGTTGGCTCATAATTATGATAAATCAAAAATAAGTTTACTTATATATAACGCGTTGTAAACTGTTAAAAGTGTTTTATTTATACGTGTCTAGTCTAAATATATGGTATGTAGTGATATAACTTATGATTGATGATTTAAGCAAATCAAACTACTTTAAAATTATTTTAATTTATAAGAAACATACGTCATTTACGCCATCACCATACTAGGGTTTGGCAGAGCGCCGATGGTTTCTATTTCGTCAACTTTTCCTTTATAGCCTTACCTTAAATTTAATACTCGTGTCCTTGCCCTCGCAAGTAAAGGAGACAGTGCCAGTTGAGGTGTCGACAGAGCAACCAATAAACATTCCTTGTGAAGCACCTTTAGCAGTGGCTTCAGCCATCACCTCATTGTACAACTCATCAGCTCGAACCATGTAGCAGGATTGACGATTCACACTAAGATACATAAAGTATTATTAGTGTAACCACTTCGATAATCTTATCTTATCCTCTTCTATATTTAAAAAAAAAAACTTTTTTTAATATAGAAAAGGCCGGAGACAGACAAACATCCATCAGCCATATAACTTCTACACCACATGTGTTGTTGACCTATTTTGGATTTTGGGTATTCGGAAATCGGCAAACTGAAACCGAAATTCAATATCCAGATTTCCAGACGAAGTCCAACATGTTTCAGAAATATTTGAAACATGTTACCTGGTGGAGATCGAACCAACGACCCGTTGATTAGCCGTACATTGCTACCATTACATACGAGCCCGTCCATGCAACGCAAAAAAAATACAAATGCGTTAAGTATAGAGTTCTCGTGGCAATAGTTACAATTCAAGTAGCACATAGAATATAAATATGTGTTTGCCCTATATCCAGTTTTCCCTTCTATGGTAATCGGGGTTTCCTACTTACACGAGTAGTTGAAGCAGAAGCCTATGAAGTACTTAATGTTTGCTAACAAAACGTATTTCCTTTTTTAAATACATAACGACAAATATTAAATAATAGTTAACCATAAATTTGTAAAACTGACAACTGTATCCACGATAAAAGTAATTAGATGTAAAATAGGTTTAAATAAAACACTTAAACGGTTTAAAACGCGATATATTAGTTAAACTTATTTGGAAATGATTTTTAACTTCGGCCCAACGTTTCGGATGCTTTGCAGCAGCCGTGGTCACGGGGAGACTGACCCCGGGGAGTCTCCCCGTGACCACGTTAACTAATATATCGCGTTTTAAACCGTTAAAGTGTTTTATTTAAATGTGTACTACTCGCGTAAACTATAGACAGTAAAATAGGTTTCAACCATACACGACTGAGTTTTAGAAGAAAAAGTATTATAAATTAAAGACCTACTTTAGCTAACTGAATCTAACAATACGTGTAATCAAATAAAATAATCCTTACCTCTCAATCACTCTGTCGTAATCATCAGTAATGATGACAGAAGACTTGGTCACTTTATTTTGATTGAAATCTTTTGAATGTAGATGGTATTGCGTCGTCACCCATCCTATATACACGTGGGTTGGATCTTGACCGGGGAATATTCTAGAAGATAAGGCAAAAAGACAATATAAAAATAGTTTTTAGACTAAAAGTGTATTGCCGGTTTGCTTTGGGACAATCGGAAATTTATAGAGTGAAACCGACACGTGAATTTAAATTTATGACGTGCCCACATAACATGTTGGTTGTATATACCATATCACTTACTGAATGTCCAAATTAATCACCGCTAGTCGTTGGATTCAACATTATTGGAAGAATCAGACAAATATTTACAAAATTGTCTGGGTCCGGAGGAATCGAACCATAAATTATAGATAACGATTGTTAAAGATATATTTAGACTGAAAAAATATTGAAACACGGGCGTTACTTGAACCAGCGTTCACAGCGTTCCGTGCTGTTGTAAAAAAAACCTACCTGACACCATAAAAGTATTCGTTGATCAGTTTCAAGCACTCGGCGTCGAATATTTCATTGCCAATCGTCTCTGTGGCGGACTTGTCTAGGGTAGCTGTTGTCATTTGTTTTCGATCTTGCGTCGGAGTTGCAACAGTTAAGTTGGTCTAAAAACGAAATACAAATAACTGACTATGATTTTACAGACATCTTAAGTTTTAGCGTTAGTGTCATAAAGTGAATTTCCTATTGTGATGTCGAAAGTCCGATCCTACTAGCATCTTAAGAACATTTCAATAGGTTCTTTCCAGTCACGAAAACATCGTGATAAAACCGGAATGTTTGAGAACAAAAATAAATACGTGTTGATGATGTGGTTTCTGTCTAATCATTAGGAAAGAAACGATGATGGCAAATATACAGAGTAGTAATAGATTTAAATTGAGTACTAGAAGTTTAGTAGAAGAAGTCCTCATTATTACACATAGAAAAATTGGTTAATTCTACGAGATATCAAACAAAATATAGGTGTTTATATATAGATACTCATAGAAAGGCCCAATACTAAAGATTTAGTTAATTGTATCCTAGTGATAATTTACAAGTAGACGAAGATGATACACAGTGTTGTGACTGCCAGATAAATCACAAAAGCGTTTACTGAAATGAGTTCGTTCTTTTTAATGATAATGTATGCAATACAATGGAAGTATCAGAGGATGTAGAATACAGAGTGACAGTCGAAGCGGACAACGATCACTTACGTTTAATGCACCTTGACTGTCGTACATATTCATCCCGTTATTCCTATTTTGCGCGTTATACCTCTGATTTGCCTTAGAATCAAAGAATTGGTAAAACTAAATGCTGTGAGAAATTATTTCGTTGAAAACTACACAACCAATTGAATGCGAATGAGTATAAAAAAAACTCATACAGTGTATTTTTGTGAGGTGGGGGAACAAAGACGACGACCATATCAAATTATTAAATAAAACAATTAGAGTAAAACATAAGGATATTTAGAATCTAACAGGCTGTATGATTTGAAATTTGATCTCATTTACAATGCAAATGGTAAAATACGATGTACATATACGTAAAGCTTACTTGCGATATCCGTATCTGTGGGTTAGGACGCCTGGCCATGCCCCTATCTGGCGACACCTCAGTATCCGTCGTGTAGGGGTCTGGGGTTTTGGACTTTCTCGATTTGCCCCTGTCTCCACTCTCACCGCGTTTGCTTCTGAAGAACCTATAGAATAGAAAATCGTTTTATCGTAAGTGTAGAGCTGCAGATCTTTGAGAAATCAAAAAATATCTTTATTTATTTATTATATATTCAGCCTTTTAATCTGCTAAGTGTATTTTATTCACCTAGAAGTGTATAATACATATACAATGATACTAAAACTCTAAATCATTTCTTAATTAATCCAAGCATTATAGATTAAGAAGTTATGTTTATTAAATAAGTACTAAAAACATTTTCTGTTTATACATATAAAAAAAATATTTCACTGCTAGTAAATAGAATTACTTTTTTTTGTTACTTTTATAGCATGTGATTTAGACTTACTTGAAAGGAGATCTTCCTCTCTTATCCTTCTTTGTATCTTCCGGCAAATTTTGGACTCCGAGTTCGTATTTGGACATTTCTGCTTCACTCGTCGATCGGTTCATACCATTTTGGCCTAGGATAACAGAAAAAATGTGTAAAATCACCTTTTGTTTCGGTCTGCATAAAAAAACATCGAGTTAGTAGCATAGAAAATATTACCCACGTGTTTATCTTACAATTAATATTTGTACAGAGCCATTAAGAATATGATAAAGATGTTTGAGTAAAGCTGATATTATACATTAATACTGTCTGTAGTTTATACATTTAAATAAAACACTTTAACACGCGATGTATGATATAGTTTCGGATTCCTTGCAGCAGACGTGGTCACGGGGAAACGTGACCACGTCTTTTCTTATCTTTTCATGTCTTGTCCATTTAACAAATTAACATTTTAAACTGTTAAAGTGTTTTTTTGTAATGTATACACTTGTTATTTGTTCAATAAAGTAGGCAATGAATACTAATACATCATCAAATATGCCACTTGTATACGATTCTTTAACAGCTTGCGAAGAACATGTTGAAGAATGATGAACGAGAAGATTGAAGTCATGCAACAAACACAATATCATCCAAATACTTCAAGTCCTTCTACCTCATAGGTTACTTAAATGTCAAGGGGGGTTAACCTATCTACAACCGTTAGTCTAGTATTAGTCGAGAACCTGGCTGTAAATTGTAATTCTGTATAGTGACGTTGCGAGTGATAGAACCCTTCCGCGGCGGTCGTGAAGGCTGCCTCTTCAGTTTTACTTCTTCTTGGTTCTCATCATAGTGTAGACCTTGGGAATTCGGGTACGATAATTAAGGTATCGTACGATCTAACTTAATTCAAAATTGTATGCGATGAATTGTAATTTTATGGAAATGCTGTTAAAAATAATATCTGGTCTATAGTAGGTCTCTTTGATGTACGCTATTATTAAACTTAAGTAATAGTAAATGTGCTTTAATAATGAAGGATTGTCTAAAGGACCTTTTATGTATGAAGTCATCGGTGGTGGTGGATACTAGGATGAAAAAATCTTGAAATCCATCGAAATTTAAGAGATAACAAAAAAAAAATTGTATTAAGTAAACGAGGTGTTTCTGAATATATATTGTAATGTGACGTGCGATGCCATTATTATTGCAACTTGGGACAATGGATAGGCAATATGCAAAATGACTCAAATAACAATACTACGATTTACTCTATGCATCTGTACAATATTATATTTATTTGTTGCAATTAAATATTTAGTGTTAGTTTCACTGAACGAATTTATTTACAGAAATCGGCGAGGCTTTTGTTTTACGCCACCAAAACTATTATTTCTTACGATCTTATGTTTATCTTTATACAGTAGAATAGGGTTTAAAGATGCATGTAAGACAGTCCATTTAACTTTGTTATTTTATTACATATATAATAACTTTAATATATAAGAAATAAAATTTTTTTTTTGGGGAATACTCCTTTCAACACCAAAACTGCGTGCATAATCTACGTAACTGATTTCAAACACACGTGGATTATATGTATTACATACCTTTTATATCGTTCATAGTGAATCCACTGCGCATGATTTGATCAATGTGCGCCGGCATTTGGGCTTCAGTCGCTTCCTTCATCAGAACCTGTTGACGTTCCTTGATTTCTATCCAACGACGAGCTTTCTCTGATTCACTGAAAGATAAAATAATCATAGTGTTCAGTTTAATGTTTAGTATTTTAGACTAAATATTTTAGACTTAATATTTTAAGTACTTTAGCTGGGGCACAAGCCATCCATTGGTGGTGGTCTCTCTATCTCACTGTCACTAGCTTCTCGTCGTGACTAACGTAAATATTATTAGATAATGTTTTAGATTTTAGCTGATGTGTATAGTACTATAAAATTTCAATAAGGATTAGTAATGTCAAGTCGGAGATATCACAAAATTTTGGACATCCTTCAAGGTTTTTTTATATGATAGACGAAGACAGACTAGACGTGTGGTTCACTTGATGGAAGGTGAATATATCCAGACATTTTAAATCTCAAGAAGATGCTCTGTCAAACTATTTTGTCTTTGGAAACAACCAGATATGAGTGGTGTCCTCCCAAATACATCTAACTACCAAAAATTATTGTTCGTGAGTAATTTTTGTCTGCTTCGTGTATATATGACATAAGTGATATTTATTTCTCAGTCTTAGATGTATAACGTGTGGTACGATACTTACTCAATAAACTCCGAATGACATATTACGGGAAGCGAAAGTCGCAAGAACTCCCAATTAGCCTTCTCCATTGTTTCGAAAGTATTGTGAGAAATTTTTAAACAAGGCGGGGTATCTGAAATTATTAAAACGGCTTTGTTAGCATAACATAATAATTTCGTAATAAAGTATTTAAATAACAGTAACTGGGATAGACACGGAAATTGCAATTAAAAGAAAAAATAGTGTAGGCCAATTTTATAGCTCAGATGAGACTATATAATCCATAGTTTCATTATTCACAAGTTCAGCTACCGTTTCCGGTATGTGATAATCAAAGTATTGCTTTCAAGATCCACTTTTGTCATATTTTTTTCAGTATAAGCTAAAAGTACTATTTGAAAAATATTCTTACCTGACCCTGCGGGAATTCTAGTAACGTCAATCCTGGTGTCTATCATTTCGTCGGTGTTTTCAAAGATAGGTTGATCTTTCGTGTACCAATGGGTTACATCACGTTTCATGTTACTGTAATAAATATTGTATTATGTTGATGATTCTGTCAGACCGACTCGAAGGACCAAACTTCGAACGAAAGAGTTTGGTTTTTATCTAATAGTTGTTAACTTACACGCAAAATGGTTCATAGCCTTCTTGAAGACCACACGTTGTAAAATACTTCAAAGAGTTAACGTCCTGTCCATACGATAACCTAATAAAAAGTAAAAACATTATAATATGAGGTCAGTGCAACCAATAGGTGAAATTAACAATTGTGGCATATATTATTTGCTAGTTTGCGTTAGTTAACATACAAATAGAGTTTCCAGCCGTTAAATAATACGCCTGTATTATTGCACTTTATTTTATGTCTACATACTACTGCTGTAGATATACGCGAAATATGTACAATATATCAAACGTGAAAATGTAATAAAATAATATCCTTATTAACTAGCTGTGCCAGCGACTTCATTCGCGGGAATCGTTATTTTGGCGAATTTTAAAAGATAGACATATAGATAGCGTCGCGGACTTTTTTTTAGATTATTTAAAGAGGAATCATTCTTGCATACACATTTATTTGGTGTCTTGAATCGTTTTCACAGCGTACGCATTTGAATCCCACAGAGATGAAAATTTTCCCCCGTTTTGTTCACATTTCCCGCTGTATCTTCGCTTCTATTAGTCACAACGCGATGTTTTATAGCCTTCTTTCTTTTCTTTCTTAACACAATTCGAACCCGTATTTCCTGAGATTAGCTCATTCAAACAAACTCTTCAGCTTTATATATATTAGTATAGATAGGAGCAAAGTCTCTTTTAATTTTGAGTGTTTAAAATTTTTGTTTTAAATAAAATAAATTATTCTTTAATTGTATATCTAATTTAAGAATTATTAAATTACTTTTTGAAATTTTAATGATAATGCTGCAAATTGGAATACGTTTTTATAAATAAATAAACATACCTAGCTTTTTGCCCAACACCAAGTGTGCAAGCGGGTACAAAGTTATCTCCTTGAACGTCCGCAAATGTAGTCTCACCACCCAACGCATCCATCAGCAATTCACCATTCAGCGAGAAACCTATCATTGTCATGTATTAGCATCAACATTATATAAATACAAAAAATGAGAGGCATGAAAGAATAAAAAAAAACGAGACGCAAAATTTAATGGTACTTAACAAACAACAATAGAACTTAGGCAAAAACATTTTGTAGATTATGCTACTCATATTAAAATTTGAAGGCTAAAGATAAATATAACGGTAAAACTATATGTTGTAATTATTAGAACAATTCAAACAAGCACAAAGCATAACTGTTATTGTATTAATTTATTACCCTATATGTTTCTGAATCATATTTTTCGTATACTTTTTTTTAATGGTTTATAACGCGAAATATGTTATCTTAGTCACAATTTATTAAAAAGAAGAACATTCGTTCCATCTTTAGTCTGCCCGGCATCACGACCACAAAGCATTCATATTTCATAGCGTGAGGCCGTAGTTAAAATAAATTGTAAAAAAGTAATACATTCCGCGTTTTAAAATGTTAAAAGTATTTTATTTTAAACTCCAAATATTTTAGTCATAACGAATATAAAGCGGAACCTAAACTAATCAATCTGTATATTTTAAAATATAATTCAGAAAAAAATACATTCCGAAACATACCCAAGTTAGTAAACGTGTGTGAAATATCAATTATGTACATAAGTCGGTGTACTTATAAAAGTTACATTTTGTATAGCTCTTAGCTCTTCATATTTATATAATTGCAGAAGCAAAACAATGCAGTGGTGTGTTATTTTAAGCTAATCATAGCTATTTCTAATAGCTTAACTGTCAATAACCATGCCTATAAAAATTTCGCTTTACTAATTCTCAGATCTAAAAGACTCTTCAATTCTTCTAATTGCTGATAAAGCCCAATAATACCGTTTAAAACATATGGCAGGGACATTTTGTATGCATTAAACTTTCCTATATTTAGGACTTAAACGAACGAATGTTATCTTAACGACGTAGGAAACTTCTTAAAAATGACACGTTAACACAAATTACACTAGCTATACAAACATATGTATAGCTCTAAATGCGTAACAAGTTTACGCGAGTAGTATACATTGAAATAAAATACTTTAACAGCTTAAAATGAGATATATTTTAGTTAAACTTGTTCAAATAATTTTTAACTACGGCCCGACGTTTAATTACAATATATCGAATTTTAAACCGTTACAGTGATTTATTTAAATGTGTACTACTTGCGTAAACTAGGGACAGTATTTTGTTTACAATTTTTGTGCCTACAGCCTAAGTTTTATTTCAATGTATAACTTTATTGGAGTTAAAAACCAAACTAAAGTTCGTTCTTAAGTTTCTATCGTTAAGGGATAGGAGTAATCTACTTATAGGTGAGGTAGTTAATTTAATTTCTGACTAATTTTGTCAAAAATATCCCTGCCATGTATACCGCGGTAAGCATATGTTTCTATTTACTTATCGTCTTGTCTATGAGATCAAGGAAGACCCCTACTACGTCACCAACAGCCCATTGCTTCCCAAACGACTCCACGCTACCGGAATAGACTTTTTCCTCCTTTAAATAAATGCCACATAAATGTTTTATTTCCGTCCAGGCTACAACTTACTTCTGTCAAAAATTTAAGCTACATATTACATCTGTTTTTATCATGGAAAAGGACAGATGAGCACGGTACACTTGAAAGGAAATACCCTAATCATATAACATCTAAACAAGATGCGCGGCCGATCTATTTCGACTTTAGATAGTCGGAAATCCAGGCCGAAACGCGATTAAAATTTACAGCGTCTTCCATCTGAACGATGATGTGTTCTGTTTTTATATTTACATTTCCAGACAGTCCAACATCTGTTAAAGATTATTAATAGATTACAAAGAATGTTAAACCCGATGGGAATCGAATCCACGATCCGTCTATTAGCCATATATTGCTACCCTTAGATCAAGTAGTCAGTCAAAATAAGCCCGTAATTGTGAATGGTTTCTACTAATAATTTATTTTTGTATTTTTATAGACTTTACCTAGTAGAAGAAAAATATTAACATTAAAATAACTTTAATGTCACATTGTACTAAAATTTTACACAATACGACTTACGCAACAAACAAATACGGGGTCACACAGTATTATATCCACATAGGACCTTATTACTCTAGGACAAATACAAGAAACATTTTATTATTTACGTTAATGTATTTTAGACTCAATGTACACCAATTAAAGTACAAAATCACTTATTCGACTCTGGCGAACTTGTAGTAAATCTAGTTTTATACACCAAAGCACACCAACGCCATCTTTGGAAACTCACTAATCGTCTGGTCGGGTACGTCTAAGAAACAGGCCACTATATCGCCTACTTTCAGTTGCTGCCCGAATGCGTCGCTTGTACCACCATGCCATTTTAACGACTGTACGTTTAAACAATTCTTTGAGATACGGCCTCTACATTTGGGACTATTTCACGCCATAATAATGAAATATCTCCAGATAGAGGTGACTATTATTAAAACAAATTGTGGTAAATGAAAGATTGAAACTTACATTATAACCATCAAAGGCCCACGAATTTTCATCTTGTCCCAGCATCATACCTGGGGGCATGTCAGCGTGGGCCCAACCAACCTTGAAAATATATAAAAAACGATCGTAAAATTAAATTTCGATAAGAACATTTCTTTCTTCGACATTAGTTTTCAACAGCATGAAAACTAATGTCGTGAATTCGAATCCCGCCGTGACAGTCCATATTTCCATCTATACTAATATTTAAAGCTGAAGTGTTTGTTTCAGCGCGATAATCAAGGGGATACCAGTTCAAATTGAAAAAATAGTTACAAATTTGTGTTGGATAGACCATTTATCGAGGAACATCGCGCTGCGACCAACAGAGCGTAGAAATGGCGGGAAATATGAAAAAAAAACGGGCAAAATTATTCATCCTCGTGGGTTTCCGTTGCGTACGCTGCGAAAACGGTTCAAGCACCCAAACATTATGTACAAAAGAATTATTCCTATTTAATAGAATCCAAAAAAATAGCTTAAAATATGTTTTTTATGAAAACTTACTCTCATTGGTCCTGCAGTGAGTATTTCAAATTCAAAGTACCATTTTCCCGAGCTAACTGCATAGTTCTTCTCTGCTCTGTAAGTTCTGAACTCTGCTTGCTTTTGTCTTGAGGCTTCAGCTAGTAAAGCTGCAATATAAAAAAAACATTTACTTAATTAAATCTCTTAAATACGACGGAATTTTTATCAGCCGTGGTCATGGAGGGGACAGCCAATAATCCATTCAACGTCAACGAGCGAGACACGGTCGCTGTTTTGTCTTTGACATTAGGGGCATCCTCCGTTTTGTGACCTCCCTTAACCACAGCTGTCGCAAATCATCCGAATTATCCGATATATTACGCTTATTAAAGCGTTAAATATGGTTTATTTAAATAAGTACTACTCACGTAATTTTAAACGAATGGGCAATTCTTGAAAACCTTTTTAATAATAATACATTTTAAATTACCTTCATGCTGTTCCCCAGTGGGGGGATCCAGGTTATATCCGTAAACGAGTAAAGTCCGTACTGTTTCAGACGCAGTATCTCTGTTTGCTTTTTTGATGGCGTCATCTACTTTAGGATACGGTACTAAGTGAGGTGATCGGTTCATATCTGGATCCTGAAATCGTCAAATGTCGTACATGAAACTTAAAAAAAATTACATTTTAATTACGTTTTGGAAGATGGATGTACATAATAAAATTAGATAATAGTTTTAAATAGATTTGGTTGGAGAGTGTCAACAACTTAACAAATATAACACGGTCCTTTCAATATGGACTTGTCTTGCAAAACACAGATACATAGTTCTATCCTTTTATATACATTCTTTGTTTATGATGATGTCCTGTTGCTCTATTTTGGCTTCGGACATCCAGAAATCCATAGACTGAATCCAAAACGATAAGACACGATTCTTTAATCTGTGGTTCGAGACCTGGACGAAACTTCGATGTCCCTACCACACATTTAGTATGCGATAAAAGTCAAATATGTTTCAGAAAAATCATAAATTGATGAGGATATCGGTTAACGGTATTATTTAAGTTAAAATATAACTTCATTTATATAACCTCATTTAGCCCATACGTCCACCCTTGCTGTATCCTTTCTCTAGCCCATAAATTGTGGGTGTTTTCAGCTAATTGATCCACTAATTCATCCATCTTTGGGGTAAGAGTTACGGCGCTGAGATCCAAAGGAGCTGGTTTGTAGCCATTGGACTGAAATAAAAACAAACTTTTCTTGTTAACTATTTAGGACCTGCTGCTGGGCTCCTCCCTCGACGGGGTTATCCACTAAACTAAATAGGTAGTTGAAATGAATAGTTAAAAATTTTATTAGATAAGGATATTATTACATACTTGCATAAATGGTTCGTTTGGCAGTCTGACGTTGCGTATACGAGCTGGTGGTTTGTCCAAACTTATGTAGTAACCTAGAGCTAATATAGTCCTGAAATGGAAACGATACACTATATATAAATAATAAAATCGATTTTAGATTGAAAAAAAATTACGACACGGGTTCGACATGAACTGGCGTCCAAGCGTTCCGTACTGTTATTCTAACCAATTGGACTAGCTCGATTCGAGTTTAATTTATAAAATGCCATCTTGTGCGATAACATATGAAAAATATGAAACTTATCAATGTAACTTATATTTCTTAAAACAAAGTCATAATTAAATACTGTCTATAGTTTACGCGAGTAGTACACATTTAAATAAAACACTTTAACGGTTTAAAACGCGATTTAAAACTTATTTGAAAATGATTTTTAACTTCGGCCCGACTTTCGGATGCTTTGCAGCAGCCGTGGTCACGGGGAGACTAAAGATGGAGGATGTCTCAGACGTCAAAGTAAAGAATTGCTACCTACGCCATCTGTTCCGTCGAAGTTGGTATTTGGCGAAACTGGCCGGGTCCTTACAGAATTGACTAACGGTGTCTTCGCGTTTGCTGGTATGCTGTTTATTGGGATCCAGAGTTTTTAATATGGGATCCCAGGTGTTTGATAGTTTGAGGCCGTCCTCCCTATTGAAATTTCGGTGTTTTTTGATTTCAATTGCTTCGCGTACCAATCTTGGAAAAAATCGACTCTCCTTTGCGAGGATTTTTGGTTGGTCAAAGCGAATGTAGTGATTGGGCCCTTCTGATGAGTGTTGGCATACCGCAGATTTGGAGAGACGTTTATGTTTTATATCCGACTGTTCTAATTCTGTTTGAGATGCTACGCTTTGTTTGGCCGATGTAGGATAGGCCACATCACATCCAGTCTGTAAACGCCTCATCTTGTAAAGGGATAGTACACTTGCTTGGTTTCAGGAATTGCTGAATCTTCTTGTGCGGCTTGAAAATTGTGTCAATAGAAGCTCGATTTAGGACTCTGCATTCTATCTAACTCCCTTACATATGGTAGGTAGGCGGGCTGACGTTTGACTGTGGGTGGCTTGTTCCTGTTCCTGGGATGCTGCGGAGGGACTCTCAGCTTGTTCTTGCATAGGACCTGCTTGACATGCTGTAACTCCTCATTAAAGTGGGCAGCATCACAGAGACGGCGGGCTCTCTGAAACAAAGATACTCCGACAGAACTAAGTTGGCTGGGGTGGTGATGTGAGTCACCGTTCAAATACCTATCTGTATGGGTTGTTTTTCTAAAGACGGTATGCCCAATATTACCGTGTTCATACGAATTACTAAAATGTCTAAGAAAGGTAGTGTGTTATTGTCCTCCTGTTCCATTGTAAACTTAATGTTATTGTGAATTGAGTTAAGGTGTGTAAGAAATGCAATACTTGTGCTTTGGGTAAGATGGTGAAGGTATCACTCTTTAACTTACCTAGCTGATTGTTCAAAATTATTAAGAGCAAACTTATTAAAAAACATGCTTAGAATATGCGGATATCTTAGAACATTGCTTGACAACCGGTACTCTTGGATGGGGATTTCTATGTTCAGGTAGTGGGGTAGCCATGGGTTCTCCAGTTTCACCCTTAGTTGCTACATTTTTATGGAAGACTTTGAGGAGAGAGCCCTTGCTTCTTCCCCGGTTAAACCTAAGCTTTACAAGCGATACGTAGATGATACCTTCACCATCTTACCCAAAGCACAAGTATCTGCATTTCTTACACACCTTAACTCAATTCACAATAACATTAAGTTTACAATGGAACAGGAGGACAATAACACACTACCTTTCTTAGACATTTTAGTAATTCGTGATGAACACGGTAATATTGGGCATACCGTCTAGAAAACCCATACAGATAGGTATTTGAACGGTGACTCACATCACCACCCCAGCCAACTAGTTCTGTCGGAGTTCTTTGTTTCAGAGAGCCCGCCGTCTCTGTGATGCTGCCCACTAAATGAGGAGTTACAGCATGTCAACAGGTCCATGCAAAACAACTGAGAGTCCCTCCCAGCCCAGCAGGAACAACCCCCACATCAAACGTCCCCGCCTACCTACCATGTGAAGGGAGTACAGATAGATTAGCAGAGTCCTAAATCGAGCTTCTATTGACACAATTTTCAACCGCACAAGAAGATTCAGCATTCCTAAACCACAAGTGTCTTCCCTTACAAGATGCAGGCGTTTACAGACTGGATTGTGATTGTGGCCTATCCTACATCGGCCAAACAAAGCGTACTCTCAAACAGAATTAAAGAACACGTCGCGGATATAAAACATAAACGTCTCTCCAAATCTGCGGTATGCCAACACTCATCAGAAGGGCCCAATCACTACATTCGCTTTGACCAACCAAAAATCCTCGCAAAGGAGAGTCGATTTTTTCCAAGATTGGTACGCGAAGCAATTGAAATCAAAAAAACCGAAATTTCAATAGGGAGGACGGCCTCAACACAAAACCTGGGATCCCATATTAAAAACTCTGGATCCCAATAAACAGCATACCAGCAAACGCGAAGACACCGTTAGTCAATTCTGTAAGGACCCGGCCAGTTTCGCCAAATACCAACTTCGACGGAACAATGGCGCTGTAGCAATTCTTTACTTTGAGTCGATTCATCTTTAGTCTCCCCGTGACCACGGCTCTGCAAAGCATCCGAAACGTCGGGCCGAAGTTAAAAATCATTTTCAAATAAGTTTAACTAATATATCGCGTTTTAAACCGTTAAAGTGTTTTATTTAAAAGTCATAATTACTTACTTTAACGTCTGAACAGCCAATTGTATGTCATATCGTTTTTCAGCAGGCGGTAACCTCTCAAACGGAACAAGACAAGGGTGCACTTTATGTAAATCATCCCTTTGGTCTCCGTACATCCAGCCGGCTTCAATCTGTTGTAAAATATGTATTTGTAATACCCAATAAATAAAGACTACGAACCTAGGGAGTTGTTTTCAAATATTAAGGTCTCGTAACCTCATAATTTAAAAATATATTAATGTCATTTATAAAATCCATCATGTGTATGACGAAAAACGTAAAACTGATTAAAAATAATTGCATCGTTATATTTAATGTTTGAATTATAACGTGATTGATTAAGCAATTTGCAGCAGGAGGGAATGAAAAGATAACAATCATATGAGTGTTGAGCCATAAGTTATTTAAATGTCTAGTACTCGTATAAACTATAGCCCCCGTGACCTTAAATTGTATGATGAATAATTAAATGTATTTTATATACCTTATTCATGTATATTACCTTATTCATGGCCCACATTTCATGAATATTTTCAGCAAGCTTGTCACGAATTTGCTCTATATAAGTTGGCAGCGTAATCTGAAAAAAATGGTGTAGTGTTTCAATTCATATTGCTATTATTAAACGGTATTTCAATCATTCTATAAAACTTATAAAAATACATGGATCTTAAAAAAACGCGAAGAAACAAAAGCTATCAGGAAACAAGTTAGTGTAGCAAAAATCTCTTATATACAATATCACGTCACCAAATATAGTAATTGTACTTACAGAGGCAGTATCAACTGGCGTTGGAACAAAAGCGGTGTCATCTTGAACTAGAGGAGGACCAGCAAGAGCGCGTTTAGCTAAATTTCCAAAATAAAAACACGGCTCCAAATTTAATATCTGCTGTGGCAGTAGAGATTCCACTAATGGAGAATAACCTTCAGGTGCCGCATATCGTAGACGCCCATGTTCACCTCCCAGGAGGAAACGGCAACTAAAAACAACAGAGAGAAGAGAATTATACGCTTAAATTAAAGTTATTGATGGAAGCAACGCTGTATTATGCAACGCTGTAAGAAAAATCTTATTAAATTTAAATCTTCTTTAACAATGATCAAAATTTGTTATATAAAGTAATACTGAAATTTGAAACGAAATCCCTTATGCTGGAAGAAAGTTCACAAATAAACCTTCAATGTTACTTAATACTGTATTATTGTAAAGTTGCACTTGGAGGTCTAAACTCACCTTAGCTTGCTGGAACAACTCATGACAGGAAAAAACATTCCTTCTAGATTGAAGTTGGTGAAGGAACCAGTTACTCTTACTCCGTTAAACATGAAGTTTATAATTGGTACAGTCAGATCTAACGCACATCCAATGACGTCACCTGTGAACGATAGTTGATTAAAACACCATAACAAGTTAGATCTACTTGCCACGTTCAAGGTTATTACATACGCTCTATACAATTAAAAATTGAAAACTGCATAAACGAAAACTATACTTTAAAGGTATAAATACATATTGAATACATTTTAATTTACATATACGAGATTTGGTTTTAATCCGCTTTTTTTTATTGAAGATAAGGTATCAAAATAAGGTAAAGTAAGGGAACATAAAAAAGTAACTTTATATTTATTAAAGACCTAGCTCACTAAGTAGAGGATTCTTAATTTAGTTATTCTAGGATTTGTGTAATGATTTATACCTTTTCTAATAAAAGGTTCTTCAGCGTGCGTCCTGTTGACTGGAGTCTTGCGACCTCCTGACCACAGATAAGCACCATCGAAACCAAACGAATATAAATCATCTCCAACACCGTTACCACCCCACTTTTCACCACCGCCAGGATACGGAACATAGCTAAAATGTTTTATACTCAATATTAGACGTCTAGCGTATTAGGAGTACATTCTATAACATCAAACCAGAATGTCTGTTAATTAGGAATTGTACTTAATTCCCGTAATAATGTTATTTTTATTAAGCAATAGGCAATTTAATAGTCCTTCTATTAGGGGTTCTAATACGAGAGTATAACCACCTATAGGAGCATGTATTAGAATGGATATAAAGATAAACATTTAGATGTATGCCTGAGGCTCAAACTTCACTAAATAAATCGGTTGTTCCGAGCGTTCTTATTATCATGTTTGTTGACAGCGAAGCTATTTTCTTTTATAAATTTCATTCTTTACTCTTACCCAGTAGTGTTAGCCCAGCCTATTCTTAAATGTGGCATCATATGAGTAGTTTTCTCGATGTGGTCCATGGTTACTTCGAAGTACC